CCACGTTAGTGATATAGTTCAATTCTCTCCATTACTATATATAATCGCTGTAGCTTACTCTCGATTACCTGGCTGTTGTGACGGAACAGACGGCTCTCTTCCGCCCACTGGCTCATACTACATACATAGTATGATATGACGGCTCTTTTGGACCTTCCTTTCACAGCTTAGAGCCCTAGCTCTATAGCTCTAGACCTAGGCATCTTACGCCTAGGACTCTTTCACCCTTTTTGGCCTAGCCCTTATGGCTCCCAATACCTGTATATATAGTCCTCCTTTTAGCATCCTACATAGCTCTTCACTTGTAGATTCTAAGTACACAATCGGAGTCCTGTTTATACCCTTTTGGTCACAGCTGTATTGTTTTGCTTCTGTTATATTGTTCAGTATTAGTTATAACTATTCCGGGGTATATTATATCTATTATAAAACCGGTTTTGTTAAAATTGTAAAAATTGTAGTTTTGAATACTATATTTTGTCTGTATATTCGATATCAATCGGAATCACTTTTTTAATAAGCTCTAAATCTTTATAAAAAGCTTTTTGAAAGTTATAAATGTAATTAAAACACATCTTTAGTTCTGAATATCGTTTTACAAAGCGATGAGTCCAAAGCTTTTCAACTTTTTTCACACCCTGCGATTCGAGTATATAATTCGCTATATCTTCCACATCACTTAATTTAAGTACAAATCATCTCTCATCCAAATCGAGTATATATTGAATAAGAACCTCCTCTTCCAATTCAATCAAATTATAGCTTTTTGATCGACTTTCAGCTATATTAGGTTTACTTCGAATTCTATCACCTAATGTAGATCGAGGCACACTATAGAGCTGAGCTGTTTTCCGAATTATTAATTTTGGATTTGATTCAATAGTCTTAATAGCTAAGATTATTCATGTTTCTTTAGAATGAATTTCCATAATTAATTATTAAGAAAACGCGTATTAAGTGTAGAATAATAAATCGAGGTAAAAGTGGCCGACCCACTGATATGGCCGACCCACTGATAAACCACGTTATACGAAAAACGAATTTAAAGCAGCGGGATTCAGCAATGTATATATATTTTAATACAGGTGAAACCTTATACAAAACGCTTTGATGGTTTAGTGGTAAAATCCAAGCTTCCCAATCAGAGATACAGATCTCTGATAGCCTGCTTGGGCCCCGTGTTCGATTCACGGTCATAGCATCATGTCATTACTTTTGTTACTTATATCTTCTTTTTTGGGCTAGTTCTGGGTGGTCTTAAGACTTATTTATACATATAGGTTGTTGTCGAAAATGAAGATTTTTACGTTTTGGCGGCGATGTGTTGTGTGGCGTAATTTGTTTGGGGTTAATGTGGCGGGACTGTGGAGTGAATGAATTCCAGTGCCCCACCTTCCTCTCTTCGAGTGAGAAGACTTGGGAAAGTCTGTGAGAGCATGAGAGGTTAACTGAAAGTAATTGATGGCATTTTCGTATTACTTTTGGGAGCTTTTATGGTAAATAATCATCCTCAGACCTTGATGACTTTGGAAGAGTTGACTTTGGGTTTTGCAGTCAAGTGGCTTCGGAGTCTATAAAGTATCAGTTTTCACTTGGTTTTTTTTACAAAAAGATTGATACTACCGTTTCACTGCTCTTTGGAATGGCTTTTCTGGCTTATATTTCTAAGAAATTATCAGTACTACGGTTTCACGTAAGATACACTGATGATCGAGAGCTACTGTCTATTTGCAGGACGCAAAGAAGACATCAGAAATGTGTATCTTTGGTATCCTAGCGTTCGAGTGTATGCACAATAACTGCATCTCCGCTCATGTTTCTCCCTGTCATGCTCTTTAAATATCAAGTCCCACCAAGTTGGAGTTCACTCCTACAAGCACGCATGTATTTTGGAGGTATGAGGCATGTTTAAATATTTCAAAAATGGGAGCAGGAGTATCCTATCCCAAAGAATAGACAAGAACTTCGATGGCCAAGTCAATACTACAGTTGCTACGAGAGCAAACTCTTCACAGGCAGATGAATCTAGGTGTCCTTCCCTCATAAGTCCATCCCCATAGGTTCTTCTTTCTTCTCTTGATACTTCATACGCTTTATAAACTTCTCCAACAAACGTGCCTGAGCCTGAGCCAAAGTCCCTGCAAATATAACATGGCCACAAGCGGAACGTTGCACTCGAGTATTCTAGTAGATGTGACTGTGCTGCAGGCGGTGCATTGGAAATTAGATGGGGAATGATCTTTTAGGCATTTTTGTTAGGCATTTCATTTCTATCTTTGGTTGGTTGATATGTGTGGTATGTTTGTGGTGGTTTGTGGGTGAATGGGTTTGTCATATTGGGTTTTATATATATGAAGTAAAATCAATGAGGAACTTAAAACAAAGTGAGTATGAGTGTGATTGAGAATAGGAGTTGATCCAATTATTCTGTATTCTGATCTACCGTCTATTAGATCAATTTGTAATGCTCAAATCAGCTTATATAGCCTGCCTAGAATCTCGGAACAAGGCTTTTGCGAATAGTACTTAGTATGATGTACTAGACTGCTAATAAAGATAATAGAGAATTCGAGTAAGGTAAAAGTAAATCAATCAAGTTCCTTGGAACTTTGGAAGAAGTAGATTCTCACCAATCGGACACCATAGGAAAAGATGCATTTACTATGAGAGAATTATAGATATTTAGTAACAATGTGGACCATTCACTTATATATTAGAGGTTAGATATGAGCTAGCTCTATTCACTACCCCCCACTCACCACTCAGAACACAAGAATAAGTTTTGTTGCATATCTATACACAGCACTCAAAACTATTCCAAAAAAAAGTATCGTTGCACATCTCAAAAAGTGTGTATATACTAAAACTATCACTCAAAATTACTCCAAAAAAAAGTACGGTTGCATATCTCACAAAGCTTTCAAGTACATAACCAAAACCATCTTAAAAAGAAAGCCCGGCTTACATCGGAAAACACACTTCTGTTGCATTATCTGAAAAGAAAAAAGTACCAACTTCTCGGCTATTGTCGGAAAAGGGGGGTTTGTTGCATATCTGATTGCTTGAAATTTTGGTACTTTGATACCTAGTACTAGATATCTGGTACTTGGTACCTGATTCTGTATTGATAGATGTATATCTGCACCAAGTACAGTACTAGTTTACCATCGAAAATAAAAAGGGGTGTGGTGTTTATAAATTGTTGTAGATTTTATAAAGAATCGTACAGGTAGGTATATTAGTATCAGGTAACCGATTAGGCTCTGGAGACGGGAATTGGTTATATTTTTGAAGGACTCGAGTAGTTGATACTTGGTTTTGCTATCTGTACTTTCTAACCTCTCTGCTGGTATTTGATCTCTCCGCGGTTCATTTTGGCTTCTCTAATTATACTTCAGATGAGGCTTTGTGCGTATTTGAAGTAAAATGTGTGTATAGTCTCCGATTAGCCTATAATAGGGGGGAAAGGGATTTTCGCTATCTATCTAAAGTCGATAGTATTCAAATCCAATCGTTCTATGATGATGTAGCCGATGATGGCGAAGGAGGTGGAGAGGAGAATGAAGGGGGCGCGTTTGTGTAGATGGAGGCTCCATTCTATGCCTATAATAGTTGATAATTTGTTCTCTTGCAGAGCAGTCTACTTTTTCTCCCGAAAACGAAACTTATGTTACATGATTGGTACTGATTACTCTACTCCGAACGATACATGAAGGATACTCATGGAGAAGTATCCCAGTTGGTGTAGTGATATGCTTCTAGTATTCCAGTTCGTAAAAAATGCGTTATCGATTCAAAACCCTAAACACCGCCTTGAGATTGTTATTGTCATAGATGATCGAAAACCGAACTCCATACTCAGCACTTCAATACTATTCAGATAAATGGCTAATTTCTAAGCCAGCCAGCCGCAAATACAAGCAGCAGGAAGTCTCACACTGAAGTATATCTATCAACTCACGATCAATCCGCATATTATAATCTTACAACAGCCACCCGGCATATACAAACATAAAAAAACCATTCTACTATATCTCGAAATCACATCTCATCTCGAAAATTGGAATCACAATATACACAACCCAATAATCAAACATCTTCCTACACCCTTTTCTTATATACTCGAGTATTTATCAGGATTTGATTGATAGACAGACATAAGTGCAATCCATCCCATCAGATCTCAAACTCTAGAATGTCTAGAAGTTGGGGAGTCCACCGAATTTATCTGGTGTTGATTAGTATCGATTGAATGTATACTAGAGTTATCACGTAGTCAAGTTCAATACCAATTCACGATACCATTTTATTTTTCCGTCTAACTAAGTGTGTACTACCATCAGACTCAGAAGCTTGTATGCCAAAAGAAACAGTGAAAATGAATGAACTTTGTATACAGTAAAAGGGTCCCTATGTGCAATCAGTGGAATTATAGGGAGGGGGGTAAGGCTTGAGAAGAAGCTCCTGCACAAAGAAATCAGCAATGTTCTCGAACGTTTGCTTGCGGTGCTTGAATCGAGCTTCAGGTCCGGAACATCTTGAATACTTGAATTACGCATCGGAACCATTGAAGAAATTGCTGAGTGGATAGTCAGGGTGTCGTGGGATTTTCGAAAATATGCATATCGCATAGAGACTTCCGTGATCAAAATCTACCCATCGTTAGTCTTGTGATGTGAGAGGAGAGTGAATTCTATATCTTACCAGATACGACCCTAAGTCAAGTGGATGTAGGCCATAATTAGCATCTCAAATAGCCTTTGTGCGAGAGAACAAACTGCTGTAGACTGCATCCACAACAGGAGTAGCGCTGATCATTCGTCCACCAAAATATCTGCCATTGAGTCCCTTGATGGCATTTTCTCCTCCTTGTACTCGATCGAATTTGAGATAAATATCTCCTTGAGAGTTCGGATCTAAAGCAATGTGAACAACGTGGCCATATTTTTCTTCCGCTTCTGCGCGGACATCATCCTCGAGTTCCTTTTCCCAATTCTCACCGTCCTCTCTGTAGACTTTGTTAGCAAAGAATTGAAACAAACAAATGCATTACTGACTCTGTAGGATCGAACATATTCTTAAGTACAACACAGCGGCTAGCCATGTTGACATTGACCGGTAAAGCTTTGGTCTCCGTTTTCGGTTTTGATACTTCTCGTCTTTCGTTTTGACTGTTCGCCGCAGTAGTGGAATCATCTGTTCTGGCGAGTTTTCTCATCAATGCATCTCGGCTATAATTGTTGAAGTTTACGCCGCCAACGTCAGTGTCGTCCAAAGCACTAGCACCACCTGCCCCTTTATCATTATCTCGACCACCAGCACGATCGAAATTACTACCGCCAGCAGTGGTCGGACCGCGTCCACCAGCGCCGGAAAATGCGGAACCCTGGAATTGTTGTTGGTGGCTTTGGCCATGGAACCTCTGCAGAAGACTGGCGGTAGATTCAGGAGTGAACTTATCGTTTCCAAGACCAACACGGATTGGTCTACCAGCAAGATCGAATCCATTCATCTTCTCCAACGCTTCTCTAGCTTGATTTGGATCACGGAATCTATTAGATTTGTTAGCACAGCTACATACATGACCTTTCATTCGAATCACTTACTGGACGAATCCATATCCTCGACTACGTCCTTGCTCTTCTTTTTGCAATTGGACAAATTCGAGCTCACCAAATGGCTCAAACACATTCTGTAAATCGCCTTCAGTGATGCTGAAATGTATATTACCCACATATAGTCGATGGAATGGAATTTGATTAGGATTAGTAGTGGTGGCCTCGGGATTGCGAACTTGTCGATTCTTCTCAGCCTCGGTGAGTTGCGCAATGATCGGGATTCCTAGGAGTCTCTGTCCAGTGAGTTGTATAGCGGCAGGAACTGATTCTTCGTTTTTGAACTCAACGTAGCCAACACTGTGAAGAATTAGTAACTGAGGCCTCCGAAGCAATTGCAAAGTAGAAAACATACCCTTTAGATCTGCCACTGACTCTATCCTTTACAATTTGGGCCTCCTTGACGGGGCCGACCTTTTCAAAGAATACTATGAGTTCTTTAGTTCTGAGACGAGCTGCTAGCTGTTGTACAAATACAGTTCGCCTGTCTCGTTCATCTTCAGTCAAGGGAGGTGTGCCTTCTCGTTTTGGGCTTCTAGGTCGGCGTTCTTCTCGAGGCTTCTCTGGATCGTCGCGGTCACGGCGGTCACCTCGGGGACGGTAATACCTGTCAGGACTTCTGGTTCGTGAGCGTTGTCGGCCACCACCCCTACCTCCTCTATAGTAATCTCCATCCCTGCGTCCATTCTCTTCAGGAGTATCTCTGCGGCGACGCGGTTGTCGACGATTATCATCCCGACTTCTGCTCCTGCGCCTACCCTTTGCGCTTCCACTTTCACTTATTGGAGTTGCGGTGCCATCTTTATCGTTTCTGTCTCTGCTGCGAGCCCGACGTTTTCGATCTCTGTCGCGATCTCTGCTATCATCACGAAGTCTATCCCGGTCGCGTTTTTCGTTACGCTCGCCCTTGTGGCGGTCATCGGATTCTTTAGTCTTAGCAGATCCATTTTGCTCGACAGGAGTAGCAGCTGCAGTTGAGTCCAAGAGGGCTTCAACATCTAAGGCGGACATGATGAAGGTTGTTACTCGCCTGACAGTGGTCAAATTATGGCTTCGATGTTAATGTACAAACGGTTCGTTCCGAGTAATGGTGATTGATGATTGATCGGAAAGACAAAATGCAATAGCTAAAAGTTTTTTTGATAATTTCCAGAGAGAAGGATAGATATTAAACAACTAAATGAGAATGGACTGGAATTGCTGTGCCTGTAAAGTTAAGTTAAAGTGGCTGGTGGATAGGATAGGATAGGATAGGAAAATACGAATTAGTCACTTTAGTGTCACTTCTTAGTCTGACCATCTCACGTGTTTGTGAATCCAGAACGATTTTGTGAATCAAGAGTGATTTTGTGACCGAGGACAACAATGTATTCTCCATTAAGAATTGATCAAGGTAAATTGTATATGTTACTATTGATATACCTAGGTAGTTATCAAAGAATCTTTCATTCTTCGGGGGGTAAAAAAGTGGTATTAGGTTATTAAGAGGGTTATGAAACTACAATATTTCTAAGAGTGGTCGGCTTGCTTCCTGTGTCCAACCTAATCCATAAACGCCAAGGCCAAAATGCCTTTCATACTTTACATCGTCAAATCATTTCAAACACACCGTTATTGATCATGGTTTCCTATAGGAGGTCGGCTACATCAGTCACAAATTCGTCATCCATCTCCCTTTCATACAGTCTTCGGCGCAGGTGTGAGTTGAGTTCCGAAGACACAATCCCAAAATCGACTGGTAACCCCGAATCCGTTTTCGTAATCCATGAAGTGATGTTGAAGGTGATACTTCTTCAATTGTCTCCAGTAGGAAGGCAATGTGCGATGATGAAGGAAGTAATGTGTCAAATCATAACAGATGTAGCCGAAGATTCCTCCGCAGAACACTGCCGTAGCCACATACCAGTCCCAATAAAACACAGTGTGCGCAAGCTTCCAGAAAGGAGTTGCAAGAACGATAAAGAGGGTAGGAGGCATAACTAATCGGTATTTATCCATTGGTAAATAGTGGTGGATGCCGTGAAGTAAAAAATGAAGAGTAAGTGCTACTCGATTGCTTGGGAGCCATCTAAAGAAACATGTTAGCTGATAGGTTTGTTGGAGAGCCCAAGGGAGGAGTATGCATACTTATCGAGATGGAAGAGGAATCGATGCAAAACATATTCAACTAAGGTCCAAAGGAAAAGACCGAACAACCAATATGCCGCTTCACCAGCGATGTTATCAAACCCTTCGCTAGCGAGATATGTACCATAGGCTACAGGTGGAACCCAAACCATAGGTACAACCCACCAAGCTGTCTTTGACAGAGGCTCAAGGAAATTTCCGAAAAGAGGTGCAGATTCTCCTCCCTTATAATGACGGGGTCGATGAACTTGTTCGAGATAGAACTCTTTGCTGAACCCACCACGCCAAATTTGCATCAATAATGGTCTGTTTAAGTCGAGAAACTTGTGTGTCTTGTAATCATTTGTGAGATCCGTCTCTTTGTTTAGATCTTCTTCCGTAGACATGCCAGTACTGGCATAAACCGGTGGAGAGTTTGCGGATCCATTCTCTTTCAATTCCTTCAAGCCTTCTTGTGTTGGTGGAAGTGGAACGATAGTATTTGGTTTTGTACTTTTGGTAGCTGTATCGATAATCTTATTTGTAGCAACGAATCCGATAAAAGAGTCCTCAAGAACGTCATAAGCTGCTTCGGAATGTGTATGCGAGGGCTCGTCCTTCAATATCTCTGTTACATCCATGCCGGCGTACTCTAATACCAATTCACCCCCGCCCGGGTGGCTGTCGACAAAATCTGTAACATCAAAGACCCTTGTACCCATTGTGACATAGCAACTCTCTGCGGAATTATGAGAAGCGACCTCAGCCTGCGTGAGGGTTGGAAGTGTACGAGAGGGAGACATGATGGCAGGTGTAGCGAATGGTTACGATGATATGATTTAAAAAGGTGAATCGCAGAAGTTGTTATCAATCGTAGTGTGGAATGATTGATCTTTTGTATTCAGTTTGAGAAGGCAACTTGCAAAGAGACCGGAAAAAGATGGGGCACGGGCGTGAATGGCGGAAGAGCCGGACGAGATAGTTGACAACGTCTTTAGAAGTCAAAGGAACGAGATGCTTTGTCAAAAACACCTTCTACCTTTGAGCAGAATTGAAGGATATATAATAATTATTATTATAATTGACTCGTACGTCTGTGCAGAATATATAATGTATGTGATGATATTTTCTCAGGAGATTATGTTGAAGAATCGAGCCAAATCAAATTAGGTAGAGAGAGAGAGAGAGAGATACCTAGTACCTAGGTACTTACTACTTACCTAGTAGATCGTCAAAATACCACGCCTTGCATAAATCTTATAAATTGGACCGCGCTTAGTAATATGAAGCCACGTGATAACTTTGCTGATTCACATGATGGCGGGGTTTGTTCAGGTGGCTCAGTCAGTATCTTGGCTATAATATAATTCTTCTTCTTCTTCCTATCTTACAATCACTCGCATCTTCCCTACTACTCCAATCATCCTATTCTATAAAATAAGACACACAAAAGCATATCCTAGAGATAATATCACAACAAACATAAAATGGCACTCTTAACGCCCAACACCACCGGGTCGTTTTTACTTATAGCTTGCATTTTCCTAATCGTTCTTCCTGCCCCGGTAGCAGCTTTTGGTGCTGGTAACATTCCCAGCATAGCCAACATCGAGGGCAAGAATTTTCGTCATGGAGATATTGAAGATATGCTCAAAACTGTTGCTTTCATTAAAGGTCACAAATGGACAAGCATGATGATTAAGAGGGTTTACTTTGGTAATTGGTTACGAGATTACTCTCAAGCAGTTGATGTAGGAAGTTTGAAAGGAGTATCAGCCCCTACTATTCGTATTTTGGTATGACGATAAACTCTTCGCTATTATTCGCATGCTTACTCATCGTCCATAGGTTTGGGTTTTGAGTTTCTTGTCTTTTGGTTATGCCACTGCAGAATTTGAGGTCACAGACGAACGTCTTGGCGTTTATAGACCAGAAGAACATATCGACAACCCCAAAGGTTATGCCGACAATCAGGATGCAAGAACGTTTGATCCTAGACTTCGTGGTCCTATTAACCCAATGGAACTTGAGATCGACCCAAATTCAGGCATGAAGAATTATATTGCTAACGAAAGTGGAGGTTGGGCTACTAGTGCTGGTTATGTCAAATTCAGCTTCGCAAGAAGTATTCATTTTGGAAGACTTTATACCAGTGGTTCTCATGGTAAAGGTAAAGAAGAAGATCTCTGTGAAGCCCTCCGATGTCTTGGACAAGCTCTACACTGTATGGAAGATTTTGGAGCTCATACAAATTATTGTGAGCTAGCTTTGAGAGAATTAGGACACCGTGATGTATTTCCTCATTGTGGCACCAATGCCGAGATCAATATTCGTGGCCACCATGTTTATCCTTTAGTCACAGGTACATTCGGCGCTGTTGATTTCTTGCACTCCGTTCTTGGTGAAGCAACAGATCATTTCACCCAAACCGAAGTTGAAGAAATGGATCTTGCTTTAGGCGGAGCGCAAAAGGCGCAACAAAGTGGCGGTGGTGATGGCCAACGTGGGTTGTTTGGATCTGGAAGTAGTGGAAGTGGTGGTTCGGACTTTGCAGGTCTTCTCTCTCAAATTCCTGGTATGGGAGGAGGTTTAGCAAGTACTGCACGAGATCTTCAAGCTCAATCAGCCGCTCAAGAATACCAAAACTCCAATCAAAGCACCAGAGCTGATGGGAATAATTTCAATGCACCGCCTGGCTCTACAAATGGTCCTCCTGGCCCAGGTGTCCCAGGAATGAGCGCAGATTTCGATCCGGTTGCAACTGCGAAGAAGATTTATCCGATTCTTGAGTTCAGAGATAAGATCGTCAGAGCGATTAATAATACGATTGCCAAGATACCTGGTCTTGAATCCTTGGTCGAGAAGATCAGTGAGAGACTGACCGTCTTCATCCTCTCTTTACTCGCACCATTCGTTCGACCCATCATCGATGCAGTATCTGATAGCTTGAAGAAGGGCTCTAGTACAGTCGTTGAAGCCAGTGCAAACTCTCAATTTGAGCCATGGAGCGATCCTCATTGCACCGATCCCACTCATTCCATGCTTTCCAAAGATCATTTTTCTAACGTGTTGAATTCATGTGCTGGGAGAGTAGCTTCAACTATCTTGCAATATGTTACGCCGTAAGCTTTCTTCCTATCATTAAGATATAATTATTAATCTTCTTTAGTCGCATACTCTACGCTTGGCAGAATCCCGGCGTTCCCGTCGATGAGGTCATGAATGATATCCTGAAAACTTTCCACCACCCAGCTCTCCGTGACGAGCACGTTGAAATTCACAAGAAAATGTTCAATACTGTCAAAGATTGGATCAACGAACAGCCAAATGCCCAAAGTCTAAATCACCTCCTAAGTTCAGAATCTGTAAAAGCCGGCCGAAACCACACTGGCTCAGACCAACATGACCATAACCATGGTGCTCTTGGTGGCCATGGCAAAACCGCAGGATCTATCTGGACTGAAATTAAAAATAGAGATCTAGGAGCCATGGAGGGATTGGATACTCAACCATCATACATAAATTCTTCCCAAGCCCCAGGCTCCCCAGGAAGACAACAGGCCACCCCAAATTATGGATATGGAAATACGGGTCCTTCCGAACCACCTCACTGGCAAGGTGGAAGTGCCTACCTTGAACCTAGCTTTCAACAGCAAGGTGAATATGCACCCCAACAACCTTCATACCAACAATACGGAGGCTACGAACAGCAACAGCGACAACAACAACAGCAGCAGCAGCAGCAGCAGCCGTACAATCAACAATATGGAGGTCCCCCACCTAACAACTACGAACAAGGACCTCCACCGGGAGACTACTGGAATCAAGGACCCCCTCCTTCTGGACCATGGGGTCAAGGCCCTCCTCCAAATCAATATCCTCCTCAGCAGGGATATCCGAGCCAGGGATACCCGCCTCAGCATCCACCCAGTGGTGGTGGTGAATATGGAGGTTATTAAGTTGACATTCAAGGGTTTCATTTGTCTTGGCTTGGCTTGGTTAAATTGCAGTCTGTGTTGGTTTTGGGAAAGGATGTGCGGGATAAATGGTGATGGGGGAGATGGTGGGTGGGTATGGTGGGCGGAAAAACTGAAATGAAGCATTGATATTATAGCTTATGCGTTATGATTGAATATACAGCTCAGATAGGAGGCTGTATTACGATTTTATGGAGGGAATTTGAGGGGATTGATTTTTTATCAGAGCATACATACGTTAATTAACTCATTCCTATTCCCAGCTCACCTCTTCAAATCCCAAGTTGTATACCTCGGACTAAATCTCTGATGTATTATTTCTATCCAGACTGTTTATTTCCATTTGTATACAACCGCAGTGCGTATTCTCAAGTATGAATATACTCGGGTAGATACTCTTGACTAGGCCCTCATGTATGTGATGGATATTTCCTGGGTAGATGCTGGAGTATATAGATAGATGTATACGTATATGTAAATAAATGAATATAAATGCAATGACGCTCCGCTGGCCATCATGAAGCTATTCCACATCTCTTAGTTTTGTCATGAATGTCATGATTATATTTATGTGTACGTACTACTGTAGGAACTTTAGGGATTGGGATTGATCGGGAAACTACTCGAGTAGTATTCTATATGGCATGAAGATTATACTTTCTTGTACTGGTATGTTATATAATTTACCATTTTTTCAGGTTGGGATTTGGGGATTTGGGAATTGGGAATATGGGAATATTCAATTTTGTAATTATTATATGGAGTTGTGTATAGTATACTGCATGTCATAGTACATTCAGCGAGGATATAACAAGTGTATATCATGATGAATTATCTATCTATCTATGGTATAGGTTTTTGATAACGATTCAAGGAGTTTTCAATGATTTGTTAGATGGTTATAGAATTAGATATATCTGAATTTGTTTTTTTTTATTTAATGTTCATAATGGGTTTGGATGATGATGGATTGGATTATTGTATAGATGATGGAATTTCTGGATATTTATATGAGTACTGCGTAGATACACACCTAATGATTACAATAGTGTCTATAAGTATTACCCCCCCTTGGAATTCTCAGGGTTCTTCTTGTATACGAAATTTCCTTCTAGTTGTATGGAAATTTATACTCGAGTACTCATAATTCAGTTTGAATATTAAGATGTGGATGGATATATGGGTACCAGAAGAGAACTTAGAGAAGAGCTTGGAGAGCCTGAAGAGATGATGCTAGCGCGAGAAGAAATATATTCGGTACTGTAGGATGTTGTAATTACTGTACTCGAGTAGTTACTGTGCGCGCCTTCTGGCTCTTCTCGATTAGCGAGAGAGGATATTGGGATGCTTTTTGGGGGGAGATGGGAGATGAGAGATGAGAGATGAGATGAGGTGGAACGGGACTGTGTAGTAGGTAGTAGGTTACTAGGAGGAATTATGAAATCATGAATAGGTGAGGGAATAGGTGGGATTCTGGAGAGATGTGGAGATAGAGATTGAGGATCACAATGACGTCTCAGAGCGAGAGAAAGGAAGGGGGCTAGAGGATGTGGATAAGTTTATACTTTCCTCATTCCTTCTTCTGTCAAGGACTCAAGGGAAGAGGATGAAGATGAAGATAAAAGAAGAACTGGTGTTAGAGTCAGTCAGCTAGATAATAACCTAGCTGACAGGCAGTGACAGCTAGCTTATCAGCAAATAATTTCTGAAAATTTGTTAATTTTGGAGTAAATTTGAGGTATTTTCTAAAGATATTTCGAATGTTTCCGTATACGTTTTGTATAATTATGTTTCGAATATATATATCGCGGCGAATATATTTTCAAAATCTTCAAGTTTTGATAAAATTGTTTAAAAATAAAAAGACTAAAAAAGTAAGGTGAAAGAAAAGAAAGGGAAAGGAAAAAATAGAGAGAAGGGAGAAAGGAAAAACGAGGATCTGGGGAAAAGAAATTTATATTTTATTATTAGATACTAGTACTGTAAATATTATGTGCTCATTAGCTGATTGGTAGCTGATTAGCGAGGTCGGTCAGCGAGTCAGTGGCGACGATGATATATCGTATCGTCAGCTGTCAGCTGTCAGCTGACTGACTGACTGGATTGGCAACTGTGCTCACTCTTTCTTCCCCCTACCTAGATATAAGTGAGGAAATGACCTTATTCAATGACCCTGTTTCAATAGGCTTTTTAAGTAGGACTTACCCTCACCTCGTGCCTGCTAACTATCACAATCCCACAATTCTTACGAAGCTAAAACTCACTCATGCCTTCAGATATACAGAGGTATCTATAAGCTGCAGTATACTTACAAAAACGTATCAAAAGTCTATGTTGATACTGATACTGATGATTTGATTTCCGCGAGTATGTATACAAAGGAAGGATTGTATTAGTATTGCGGTTGTGAAATCTAGCAGAGTACAGGATACAGGATGCAGGATGTAGAATTGTGCTCAGCCATTACTTGATAGGAGATGAGAGATTCTTAAAGAGTGAGAAATGACTTGACTTGGCTTGGCTTGTATGTACCTGGTGCTGAGATAAAGATTCATGTCTGGGAGATGAATATGAGGGGATAATTGATGTGATATGATTTATCATTGAATATTGATTAGTATTTTAGGCCGCTTCAATCTTGGAGATCTTTTGAGATATTTGTTTTGTTTTGAGCCAGCACAATACAGTATTCGGTTGTTCCTGCAGGAATGGTACCCGTATCGGTATTTGGATTCGTGTAGACTTGGACTGTAGTCAGAACATTCAGCCCATCTTGAGGTATTAGAGCCAGCACAATCTTCAGTCATTGCAGTCATATTGGGATATCTTAATTAGTTAAATGTTGTATTACAATTTGGATATTCGGAACATGTCTAAGGCTGGCGAATCTACCATGAGACATCATTTTCAGCGTCGGTTAGCTCATTTGCATCAGTATCAATACCATAACATAGGTAATCTACCAATATTCCCTCTAAATTCTCACTTTCTACCCACCGTCTCCTGTTTAATCGAAAGGATGTCTTACCTGCCGTATGTTTAAATACGGTCAAATCCTTGATTGGTTTCGACAAATGTAAGATCTGTCACTAGACTACGAATTACGAGTATACCAAGCAAATCACCATACATTCACCTTCTCTCCGCCATTCCATCCCATTCATTCCATCACCATCTCTTGTAAGGTTACAATCAAGAGGATATTTTCCTCATCACTTAATTATTACATACCGTCAAACCACTCGAATGATCTGTCCAGTAGTCACTGACTCACTGAACTCACCGCATCATTCCTCATCCATCCCAAACACACTCTCCCAATCTTCCCCGACGCCCATCAATAAATACCACCATACCACTATACCATCATATCACTATACCACCAAACCACCAAACCTTATCTTCGTCGAATACTTACTTACTTGCATGCATAATCTCATCACTGGATTGCTTATGAATAGCATAGCATACCTACCGTATCCACATTGACAAGCTTCATAGTGAGAAGTGAAAAGTGAGGTTACTCACGAGTCATAAGAGAGTAGTATTGAATAGATTAGTAGTTCAATTTTAGAGGCTATATATCTCATCACTAGTCATCGAGACAAATTGAACTTCTTTCCTGCTGTACTTGAGTATAAGATAAGGTTTGGCCTCGAGCTTGGAGAGGGTGCGTAGTAAGGAAGGGGGAGGGAGGGGTATTGTATATGAGACAGTTAGAATTGAGAGTGGCGGATGAAGATTAATAATGAACAATGTTCAGTGGAGTTTTCCTAGATGAGGAATACGGAAGTAGGGACGAAACTTATATATCTTGATTGATAGATATTCTTCGATACAATATCTCATATTGTACGAGTATCTCACACCAATATTTCATTATTTACACTGTCCAAGCCCGAGACCGTCGAGTAGAGTATCTAACATCACTAGATGATTCGAACAATCACTACTCAGTACTGTACTTACTCACTAACTCAGATTCCCTCTCTCCTTATTAACTTTATCTGATGTGCTGTTTAACTCAGCTCAGTGTTGTAAGTTCTTGGTTCTTCTATCTTTGTTTATCTTTAAAAGCCAATAGTACATAAGAAAGAGGAAGAGGAAGAGGAAAAGTGGAAAGGAAAAGTGAAAAGGCAAAGAAACTTCGATTACTGTTAAGTATGGAGAACTCAATTACTCAATGAAGCTATCTGAAGCAACCTCATCGGACAAGATCAAGTAAACAAGTAAACAAGTATATCATGATATCGGTGTACTGTTGGCATAATATATACTCCAATACCACCTTGGTCCTTGTATACAAGATATAGCAAGACATACTGTACCTAGTACCTCTCCTCCCACAGTACCACACAAACACGAACAAACCCATTCTACAGTACTTCTCCCTTGAGCAAGACACAGACACATGTATTTATGTATCATTTGCGTAGATGAGTATAGAGTATCCGTGATACTCAATATCAATATCAATATCAATATCAAGAGTGGAGAATGGAGAATGGAGAGGTGAAAGGAGGTGAATGGAGACGCGGATGTAGTTGGGTGATGTATGTATATATGTATGCTATGGTGCCACTGTGCTGTGTTGCTGTTGTATTAGAGTCTAGTTTAGTTAGTTAGTTAGTTATTGCGGGCTGGAAGATGGGGAGAGAAGGAAGGAGGGAAGGAAGGAAGGAAGGAAGGAGGGAAGGAAGGAAGGAAGGAAGGAAGGAGGGGAGGGGAGTATGGGGAGTATAGATTAGGGGGTAGGAGTATGGATAAGAGGATGGATGAGGGATTGAAAGATTGAGGGGATGAGAGGATAAAAGGATGAGGGGAATGGTATTTGGGTTGGCTTTTGTGGTGTGGTGTGGAGGGTAGACTGTGGAGTATGAAGTGTGGATGGAAAGAAAGAGGGGTGAAAAAGTTTGGTTATTATAATGATTGTGTTGTATTGTGTCCTATTGAAAGTTCCACGGAAAGAGTCATTCCTATGTAATAATAAAAATTAATAGAGTAGAATTGAAAATATTGTCCATCTGCAATAGCAATATCTGTATTCTCATCCTCATCCTCATCCTCATCCTAAACAATAAGTTAATAAAACATTTTATAAAATCCCCTCGTGGATATCCTCGTGACAACAACAACAACAACAACATCCACAACAAAAATAACAATAAGAAGCACACACACCAAATACCAAATTCCCCAAAAAACAAAACAAAAACCAAATAACTAAGTATCGTGAGATTTTCCAACGTGGGAGGACAACTTGGCTCGAATTTCCACGCTAAGTGGTTCACCGACACACTGTCACACACATACACATACACACACACCCTACCCACGTCTCTCCTTATCCATTATCCATCTGCATCCCCCGTCCCCCGTCCCCCGTTTTGCACATCCATCCATCCATCTGATCATCCGTAAGGTTAATCATATCATATCATTAGTGAAGCGAGTGTGAGCTTGGGAGTATACGAGTACCCAGACAGACATCCAAGATTTAAAAAATAATATAATATACTCGAGTACAGTAGAATAGAAAGAATAGATTATGGCGAATGAATGATAATATCCCTATGCGGCCTGCAAGGCAATCAGCACTCAGCACTCAGCACTGTTCACTAGATGCTAGATGCAATATGCAATATGTAATATAGTATGGGATACTACTCAGGTATGCTGTATGCTGTATGCTATATGCAGTATGCAGTTTCTAAATTGTGAAGCGTACCACACACAGTACAGTATATAATATCTGCAAGCCGAAGATACCGTTCCTTCCGTAGGATATTATTATTATTATTATTATTTTAGTTAATGGGTTTTTGATGATTTTTGATAATTGTTGAAGATTTGGAGATTTTATTTTATTTGCCACAAAGGATTTCGGGAGAGCCATGGCATGCTACAAGAGGTACACCCTGTCTCTAGAAAAATACTGTATTCCCAGCTTTTTAGCTTTGGCTTATGGCTTATGGCTTATGGAAAATACCCATAATTGTGTTTCATGCGGGCACATGTTTGTTTGTTTGTTATTCATCAAGATTTGTTTGTTGGTGAGTTGGTGTTGGGAAGCTTATAAATTCAAGGGCAATAGGGCAACTAAATAAAAGGTCTAGAAAGGAGGCGAGTTTTCGAATTTTGGAAAAGGGCATACATAGCCTCAACCTCAACCTCAAATCTTTTGAAGGGCTTGAAATACCTACCTAGGTATCTTGCATATTCATGGTTTTATTGACTTTGCTTGGTAAATTTTCAAAAAAAAAACCCCAAAAAATTGGTAATGTATAATAATATTTTGATCGTCTGCGTGTCTCATGTTTTGGGTAGGAATAATAATAATAAGGTGGTAGTCAGGTACCAAGGTCCAAGATGAATGTGAAGCCCTGTCGACGCGGTCGTGCCTTGTGAAGTTCCAGTTGAACTAGGGTGCAACAAAGTCTGTGCAACAAGTCGACGAGACATTTTGAGGTTGGAAATTGACATCGTGACCTTTTTCTATCATGGATAAAGAAAAACTCCTTGGTTGGGGGTCACCGGCTTTGCATATTTGAAAAGGGGGTTCGAGGACCGAAAACCCAAAATCTTGTCAAATTTTGTTCTAGAAGGTAGGTCTTGTGGGGTGAAAAGTAAGCGGATGGATAACTCAAATGCTTATCCGCGGATGAATTCACTGGGGAGGGGGAGGTGGAGTTACCTATTGAGGAGGAAGAGGAGCATGTATGCATACATGCTACAATGCACGTTCGCACGGTCTTTGGTTACAAACTTACAATATTGTATCGTATGGCTACTCCGGCACTCAATTTTATATTTGATTGATGGGGGATGTGTTTCTGGTTCTAGTCCTGTTTCTCCAGGAATAGCATAATACAAGGTTGAGCTGGCGGGCTGCAGAACGGATGGAAAGGAAGCTTGTCAGAAATAGGAAATCCCGTCGGATGTCTCAATCTTAGAGTTTTTAACCCCAACCAACTACTTTGGGAGGCTGGGTTTTTTTTTGGTTAGGTTGAGAAATTGAAAAAGAAGATGAGCGGATCGGAGTGAAGTCTCGGTCTCGGAGCAAAGAAGGTTTGTAATGTTTGGAAGTCTTATGGACATTGTTGTATGGGCGAGGCTGTGGTCGAATTCTTTCTTGCTTTGTCTTGGTTCTAGCCTGCGCGGGTTTCAACAGTTGTATCCGGTACCGGTACTGGACAACTGGACACTGGACAGATAGGAAGATGGTAATAGTTCGGTACTTGTTGTCTGTAACTTGTGGTGCGTCCTTTTTGGATGATCAAGTGATGATTTTTCTGTTGCTATTAGTTTGGGATTCCGTTTTGGAACTTCGGAGTTAGAAAGTGAGATGCGAGGAACTGGACTGTGCTGTTGTGAGAGCAATTGAGTTTCCTTAAGTAGAAACCTAAGAGAATAATAGATGAAAGGGGTAAACCTTGAATCTTGAGTTCGTGATATTCGAGAAAGTAAGAGCTTTAGACTAAGTTTAGAGAAGAAAAGAAATTGATCACAGTCAATGTGTGGGGGTGATAACCGTAACAGAACAGTTCAGAATTGATATATATGAATATATTGTATTGTCAATTAATGTCCATATGAGGGAGCAATTGAATTGTGGATGTTTTATGTTGTGATATTATGAAGAGTAGATCTTTCTTGCCCTCCCATTGCGTATTCATCAACGACAACATTCATTAACGACACCAATTGGCATCTCATACTGAGTACTCGTATATCTATCGGTATCTGTTGCATGGTGAGATATGAGATAAGATCAATCAAGTAATCAAGTCATGAATCCAGAAAAGAAACAAAAAACAATGGGGATATGATGTTATGTTTATGTATACGATTGAAAATATGTGATTTCATACTTCTCGATGATTGAAAAGATGGACATTTCATCATAATCTCAAAAACCTGTTTATCATTTCCAAGGAAGAGACAAATGAGACTTGGTTGAGCCGTTTTACCAACAACGTCGTTTCTACAGAAAGATTTGCAGATTTGCAGTCGAATCCCCCCACCATAGCGCCTCACTCAAATAGACATAGCCACCACAAGGAACAATTGTGGATCGACTGAGATGTTCTCCTGGGAGAGAGAAGATATGATTTCGGAGCCCAAAGAATGCAAATGGATAATGTTCCATATGCATATGCGATGTGACTGTCAATGCAATTTATAAATATATGAGGTGACGAACCACTGGGCGGGCGGCATAATTCCAATTACTCACTTTAATAGGATGGAAAGAATTCTTCCGTTTTTATAGAACACGCCTCGAACATTTAGAAAATGAAAATGTTCATCTGTCAGCCAGCTAGCTAATCCATTATGCATTAGGTATGCACAAGCTGTTTTTGTTTCATATTGATAACATAGAAATCGGTTGAGAAAGCGGGTTAAAGTATAATATAATGAAAGAAAAAAAGAACAACAAGAAGAGGAAGAAATGGAAGCAGAAGATGGGACATGTCTTCAACGGAAAGATGACACCGGGCATATCATAATTGGCAAAAGGAAGCCATCTGTTTCCCCGCCCCACCAAAGCCAAGATAACTCAATTAACACCTAGACCTAATGATATGATTAGTTAGACCTAGTATCTAGTATAGTATCTAGTATCTAGTGCACATGTAGTAGTGATTACGTCTTTTCGTTACCTATCTAGGTAAAATAATCTAGCTTTACTTTCCTCTAGCACAACTCTAGCACAACTCTAGCATCCCTCTAGTCTAGTACTATCCCATACATTCCCACCGTCCTCATTCCCCACTTTTTACCGGAATTGCCTCGATGGATTTTTGTTGATCATTATTTTGTCACATGTTGCCCTAGGAAATAGATCGTATTCTGTGCAGTTATGTGTGCAGACTTGCATGGATTATTATGGATTCTTGACATGGATTATATATAAAATGTTACCGGATTTGTATCAAATAATAGCTTCATATTATTATTAAAACCAATTATTCTGAGCGTTTTGATCCCAAGATACTTGGCCGCGCGGGATCGATTTCTCCCATTTCCATGTCCATGTCCATGTCCCATCTCCATCTCCTCCATCCGTGCATTCGTACCAAAAAAAAAAAGACCCAAGTGACCTAAAGAGAGGGGGCCCCGCCTCACCTGGCAATGAATACTTGGATATTGGATATACCAAGGAAAGACGGAGCTTCCGATGAGGAAAGGAAAGGAAAGTAAAGTTAATAAATAAATCAATTAATATTGAATAATAGTACGGTAATATTCTAATGTGTTGATCTCTTTGTGTCAAACCCACATACTTAACTACTAAGCTCTCCCCTCGCGCCTACTTATTTCTTCCCGCAACAAACCAAATCCACCTTCATTCCCCCATCTCCACTTCCACTACTCCCCCAACATTTATAACTCCAACAAATCCTACCTTCATTCCCATATTCCTTCCATATACAAACCAACACACTTCTTTCCAAGAATCACTTCATCGCGACTTATCCTTATAATACCCATCGAGCTTTGCTTTTTTACAATACCCATTGTCTTTTTATATCCTTTTACATACATACACGCACACACACTCCCATCATGATGATGCATCCCACACTACCGCCTGCGATGACACATAGTGATCTCGACAGCTTCAGGTATAAAAGAGACGCGGAATATAGAAATATCGATAAAGAAGTTGAATATGTTGAGCACATCGAGCGAACAAAAGTACATCTGCCAGAGGACTTGGTTCAGACCGAGGAGGAAGAACAAAACCATTGGTTTATTGGTAGTATTGATCAAGGTACAACTTCTACAAGATTCATCATCTTCAATGGAGAAGGGCAACCTGTGGCCATGCACCAGCATGAATTCGAAAACATGTATCCCGAGTCCGGGTAAGTTTTAATTCTCCTGCTACCCTTACTATCGAATCCAAACTAATAATAATCTTTCCGCAGATGGCATGAACATGATCCTCAAGAATTGGTTGATTCGGTGGATGAGTGTGTAGAGAAGGCAACGGCGAAATTCCTCGATTTGGGATACAAGAAATCCGATATCAAAGCTATTGGAATCACCAACCAACGTGAAACAACCATCTGTTGGGACACAAACACTGGGGAACCATTGTACAATGCCGTTGTTTGGGCCGATACTCGAACCACGGCTCTTGTGCGCGAGCTCAAGGAAGCAGAGGGAGCAGACAAAATCCTTCAATTTTGCGGCCTGCCACTCTCGACATACCCCTCAAGTGTCAAGCTTATGTGGATGTACCGAAATGTTGAAGCCATCAAGAACGCATACGACGAAGGCAGATTATCTTTCGGAACGGTCGACTCTTGGTTGATTTACAAACTGAATGGAGGAAGGGAAGGTGGCATTCATGTCACAGACACTTCAAATGCTTCTAGAACTATGTTCATGAACCTTCACACTCTACAATATGACGACAACCTCCTCAACTTCTTCCAACTCGACAGGAAAAACGTCACCCTACCAAAAATTGTTCCTTCCTCCGACAAAGAAGCCTTTGGCAAGATGGCTTACGGTGCTCTACAAGGCACGAGAATTACTGGATGTCTAGGAGATCAATCATCCGCTTTAGTTGGTCAATGTGGTTTCAAACCTGGTCATGCGAAGAACACATACGGAACTGGTTGTTTCCTTCTCTACAATGTTGGCACCAAACCTGTCGTGTCAAAGTATGGTTTATTGGCTACTGTCGCGTATGATTTCGGCAATGGTAGAAAACCCGTCTATGCTTTGGAAGGTAGCATTGCCGTTGCAGGTTCCGGTGTTAAGTTTTTGATGAACAACCTGGGTTTCATTGCACACTCAAGCAAGATCACTGAATTGGCAGAGACTGTCGAAGACAACGGTGGTGTGGTATTCGTTACTGCTTTCTCTGGTCTATTCGCACCATACTGGATTGATGATGCTAAGGGAACAATCTTCGGTATCACTCAGCACACACAGCGAGGTCACATTGCCCGTGCAACCCTCGAAGCTACCTGCTTCCAGACCAAAGCCATTCTCGATGCTATGGAGAAGGATTCCGGACACAAATTGGAAGGACTCGCCGTCGACGGTGGCATGTCTAACTCTGACCTTTGCATGCAAACACAAGCCGATATTCTCAACATTCCAATCAACAGACCAGTCATGCGTGAAACCACTGCTCTTGGTGCCGCGATCGCAGCGGGTTTCGCAGTGGGTATCTGGAAGGAGTTCGATGAACTCAAGGAGATCAACCGTGACGACAGAACAATCTTCAAGCCACAAGCCAAGCGCACAAAGGCTGCACGCATGTTCAAGAAGTGGGAGCAAGCAGTTGAGATGAGCAAGGGTTGGGTGTTGCATGACGAGGATGATGACCATGATGATCTTGATTAGATGGCTTCATCAAGTATACTGCCAATAAAATGGGGATGGGGGTTGAGATGGAGGTAATGGATAATTCAACTTAGGTGGACAAATGCGGGGAAAAGAGGAGGACATGGATATATACCCCAGGATGATTGATCGATTGCATAGATGCACAGAGTGGGAATTGTGAATTTGGGGTCGGGTGTTTTTGGCGTGCGGTTGTCGAATACCCTTTTGGCGGTATGGATCTATTCATGGGGATGGAAGATTATTTGTAGCATATAAGATTTTGCATTTAGCTGGGTATAGGATATAGGATACAGGATATAGACCGCAGGGCGGCCTTTTAATGAAGTTTACGAATAATAAAAATTCAAAATTAATAAAAACAAAATTTCAAAATTTATTTATCTTGAGTTTTCTTTTTGTGAATGCGGAGAGTTGGATATGCATTATAAACCAAGTTCTGTATGAAGATTCTTGATAAGAATCTGGGTGATATGGGAGGGCAAGGGGGTTCTTTTGATATGGGATGGGATGGGATGATGGATATCTATTATATATATATATACTCGAGTAGATAGATAGATACCGATAGATCGTTTTCCTCTATGGGGGGAGGAGGTGCGGGGGGGAGGGATTGAATCCATCATTTAATAATCATATTTATTTATTCAAGTTTTTTTATTATATATCTATCTTATTTCAGGGATATTACTCAACTCAGTACTTGGATTGATATGATAATGGTGATGATGATGATTATGGTGATGGTGATGGTGATGATGATAATGGTGATGATGATGGTGATGGTGGTGATGATAATGTAAGGTAGGGTAGGGTAAGGTAAGGTAAGGTAAGGTAAGGTATGGTGGGTATGGTGAGGTGAGGTGAGGTAGGGAGGGTAAGGTATGATAGGGTAGGGTGAGGTAAGGTGAGGTGAGGTGAGGTGAGGTAAGGTGGAGTATGGGATGAATGGAGCATGGGATGGATGGATGGATGGATGGATGAGTAGTGAGTAGTGAGTAGTGAGTGAGTATCTAAAGTAGCAAGGTACTGACTGCACTGTACTGTACTGCACTGCACTGCACTGTGCTGTGCTGGAATGGAATGGAGTAGGTAGGAGTAAGTAGGTAAGTAGGTCAGAAAGCAAGAAAGCAAGAAAGTTGAATTGGCAGATTATATTGTATTGTATTGTATTGTATCGGATTGGATTGGATTGGATTGGATCGGATCTATCTAACTCAAATGTGTCTCTCAAATTCAAACATTCAAACATTCATACTCCTATTCTTATTCCTATTCCTATTCCATGCACATCATTCCTCCCATGCAATATTTTACACGCCTCCTCCTTTCCCTTTCCCCGCCTCTCCCCACTTCACCAGCATAAGAACCTACACAAACCTACCAACCAATGCACCAACCAAACAATGCACCAACCAACCAACCTACCCCCACAACGGCGCCGTAACCTCCACAGCCCTCTCCACCACAGCCCTAACCCTCTCCCCAAAAACCCGATTCGCACACTCTACCTCTAGATCTTCAAGCCATACTTTCGCGTTCATTTTGTCGACGGTGATTTCGATGCCTGGGACTGGGATGCCTAGTTTATGTAAGCGGAGGATTTCTTTTGCTTGGTTTTCTTGTTGGGCTTGTGTGTTGGAGGTGGAGGTGGAGATTTCTTCTGTTGGTTCGTTTTTGGGGGGTGGGGAGATGGATGAGGATGAGGATGTGAGGGAGGGTTTGCTGGTGGAGGTGGAGAGGCGCGGAATGGCGATTGGAGTTAGATTGTCGGCGCCAAATTGCGCTTCCAGGAACATGAAGAGGCGTTCGAGGCGCTCGGTGGGGGTTAGGTTAGCGTGGAGGTTGCGGGTTTCGGTGTGGGTGTGGAAATGTGAGTGTGGGGATTTGCTTGCAGATTCTGGTTTATGTTAGTTGAGGTTTATGTCAAAATGGAGGTAGGAGAAAGGAGAGCAGGGGAGAAAGGGGAGAAAGATATCATCTGGATATTTTGAAGGAAAGGGAAGGAAGGGGTCAACGCAATGTAACATACGTTTAACAGCGGCTGGACTACTTTCCACCGAGTAAAGCACCGCCATAATAGCATCCGCAATTCCATCATTCAGCATATTGCCTTCCCATTCCAATTCTACCTCCCCATTACTTCTATATCTCACCGTCACACATCCCATAACCAAATATGCCGTTAGGGCATTGGTATTGGCGATTTCCTCATCAGCTGCTTCGTCAGATGATCCATTCATATGTGTATCCCCGTTTCCATTTGAATGTTTCTGTTGCCCTCTACTCTCAGGCAATTCATCAATTTTTCCAAACGTACCCTCCAGCGCCCATCGTATAAGGTCGATCCCCGCCGCACTGAGTGTCATGCGTTGTTTACAGGTGATGGTAGTGGTAGTTAGTCCCGCATATTCTCTCAAATCTTCTGGGGCCATCAACGACATTTTAAAATCATTTTGAACCAGAACACCCGTGATGATTTGAGTGGAATCGGGGAGTGGAGGATTATTTGCAAGTTTTCCGACGACTTTGGCGGTTTTGGAGGTCATGAAGGGGATGCGTAATGGTTCGCAATTTTTGGGAGAGAAAACTTTCACTTTGGTGGTTTTGTCGGCATTGAGGGAAAGAAGTTTGGACTTTAGACGCATCATATTGTGTTGTTCGCCGTGAACGAGGATCTATTCTTGTTAGGCCCGTATTCTTTTAAGTTTGCATTTGGAAGTTGGGTGGTACTTACCACAACGGGAGCAGCGATTTCCTCGATGAATTCTCGATTCTCAACACCATCAACATGGGCTGCGAAAGAGAATTCTTGAACGCTACATCTTCTGGGTATCATGGCTTTCTCTGTTTCTCCAGGTGCTGATCTTCGAGTGAACCCCTGTGGTCCGGACATGATTGCTTGGATGTGATCGGGTTCCTGCATGATTTGCTTCGCCATAGTACCTTCGACACTATAACCAGTAATAATAACACCATTTTTATCACTTGGTGCCCATCGTTCTAGTAATTGTCGACTGATACCATTCTGTAGCATACCAGGACTTGCTAAAATGACACAACCTCCCACGTCGTCGAATCGATCGAGATTCTTTAATGAACGAATGTACTTGAAATCCCATGGTCCACCTCTACCTCCGCTAGTTGAGTTCGCTTCGGCTTCGGCCATACGTTCTCTGAATAGCCGTTTGATATTTTCGTTCATCGATCCAACGTATGTCTGGTATACCAACATACATTTGCGGGCTAAGTTACTAGCATAGTAAATAGGAATCTTCTGAAACTCCTGATGTTTACCCCAGTATTCATCTAGAATCAAAAGAAGTTCTTGGGCTCTACCGAGTGCAAAGACTGGCATGAGGACGCGACCCCCGCGATTCAGGATACTAGTGATAGATTTCATGAGGGCTTGCTCTCGTTCCATCCGGGGAACATGTGATGCTATACCATAAGTAGATTCAGTAATCAGAACATCAATCTTCACTCCTTTGGGGACTTCGGCAGAGACAAGATGTCGATCGTCTTCCCGAGAATAATCTCCAGTGAAGAAAATCTTGAGTCCAGCGATCTCAATGAGAAACATGGCAGCACCAAGTACATGGCCAGCTGGGTATGGCGTGACTCTTATGGAAGATATTGTATGTGTAGTATGATAATCTATGGCTTCGATTTGAGCAAACGTAGTGAGATGGTCGGCTTCGGTATAGACTGGGTGTGAGCCTCCATTCGAGGAAGCTCCTCCAACTCTTACACTGTCTATGATGAGCCATTTGTAAATAGCCTTGGTGGGATGTGTCATGAAGACACGGCCCTTGAAATTAGTCTTCGCAAGGACGTATGGTAACGAAGCGGCATGGTCGACGTGAAAACTTCAAAAGGTCAGCTCTTGCAATATCAGGTAGGGCAAAATACGCCAGCAAAAATAGGATTCTATGTACAAGTCGGGTGTGCGGGGATAAAGGTTATATCACAGAATCAAGACAAGCATTTGCTGTGGGATAATGGTATTGTATTGATTCTCGTATACATATTCAATATGGTATATAAGCCAAGGAGATGTGAGATGGAAATCTGCATATGATCTGCATGACCCAGAATGCGATGTAGAAGTCTAAATTGCCGATGGCACATTATACCGAACCCGTCGAAACAGGATACCATATAACGACTACCCCAATCCTCCAAAAGCCAACGCGCGCGTATATGGGATGTAGGAAATGGGAAATCCGCTTACTGGCTGATCAGAAGTAAATCGACAGTACTCAAGTCAAAATCGTCGTAGAAAGGTAGAGCTGCTAAGCCGTCGTAGCCAGCATGCAGACCAGCATCGAGCTATATCAACAAGTCAGTAAAGAAGGTGCGAAAAGAGTAAGAGAAAGGCTGTATGCTTACCATGACGGTTTTACCCTTGTATTGAATGATATGGCAAGATCTTCCGACCTCATTACCACCACCAAGATTCGTGAATATGAGCTCATCAGCTGGGTCTACCGGCTCTTCCACAGTAGGTGCCATAGAGGCAGCCTTACGTTTTGATGCCATTGTAATCGAGATGTGAAATATTGCTTTTCTTTGTTAATTTAAATTTATGACAGTCACTACCTTCAGAGGCAGATAAATGTTCAGTGAGAGAGCATAATCGCACTCAAAGTCCGACCTCAACAAAAAAGAATATTAAAAATAAAAAACCTTTTGGTGGAATGGTAAGTTAGAGAATAAGATAAGTTGAATCAAAATTATTGTTGTGAATTCAATGTACTTGGATTATAAGAAGAGAAGTGAGGTTTAATATCAAAGACGCGATTTTGGCGTTCCTTGTAATGGAAATTGTGCACTAAAAGTTACACGTGATGAATGTCAAAACTGGATCGCTTTCGCGATTCCATTCAATGACCACATAATTTGCCTGGAACGGAAACAGCTTAATCATCATCAAAACAACGAGTGAATACGGTCGCGCAGGTTCAATAGATTTATTCTGAAGACTTACACTAGCGCATGGGTCGATATCATTGGAGGTAGCCGGGCTTTGCGCCTGGGTTGTGAAGGATACAGGAGATAAATAGAAGTTATTGCGACCAAGACGTCGACAACATGGCGCAACCACAGCAACAGCAACCGCCATACCCTATGCCTCAGAGGCCTTTCTCCCCCCCGCAACCAGTTAATTCACCCTCAACTCAAAATCAACAGTTCGCCTTTCCACCACACAAGCGACAAAGAACGTCCCCTAACCCGCCGCCGTCCCAGCCAGGTTCGCCCTACGTCACATCACCATATGCGATGAGCCCAGGTGCTTCTGGTCCGGCTTCAGCTTCACCTTCGCCGCATTTCTCCACAGTACAGCTTCCTCAGACTGCTTATACCACACCGTATTCAAATGGATTAAATGCGCAACCATCTCCTTCGTTAAATCTTCCGCAAACTCCAGGTGCCCTCCCGCCTCATGCGCAACCAAGCCCTTTGAGCTTCCCAGGTCAAATTCAGCAGCATCATCAAGGAAACCTACAGGCGGCTCATTTCAACAATTTTAATCTGCAGATGCCACAACAGCATCATCCTGGAGGAATCATGGGTCCACCTTCGAGACCGGTTGATAAGAATAAGCTTGATGGTTTGGATCCGATGGACGTTCTGGGAGGAACTGGTGTCGATCTTGCAGAGGAGGAACAATATACATTTCAGCAGTACTCATCATCTTTTAATGCTCAAGTCTCCAGATCACATCCTGGTAATGTTTCGGCAGGTCACAGCTTTACTCAATTTCCACCTGGACATGAGCGATCTTTCTACGGCTCTGGTCCTGCTAATCAACTCGGAGAAGTCCCTAATACTAAGTCACAAGAGGATTTCGAAAAGAAGGCTGCTGATAAGGCCTGGCATGATGCGGCTCGTGATTTAGCAGTATCGAGGCAAAGGGAGTTGAATAATCCCTTCTTGATTGTGTCCACCGTTCATAGAAGAATGGAGAAGATCGCACATGATAATGGTCTTGGCTTGAACACCGACTTCAACCAAAAGATGGGAACCATGAAACTACCTGAGCACTTTCCAGAACCAAACGTTAAAGTACAAACGGCGGTAGGACCAGAAGGTGCCATCACTGCAACAACCGGTACCTTCATTCCAGCCGATTCTCTACTCGTTGACCAGCTTGCGCTTATGTCTATCTCTACCAAGTATCGGCTTCGTGGATTAGTGGAAGATGCTATCAAACTATCTATAGGTCGACAGACTGGTTCTCATGCTCAAATTAGGGATGAATGGGCAGACGTTGCTGTAGAGTCTCGTAAAGTTTCTACCATTGTCAATGAAGGTGGACCACGGATTGGATGGGAGAGTGCTGTCAGCCCTCTCACCAACTCTCAAAAACGTATGTATCATATCCCTAGTGATTTCGATTGGAGCTAACCCAGCCAAGGCCCCCACTCGGCTGCAGGTAGATTACCCACCCCGGTATCAGAGAGCGCAAAGACGCCAACGAAATCCTTTGCGAACGAAGTTGCAGTAGCTCTTCGAAAAGCCGCCGGTAAGGAGCAAGAAGCTGAAGAGGCTAGAATCCGAAAACGTAAGGCTCGCGAGTCTGGTGATGGATCTCGTGCTGGGTCAATAAATCCGGGCACGCCAGGCTCTATTGCGCCAGATATTCTTGACAAACCACCTACCAAGAAAGAAATGAAGAGAAAGGCAGAGGCCAAAACTAGCGAGGCAGCAAGCCACGCAGCAGCCAATGTGACGACTACACAATTCTTGGGTGGTAGAAATGTGTTTGGGAAGAAGAAGCAATATAGTTGGATGACTTCGGCTGGTGGATCTGGCAGTGGTACAAGCACACCGGGTAGAATCATGCCACAAGGCCTTGGTGCTTCTTCTGGTAGCCCAATTGCGAATCCTGGACCCGAAAAATTCACGACAGATGGTGTGCGAAGGTTAGGAACATGGCGAGAAGATGGTGGCAAGGGACGTCATATTCAGCTCCGAGACTGGATCATGGTTCTCGAGGATGATGGCAGGGAGAAAAAGGCATTACAAAAGGCATACGCTTTGGTCGATGGAATGGATCCTAAGTGAAGGAATTTCTTTTCATGGATAGGGCAGTTGCAGAATAATATTTGCATGGCGTTGCATGGTTCATCAGGCGTTTGTGTCTCCCCCAAGGAAAGGATGGGCACGCTTTTTATCTCGTTGGGATTCGATGAATGGATGGATGGTTTACCTTATCTTACACATATGGTTGTGGTGGTGAAAAAGATGCATATTCGTCTCACCATTGGGTTTGATATATGAATCAAGACTTTTGATAGAGCTATACCTTTTTGGATGCAATAGGTAGGCACCTAGGTAGCAATAACTCAATCTTACCAACCAGTTTTTTATAAATTTATTAAGGAAAATCTCCTATTCAAGTTGTAACCATGAGAGAGATAAATTCTAGATCAGGTATCGTATGTAGTAATATTTTTAAAAGCTCACCATAAAAAACCTTGTGCAGTCAAGCAGTCAAGCTACCTACACATTACAATGTCGGTACCAACCCCACATATTGGGTTAAAACAATGTAACAAAGAACAAAATAAAGTCCCAATTGCCAAGCAAGCTTTTCTTTTCTTTGCTTTGATTATAATATATATATTTTTTGATTTCTCCATATTTTCTCCATAATTTCTCCATTTTCAAATTCTTTTCCCCGCGATAATTATTTCTTATAGGTCTAGTTTTGGGGCTATGGATAATGGTAGGATGGGAAAAAGGGAGAAGAAAGAAGGAGAAGAAAGGAGAAAGGAAAAGAGGGGTTGGAATTGAATTGAACTGAACTGAATCCACTTGTGATCATCGTATTATTACTAGGTAGGTAGGTTTTTGCTATTCGATTCGGGTATTTGGTTATCCGGGTAAGGTTAAGGAGTTTGCGGGGGTGGGTGGTGGTGGTGGTGGTTGTGGATGTGGATGATGGTGATGGGTTTGGTTTCTTTATTATATGAGTATGAGTATGAGTATGGTACTGTATGAGAATGAGATAAGATACTTAAGTAAGTATAGCTGTGAGAGTAGTGACCTGATCACAATCACAATTACAATGGATAGGAAGAAAAGATAGGACAGGACAGGATAGCACTCGAATAAGAATAATCGTAAATCGGATCCGAGAATACAACATATGCAGTACAGTACAGTTCACCGGTACTGTATCCCTCTCAATCTTTTGGGCGAGTTGAATTGAATGCGGTTTTGGTTTGTATGATATGATATTGATATTGATATGATGTGATGTGGATGGATGGATGTGAGAGTGATGGTTTGGGTTGGGTTTGTTGATTTGGTTAGGTTTAGATTCCGGATGCATGGATTTGTTGGATATCTACGGTATCATACCCATTGGCGAGTTGGTGATCTCAAGCTTGAGCTTTTTAGCTTTTTGATATTACCGGTTCGTACTTGTATGTATGTACCTGGTTGGGCTTGAATTATTGAATTTGACCAATAACAGAGAGGGATGGGTTGGCGGGTTAAGTACTAGGTAAGGTAGGTAATTAATTAGAAAAATTACCTAGTAGACAGAACCGAGATATATAGAGAGGGATCTTCTTTCCCTCCATCAATTGACTTTTTTTTCTACATTGATTTATTTGGAATCTTGTGACGATTAATTAATTGAGAGCAATAGCTTTAACTATTTGTGGATGAATTCATTTTAACTTGTACGAATGCAATTCCTAAGTTTATATTTTTTGCCTATAGAATACAGTTTACGAAACACGAAATACGAAATACACAATATCGGGATAAAGAAGTTTGAAGGTGACGCATTGTTTTCTACTAAAAGGGAAATTAAGAATATCAACTTTAGAATACGACTTTGGCTTTTAGTAGTGTAACTACCATTCGTCTCGGCAACACAACAGTATCACAAAAGGATTCAAAAAGAGACATCATGAATTGTCCATCAAGAACAGATGAACCATTGGAAGGTGATGGATATAATCAAAACCCCAATGCCTTGGCAAATGACCTCACCACCAGAGAGGATTTGAATGGGCGAGCAAATGGGAGGGCGTTGAGGAGAAGTTTGGAGGATGAGGGCTTGGAGTGTATTAATAACCTTGGGGAAGATACTGGTGATGGAGAGGGAATCCGAGGTGGGAAGGGTGTTGGAGGGGGGGTGGGAGTTGGGGTTGGGGTTGGGGATGATAGGGGCGGTGGAGGGGATGGGAAGAGTGATCACGTGGTTGATCCTTCTAGTGCACCTCTTGATACGATAGATCAAGCGGGAGGTGGAAGGGGATATGGAAGAAGTTGTCTCAATATCTCAAAGGAACAATTCGTGAAAATGAAGCAAGTGATGGTCAAATTTGCTAAATTCGTGGGTCCGGGATTCATGGTACGTATTTTGCCACCCCCTCCAACAATAACAAAACAACAGCATCATCATCAATATCAAAATCACAATAAAAAGCCAATATCCAAAATTGCTTTCAGTCACATTAACATATTGACATATTTTATAGGTGGCTGTAGCATATATTGATCCCGGAAATTATGCTACGGATGTTGCAGCCGGAGCGACGTATAGATTTCGGCTGCTGTTTATTGTGCTGATGTCGAACATCTTTGCCATCTTCTTGCAGAGTCTTTGTATTAAGCTGGGCACTGTTAGTGGATTGAATCTGGCAGAGGCTTGTAGGGCTTTCTTGCCGAAATGGCTCAATATTTCTCTGTATATTATGGCTGAGGGTGCAGTATGATGATTCTCTCTCCTTTTACATTGTCATCTTGGCTGACCGACAATAGATTATTGCTACGGACATTGCTGAGGTGATTGGTACAGCTATTGCTATCAATCTTTTGATACCTCAAATACCCTTGGTTGCTGGTTGTGCTCTATCGATTCTTGATGTTCTTATTCTTCTCGTTTTTTATCCTGGAAATGGTGAAATGAAGAGATTGAGATATTTTGAGATGTTTGTTGTTGGCTTGGTGTTGGGTGTTGTTGTGTGCTTTTGCATTCAATTATCCCTCATTCAAAATACTTCCGTGGGTGAAGTGTTCAAGGGATATTTGCCCTCCAAAGCGATCGTTGAATCAAAGGGGTACGTGATTCATTATCGACCCCACCATCATCATACTAATTTACTTTAGAATCTACCAAGCGTGTGGGATTCTAGGAGCGACCGTCATGCCTCACAGTCTTTATCTTGGAAGTGGCATCGTCCAACCTCGACTCCTGGACTACGATAAAAAGAACAACATTATCAAACAGGATTTCGACCTTGGTACTAAGGAACCATACTACCCCTCCCTCCCCGCCATCAAGTTCTGTCTCAAATACTCCTACGCCGAACTCGGAATCTGTCTCTTTACCTTCGCTCTCTTCGTCAACTCTGCAATTCTCATCGTAGCCGGAGCAGCCCTCTACCAAAACCCTGCAGCCCCAGATGCCGATCTTTTCGGCATCTACGATTTACTCGTATCAAGTATCTCGAAAGGCGCCGGAACTATCTTTGCTCTTGCCTTATTATTATCGGGTACCAGCGCGGGCATTGTTTGTACCATCGCTGGACAAATGGTTTCCGAAGGTGCTCTCAACTGGACCATTAGACCTTGGCTCCGACGTCTCCTCACCAGAAGTATAAGCATCACACCTAGTATCATCATTGCCGGCGCCGTCGGCCGCGAAGGTCTATCGGCTACTCTAAACGCTAGTCAAGTAGCCCTCAGCATCGCCCTTCCATTTATCTCGGCACCATTAATCTATTTCACCTGTCGTAATCGTTACATGACGGTGGGATGTCAGGGGCGAAATACTTTTGGAAATGATGGTGAGAATACGAGGGGAAATGGAGATGGAAATCCGGAAATCGAAAGTGATTTTGACCATGAAGGGGATGAGGGATTGAGTGGAGATGCGAATGGAATGGATAGAGGTGCGGGGACAAAAATGAGAAATCATTGGATTACGGCGGCGGTGGCGGGGTTTATTTGGATCGTTATGGCGGCGATGAATGTGGCGAATTTGGTGCTGTTGGGGAAGGGTGAAGTTTGATTGTAGAAGGTTGTGAAGATCTTGTAGATGGCGGGGTGAGGTAGATGGTTGAGAATAGTTTGATGAATTTTAGATAGAGGAGAGACGGAGAGAGTGCTGGATAATGAAGGAAGAAAGGAAGGATAGCAGTAAATTGTAGAGTACATAGGTATCGATCGTATCGCTGGTAGCTTGGGATAATGATTGATAGGCACTCGAGTATACAGTGCCGATAGTACTCGAGTACATAAAGTGCATATAATGCACTAATACCAATACCAATACTCAATATTAATGCTTAGCAATCGAGTTGAGCAGAGAAAAGGTACTTGAATACGAGTACAAATGTTATTATCAATATTAAAGTATGAAAGTATAAAGTATGATCACGAGTTCTCTATCGTTGTTTCTTTAGAGTAGGATGAGGTAGATGGTCGGTATAAGTTCTGGTATAAGTTCTGGGTCTGTCTGCTTTTGGCGATTCTGGTTCTGGTTCAGGTTCTGGTTCAGGTTATGTATTTGTATTGTAAAGGAGTGAAGGTAGGTGTGAAATCATAGGAAAGCCTTCGGCATAACCATATATTGTATAACAATCATCTAATCGTAGCATTACTGAGATAGTTATGGTCAAAGGGGGATAAAGTAATTATTTGTCTAAATATTGAAAGTAGGTATAATTTTGAAGGGGTAAAATATGATAATTGATTTAAACTACAGGAAGAGAGGGTATAAGTACCTTCTCTAGGCTATTATGTGACTCTAATACTATTGATTGGTTTCCTCACAGTATCTGTATTTATTTTGTACGAATACAAATAGGTATACATATGTATCTTGCTATGCTATTTTCTTTTCCTTTCTGAAACTCGCCTGGCGTGTGTAGTACTTACTAGTGGTACTTTATCTGGTATCTTGATCGATCGAAGGTTTACATTGGAGAGATGGAATCTATTTCTATTTCATCTAATAATACATAGATATAAACTCGAGTATACATTTTATATTACATGAACATGTCCCCCAAAAACATTTTATTTCAAGTTCGAGGGACGCGCGAAGGTGGAAAACAGAGATATGAGATAATAGTCATTAAGTATTTAACACTCTACTTTACTCTCGCCGTAACTTTAAGTAATGACTCGGAATCATTATCATCTAATTCTTTCATCTGGTTATATATAACATGACGGATATGAATACTGAGTAGGTGGATATTCAGATAACATTAGAACCTATAGAAGCTTTGAACAAATTCATCAAAGGTAATAAGATGTTCCTTTTTTTCTTTTTTTGGAAATCCTAGAAAAGTTTCAGAAGATGGCTTCGTCATGATTCTTATATTACTCTCTAGCTACACATGATTTAGCTCGAAAACTAGTGTCAAAAGAGGTGTGGTTTGAAAATAGCTTTCTTTGCTAGTGAGTTATCGGATGTAATATAACACATATACTACGCTGGGGTCCTGCTTCATTGTGATCTCTCCCGATCTGGGCTATAGCTAGTCAATGGTGGGATTTGAGTTTCGTTGTTATCCAGCTTGTCTGGATCCTGATCAATGCTTCTTTCTGCCTGTTCGGCTTGGTTCGTTTATTAATGTTCTTCGCCTCTATCTTTATGGTTTTATTGAATATACATTTCTTGGGGGGAGTCTTGGTAGAAAGGATGTGGAAGGATTCATCTCGCTAGCGGTATATATGAGGCTGCTTGATTTTTAGACTGAACTCGAGTCAGTCTATTGGGAACTGGGAATTTAGTAGCTATGTTATGATATACTTGTTCGTAAGAGTTGATGCGATTTTCTGGGTAGCATAGATGGGTTTGACGAATATTATCAACTGAATATAAGTCTTAGAAGAAATCTGTGACGAAGATATAGGTCTACATTAGCATCGGTGAGTATTTTCTTGGGAGCGAAGATTATGATATATTCAACATGAATGCTTGAAATGTCCATAAGGTTGCAAAATTGCAAGATGAAAATAAACGTTTGTCAAATTCTTGTCAATATTATCGTTATCTGAAAAGGGAACTTTGAAATCCAGAGATATTGAGCGATAAGTATCGACATACAATCGAGTAGTATTGGCTACAGTATTCAGAGACTTCTCATATTTTGCGGCATGGCCATCAGCGTATGCAATCTCCCCTCTTCTCCTCTCCTTAGTTGAAGGAGACTCAGGAGAGGAAGGATAGCTCAATTGGGAGGATTAGGTAGGTTAGGAGAAAAGGGGAAAATCGAAGGAGAATATAGATTTAAAAAATCGCAAAAAGAGGAAAGGAAAGGAGAGAAGAGTTGAAAATGTTATTATTTGAATAGAACAGAATAATAATGATAATGATAATACATTTCAAAAAAGAAATATTCAAAATTACTAATTATTCTTTTTGTTTTTAAGGAAAAAGACAAATAGAAACTTTGAAGGATTAGACAGATTGGGAGAAATGAATAAATCCACAAGAAAGTATAAGGATTTTTAGGGCTTAGAAAAGGAATTGAGAGGAGGAGGGGAGATTGTATACACTGTGGCCCGTTTTGTTGTAACTTGTTCCAAGAGAATGATTTTCGCGGCGAAGATATATGGGATTTACTATACTATGACTCTTCGCTCTCTAACCTCTTTCCTTTTGCCAACTGGATCTCTCGAGAATTTTGAATAGATATGTCGGGGCTATATCGCGCTTTGGCTTACTACAAGGTAAGTACCAAATTTCGCCCTCAACTGAATCGTAGAGGTACTTCATGGATTTTTAACTCGTTATGATATTCTTCCATATGACTGTCTAGATAAGATAGATCTATGATAGCTTAAAAGACATCAACAAGATATGGACTAATCGATAATAATAGCGCGATTAAACAGACATGTTAGAGATTCTGAGAGGGATATCGAGATCGGTTTTATCTCACCGAACACTTTTGCCATTTCAATCAATGTAGCGGTCTAGTCATGTCGATATCGTCACGGTCCGTTATTCTGCGGTCTTACAAATACCTTTCCGGTTGGTCTCGCATTTAGTCCTTTGCATAAGAGACGTGGTAAAGTGTCTAGGATGACGTTGTGTTGGATTATTATTATCCAACTTGAAAAAGTCTCGTTCGAAAGCGTTCAGTAGAGGTAAGAATAGGCGCCCCTTCCGAAGATTAGAGATCTGAAGGAGTGATTGCTGTTGCTTTAAAGCTTATGAGCATTTTATCGAGCTCTGTCCTAACACAGTCTACAATAATCGATGGAATCTGATTTAAGGAAATCTTGTGATTCACAGGGAGAATTAAATGTAGAATAGCAGGAGCTCGCGGGAACTTGCAGTGTTTTGCAACCTTGACTTAACCTGCTTTATTTCCTTTGAATAATTCTCCGAGTTCCTGTATAATCTATTTAAAACGAACTGTTAGAGTCTCGATTAGTACCCAGTCGATCCTCCTACTTAGTCCGGAAACGTTGAATAGACGTCACGCTCGTCTGATTCTCATGTATAAGGAAATCGGGAAATCCAAAGTTCGGATGAGAAATTTGCAAATTTTACCAGCAAAGGTATCAAAAAGGAAAAGGAAAATCAAAAAATGAAAGCATTTCTACTATGAGAATGTGAAATACATAGAATTAATACATCAAAAAGTTGCCAGTGACCTCGTTCTTTCAAACGGGCAAGGCTGCAAAGAAGACTAATGATAGATATTTAGTCTAATACTAGAGATCCCAAAAATCTTGTATTCAATAGCAAATTATTATTAGATGACTATCTTCCATTTGGATAGCAATCCAATTGATATTATCTGATGTTTAGCTGAATCCAGAAAAATCCTAGAAATCTACTACCGTTAGTAAACTAGAAAATCCAAAATTTCAGATGAAGGGAAGTGACTTCGTATAGTAGTGAAGATCTTTCAAAGATGGACTTCGTATTTTCGGAATGACAAGGCTGTAAATACATACTAGAAGCATTAACCGTGCGTGACTTTTAGACGTCGAATTCTAAATTCATCTAATAGTACTAATAGTACTACGAGTAGTAGTAGAGATCTAAAGACTCTCATCCCAACTACTAGTAATAGATTATCGCCATCATGATCTAATCTTTTTCAATTAGTGAGAAATAATACAATCGATGTAGTATCTTCTAACATCTAATCGGAATCCGGAACTCATAAAATGTCCAAATTCTCCAAATTCTAAGATTGGAAAGTTCGGAAATTCGAAAAATGCAGAATGAAAATCATTATAAAAGTTGACTTAGTACATTCAAAAAGACAAGGCTATGAATACAAACTAGAAATATCAGACTATAATCCCCTAAATATACCAGATTACACTAAGCATCAATCAAAACTAATCCCATCTCTAGCACAAAACACAGTAGTAGTTCCTGGACTAGAATCAAAGCAATCAGATCTATATCATCTGATATCCTATTCTACATCTTGATGAAATGAACATTTTCAAAAAGTTAATTTGGTAGTTTTTGAAAGTGAAGTTAATATATCGGATAATAAGCTCCTAAATCATTGAATCGGTACTGAATAGTCGATGATTTTCGTCTAATTTGTAGAGCGATTATTACTTATTTTGAGTCTTTGATATGAAGCAATCAAATTCATATAGCTCATATTTTTATTTGAATATTGGTGTACATTCTCATAACACTTGCCCTGGTTATTTGTTAAGAATCTAATTAGAAAAATTCAGACGATAGTCTTCTGAATGTTCAAGCTAGTACTGAAGAAATTAGTGCTCTCGTCTAATATTCGTAGCAATAAAGAAGCTATTCTTGTCTTTGACTAAAAACAACCAAAAGCTATATTGTCCAATATTTTCACAAATTTTTGAAATGAACATTCGAGAAAAACTTGACTTTGGTATTTTCAAAAACCACAAGGCTGCACAGCCTTGATTCACGATGAAGACTAGAAATGTCGAGAAAAGCTGACTTGGTATTAAAAAAGCTGCGAGGCTAGAGCCTTGCGAGCTTGAATTTACTATTTAAAAGCAGAAAAAAAATCTCGATCTATAAAATTGACCAATTATAGGCCATAATTTCCACCGTAAAGAGTATCAAATCGACCAAGCCACCAATCAGTGTCTAGCAAATACACCCCACGCCCCCAATATAAACCAATTAACTCCACGCCAGTTCCAAAAACCAACCAATCAGTTACAGCCATTCCCAACCGTCTTGATCGCGGACCATACGATTAACCAGACGAGAAGCGCCAGGAGCGCAACTTGAGCCCCATAGATCCACCATCTGTATGCATAAACACGGGGCAACTCCTCTCGCTTGTCTCGGCAAAGCGTGGTGAAAAATAGGATTGATACCAGTGTAAAAGCAATCGAAAGGGCAGTGATGATAATAGCGGCGTTCCAACCGCTACAGCTTGGCTCTCGCTTCTGATGGTGATTGGTCCCAAACACACGGCGCTTTAAGGAAGCCAAGTTCTTGAAGAGTCCGTTAGGTGTATGGCGCATGACGCCAGAGGTGTGGGAAGCGGACGATGTGGGAGAAGCCATAACGGCAGCGGTACAAGGAGTCAATGCATCTTGGGCGGCCAGGTAACAGAGACCGGTAGCTGTTGACGACGTTTGAGTGGAGACCGTTGTGACGGCGGTGACTTGAGAAAGCTGGGTCGTAGTCAGGTTAAACGTGATGATATCGGTGCTGGTGCTTGGAGATTGGACAGTGGTAGCGACGATTGTGGTATATGAGACATATACGATCGAGGTCGAGAAAACGGTCGATTTGGCCAATTGTAGCCCGTCATCAGAGGCAACACCGGTAGGTACATGGGTAGAAGTAACTGTTTCGATCATGGAGTAGAGTTCCGAACCGAAGGAGCCAACAATAGTGTTGGTGGCAGTAGTAATACTGGCACCAGCAGGGGAAGAGTCGGCAACAAAATCTAGATAAATATCAGTAAACATGATGTGAAGCCTAAAAGACTAGATACACGAGGAAAGAGAGCTTACCTTGAGCAACAGCCAAGATCATCATAAGGAACAAGAGAAAGAGCTTATAGAGGTCCATCTTGACGTTACTATAGAAGCCAGGGTTAGTATACTTGTCTTGGATAAAGGATCTCATCGGGAGATGAATAAAATCTGCTGTTGAGGTGATTTTGCTTTTGTAGGAAGGGAAAAGAGAAGGTACTTACGAGACAAACTGTAATCGAGATTTGATTGTTAAATTCGAGAGGTGATTCACGGAAGAGTTTGGCTATGACAAAAGGTATCGACAACGTTGGAATTTTACACAAAGAACGCTCAAATTGATTGAAGAGAGCAACCTTAGCTGTGCAAGTCTGCGAGGTGGGGGTATTTCGTAGTAGGAATTGAATTGGACTGTACGTAATTCGGGAACTTTGAAAGAAGTCTTTACGTAAGAGGAATTCGAAGAAGCTTGGAAGTATTGATCGAAGGACAGAAGAACTTGCAGTATTCTATAAGGTAACGTTGAGCTGATTGAAGGAAACGATCTTGGAAGGAAATGTCTTCTGGCTTCGGTGCGTGTTGTGGTTGTAAAAGAATACAAACTCGGTCGGAGATTGCGAGAGAAGATTTTAAATGGGCATACCACCCAATAATTGCTATTGTGCTCTACTGAGGAATAAGCGAGCGTATCAGAGAGAGTTGCCAATCAAAAATTCTCAGGAAATTGAATGTGTTTCGTTGGGTACGCAGCGAATGGCACGATCGCCGACATACCGATAGTTTCCTAGGATACACATGGAGCGTGGTGAATGGAACACATATGAGGAAGAATTAACAGTCTCTCAGGGGACGCGGTTATTGTGTAGCTGGGCTCTGGTTTGTGACTGCTTACTAAACATTCTCGCGGTTCTTTGGCAGATCTGATGGCTTGACGAAGGCGCAAAAAAGGAATGATTAGATTAACGAATCTTGTGCCCCTAGTCCAAGATGAAAGGGCCTAGATGTTGGGGCTCCAACAGTAAGTCTCCAACTCGATCACATCCTCCGTGAACCTCTGTTTACCTTGTTCTAGGACGAGGATCCGAAACCTATTCGAAGCATCAAATATGGACCTTTCGCGGGCCAAATTTCGACCTTGAAGCCGACGCGGTCATAGAAGGAATCTTCACGAAGATTAAAAGGGCCTTTAACCTGCCGATACAACAGGATACCTCGCAGCCTCAAATTCATTCTTTTAAACCCTCGAACTTGAGCAGATTTTTAGAATTCGGCTCTTTACATGAGCCCGGGTCGATATTCCACCCTTCAATCGACCTCGGACTATATCCCACTCCGCATCCCTTCACCAACATCAAGACTAATATTAGCAGTATCTTCTAACGTGTCAAACAACAAAGACAAACAAGATTGCGCACATCTTCACTCTATTCAGGGTCTTCTACCTCAACAGAAAGTATTATTAGACTTCCATCTAGATTGCGTGGACTGACTTCTTTACGTATTTAGGCTCTGAGTTGTTACCAAGTCATACTTTGTGGCCGTTCACAAGAGCTAGTACCAGCTTCGAATACCGCTTAACGAGACTCCAGTACAAAGCTACCATTTCCTTGCGAAGGCGTCATCAAATGCTGCTCATATGGATTGGACGGGTGGTCCGTGAAGGGCTAACAGTGGCTTCAAACCATTTGCTACCTAAGACACACCTACAAAACGAAGAAGCTGAAGCTGATACACCAGTCGAAGATACATCGTGCGCATGGCGTAGCGAGCAGAGCTCACGAAAAAAGGCACAAAATTTCGAACACTATCTGCACTCTGTCATACACCCACTAGATATCTACAACTTGCATGATGGATCATATCTTCCCAATGCAGTATGATATAAGCCGCTTAGCTGCTTGTTCCTACAGTCAATGTGCGGGGCTTCAAATACAGACTACCAAAGAATGGAGTCTGGTCTGAGCATCTATTTAATCGAATATATATCCTTGCACTTGGGGAGTATGGAAGTATGGAAGAGGGGTGCTGCACAGCATCTAGTGGGCATTCACTCAATCGATCGGCAACTACAACCTCCGCCTTGGTAAGTTTGACCCGATCGACCCGAGCCTCACAAAATCCTCTTTCGAGTGCTTAGAAGAAGAGTGCTTAGAAGTTGACATCTGCAAACATCATAATTTCTGAGACTGCAAATTCAAAAGTCCTGCATACAGTGTATGATCAATATCTCTTTGTCATTGGCTTGATATTTTCTTGATGGATGGTATGGCAGCAGACACTTATCTGTCATCAAAGATCGAAAATGCGATGTGTCTTGCGTTAAAGAATTATGTTTGTTAACCATTCCAGTGGATGGATTCGTTTTGGACTGAAATATTTGGAAGCAAGAAGTTGCTTTTTAAGCTCACAACACGGCTTTACCTCGGGCATTAGGTCTGGAGATGGTGGCTCGGGCAACTCTCGTCTAGCCAACCAACCAAATCATTGATCTGAAAGACAGCCAGAGCCAGACTTCGAGAGTCAAGCTTACCCATGAGAGCTCAAGAATAGCAATATGCTGATGGCAGGTCAAACCGACTTTTGAATGAAAGGATTATTTGTTCAACATGGGAAAGCTTCCGAATGTCAATTATTCGCCAAGCACGAAGTAGAAAGGGGAACACGAAATTCGCAAAGTACAAGCACATAGCTGAAAGAATCAGTATTAAATGAGGAGTTGCGACTAAAGGTGTTTCGATGACATGATAACTAGATATGAGAGTGATTTTCTATATGAGAAGGTGACGGAGAGTGCGTTTGAGGATACCTATTTGTTCAAACACAAGTCATTCCCAAGCTCAAACTCAAGCTTTATATTGATTACAGGTACACATACTACTTATCGTGTTCTTTGCTGGTGGCTTCAATTTTGTATTGAAAGATAATAAACTGCATCACATCCACAGTAGGGCTTTTCTAGCTTCCTCCCATTCAAAGCATTATATGAGCAATGAAGCTTCAGCAATACAGCTTGAGCAATGAAATTATAAAAGCTTCTAACCTAGTAATTAAGCATTGTGGCCCAAGCTTCCGCGTTCTATTAATTACTGTAATACCCAAGTCTAAACGCTATCGGCTGAACTTCGGAGCAAACTGATAGATTATCCTCAACTATCGTTCCGTTTGGCAGCTATGGAACATTGGAGTACAATCATTAACATTTCCCACGTCCATTACCTTCCTCGAGCATTCGAATAATGGCCTGGCCTTATCCTTGAAACACTTGCTTAGTGTAGCTCATCGGAGTCACAACAACAACATAGACTTCGCTCACACGACAATTCTGGGGTGGCGTATGCAAAGCGCAAATCTCTAGCAATACTTGCTTTGCCAAACGCACAGTGGTTGGCAAATCCGACGGATGAGCAATAATAAGAAGTACGGATCTCCTGACTACGACAAGACATACAAAATATGGCTGGTAGCACCGACATTACGCCCACAGAAGTGGCCGATTATATACATGTAAATGGCACAGAACACAAGGTAGTCGACGTCGGGAGTGGTGGAGATATCATTCTCGAAGTTATGTTCGAAAACACGAAAGCTTGTACAAAGTCGATTCCAAACGAGACGATTCAGAAGTTGAAGATTTCAAAAACGCCGTTCCCGTTAGCACGAGTGTTCTATCGTGTCCGTCTCGATACTCTGAAGAAGCACTCCAAGTATTTCGAGCATCTTCTCGGCTCAGATAAATTTGGAGAAGGTCGAGCTATATCTGCCAAGTTTGCAGAGTTGGCTCTATCAAGTAAAAATCCATCAAAGCTACCGGCAGAAGAACTCCCCAGGATACAAATAACAGATGAGGATGATGCAACAAGGACCATTGGAAGGGAGACCGTTTTCCATGATATGCTCAAAATTGTTCATGGCATGGACCATTCCAGCAAATCTATTACTCTTCTTCATATTGTCATCTTGGTGGTAATGGCAGATAGATATGACTGCAGGGCTACGATCGCACGATACATTACAGGCAGATTCTCAAATTTCCGATACCCACCAACCCTCGACAAAACTACGGAAGAAGTTGTGCGGCAGAAGATCTTGATATTTTACCATACAAATCAAGCATTACGCCTGGCCACAGCCACGAAGGAGCTCATTGCTCGTGGTTCATCTCGTTGGTCAAACTACGAAGAGGCAGGTTCTGACTTTGTAGCGGCTTGGTGGGATCTACCAGAAGATTTAGAAGGTAAGCAAAACTTTGTACAATTCTCTACTGAGAATGTAGCTAATACTTTGTAGCTGAGCTTTCCTATCGCCGATCTCGAATCATTTTCACGATATCCTCCCTTCAGACATATTTCCTTTCCCTGTACACGTCTCGAATACGACAATGTAAATTGGGCTATGATTCGTCAGCCGCCTGCGATTCCTTCCAGCTTGGTGAAATGGTCAAGTTCCTCACGAAGAAAAACCTTCTCTCGCTCATTCCATTTCAAGCGGTTTCTCCAGAAGACCCCGAATTCATTTGGCCCGAAGCATACGCTGGTGAAATTGAGCAGCTTGTTGTGTTATTGCGTCAATGTCCAAGCTATCAAATTGATAAGAACCATGGTCATTGTGGTTTACGTAGTAAATTACTTCCTGCCCTGGACTACATCAAAGAGTGTCTGGATAATGGTATCGGCATTAAAGTCAAATTTTGGAAAACGGAAAGATCAACACAGACCTGGATTCCTAGATCTTCAACAAACACTAGCAGCACCAAGAAGGCATTTGTTGTAGAAGGTAAAGCACTAGGAGACGAAAAGCCAGAAAACTTCTTCGATTTTAGAAGTCTAAGTAGGGAGGATCTCATGTTTGGTGGAAAAGCACTTGGCGTAGATAGAGCGGCGAAGAAGCTGTTCCTAGCTGAGAAGTGGGATTGGATAAGGGATGTAGAAACGGAGAAGGAGAGAGAGAGGATGTCAAAGTCATCGGTATTTAGATTTTGAATATATAGGCACAACTATTCCTAGGCTGGAAGATTGACTTTTCGAAAGGAAGACCTCCAAATGAACCCTGCCATCCGAATACCTATCGGTAGCCAAGCAAGTTTCTTCCAATGTCCGGGGTAAATATCCATACAAGCCAAGCCGCCCACAAGCATCAGATCCAAATTCGATTCGAAAGACCAATTCGAATTCAATAAAGGGAATGGCACCAGCAAATTGGTCAATCGAAAAGGAGAACCTTGGAAGGTTCTGGCCATAAGAGAATAAATCAAAGCAAGCCTGACTCTTTAACACCTATGTTACTAAAGGATCTTTATTTACCAAACCCCCAAAAAGCAAATTTACCGCCGTCTCAATTGGCCTCTTGACTGATTGTCCGGTATGTTTCGGAATTACAACCCTCATTATTAGGGCTCCGGTTAGATAAATGGAACAACTTGAGGTTTTTCTCCACGCGGGAATTCTCAAAGGAGAGGAATGAGAGAAATACTTTTGGATGGGTATGTATTATTTAGCCATGGAGAACTTAAAATGGTGGGATTTCCACGTGTTTTATGGGACGGAAATATGCAAGGTATGGCAAACCTTGTTACTCGAGTAGATGTGGAAGGTTTCATATAGAAAAGATCGAATATTAAATCCGAACATTTCCCCCACATTTCCTCCCTTTAGCGACAAACTTCTTCACTGCGATTCGATAAATATCCCTCGGCCCCTCAGCCCCTGTATAAACAAAACATCTCAGATCACGCATTAACGACTATAGTAACTGTTATTTAGTGATTGCTTTCATAATCACATACCATACGTCTCTTTATGAACTTTGAGCGAAACGCCGAGTCCAAAATAAGAGAATAGCCATGAAATTAAAGTACAGAGAGTGTTCGGAGCGTTCTTCCCAGCAGAATACGTTGTCAACTCTAAATGAGAGGGGAAATGAGGTTAATTAATCGATGAAGTGGAGCATCATGAGATCTCATCTCATTCATTATCATTCATAAATACTTCCATATCCCGATTGAAACTTCCTCTTTCTTTCTTTTCCTTATCACCCTCACTAAAGTCATTCATTCATTCATTCATTCATTCTTTCAGTCACTCTCTTTTTCAATTCTTCGCTATGCGTTTCACCAACTTCGTTCTGGCAGCTGGCCTTACAGCATCCGCCTTCGCAGCTCCGGTAGCTGTTCGAGATGACGATGATAGCTGCGTTGCTGATTACGATGAGACCACTTCCGCTGCCGTTGTAGCGCAAACAACCATGCCTTCTTCCTCTGCTGCTGTTGTAGCCGCCACTTCCGCTAAATCTTCTTACGTTGCACCATCAAGCAGCGCCGTTGCTTCAGTTAAAGCTACATCAGCCGCTAGTTCGGTCGTTGCTAGCTCTTCCAGCAGCTCTTCAATTGCCGCGGTTGTAACTTCAGCGGCTAAGTCCTCAGCAGTCGCCACATCCACCAAGGTCGCTGTCGCCAATAGTGCGGCCTCTGCCGCGACATCGTCTGGCAGCACTGCTTCTGAAAAATTGCAATGGATCGGAGCCAACGAGTCTGGAGCTGAATTCGGAGAAGGAAACCTCCCAGGTGTCGAGGGAACCGATTACACCTTCCCAGACACCGCTGCCATTCAAACTTTAATCGATGGTGGCATGAACATTTTCCGTGTTCCATTTCTCATGGAGCGTATGGCTCAAGGTACGATGACGGCTACCATCGATGCAACTTATCTTGCTAGCTACAAAAAAGTCATTGATTTCATCACCGCTGCTGGTGCCCACGCAGTTCTTGACGCCCATAACTATGGACGTTATGATGGAACTGTTTTCACTTCCACCTCTGACTTTGGTACCTTCTGGACCAACCTCGCCACCGAATTCGCTGGCAACGATAATGTCATCTTCGATTGTAACAACGAGTTCCACGATGAACCTACCTCAACCATCTTTGCCGAGCTTGACCAAGCTTGTGTTACTGCTATCCGTGGCGCTGGCGCAACCTCCCAATACATCTTTGTTGAGGGTAAGTCCATCACTTTTGAGCTTTTCTTGTCACCTTGATACTAACGTTTGGACTAGGAACTTCTTACACCGGTGCCTGGACCTGGACCTCATCTGGAAACTCCGTCGCCATGCTGAACATCACCGATCCCGAAGACAAGCTTGTCTACGAATTCCATCAATACCTCGACTCTGACGGATCCGGAACCTCGGATACCTGTGTTAGCAGCACCATTGGTGCCGAACGTGTCGCCGATGCCACCGCCTGGCTCAAGACCAACAACTTCAAGGGTATCTTGGGAGAATATGCTGCTGGCGTTAACGCTAATTGCGAGGCTGCTGTGTCGGGTATGTTGGATGCTTTGGTGGCTGATAACGAGAACTGGTTGGGTGCTATGTGGTGGGGTGCGGGACCATGGTGGGGTGATTATATCTATGCTTTCGAGCCACCTAAGGGAGCGGCTTACACTCAATACTTTGACACTGTTGTCAGCTATGTCGCATAAGCGTGTGTAGATAAAGAAGAATGAGGGGTGAGGAGGTTGAGAAAAGATGTGTGGTTTAGGAAGTGGATTTCTGATTCGTTTTGTATATATGTATTTGCATGGGCCTTTTATGGAGGCATTAGCTTCTAAGGGGGTTGTTTGGTGGGAGACAAAAGTTAGCGGATGTAAATTTATATCCACTTTCAACATTCGAATATCTATTTTACTTCCGAGTCGGTGACCTTGTGCATTGGGATAACTGGATTCTTCAAGTCATGACTACTTAATTTCTTGTGAAAAGTGCCACGCTCCAACTTTGCAGCCTATACTTAAAGATTGCGATCCCAATACATGTGTTGTGGCTTGCTGAGCTACCTCGCAAGAATGTATAAATGTATGATATTGACATTGACATTGACATGGCCCACAATCAATGTTTCATGGCATCCCAATTGCCAGGTCTTAAGCAATCGAAAATCTTATAATGGATGACCTTCAATACAAAGAGGATGTGTTTGCCCATAATTCATGTGAGCCAAGCATGTGATTATCGATTTAACCTGCAGTAAAGAATATAAGACCCCATCATTATAAAAAAGATCAGAGTGATTTCTGAGTTCTCTTCGCTCTTCGCTCTTTTCTCTCCAGCCCTTTTTCGGCCCCTGATAAATGGACCAATCAAAATCCTCAAGGTGGTTTGTGCTTCGCTTTTAGACTCTCAGATATCAATACATGAACCTCACATACCGGTATATCGAATTATTTCGAAGGTAAACACAGATTTTTATTAGACACGTCAAATTCTCTACTCGTATATTTCACCCACAGAATAAGATGTCAGCTCGTGAATCCTCTATTTTAGATGCAATGATCCTCTGCAACAATATGGCAGTTTTGCTCCCGGCAGTTCCTGGCTCCAAGGTATTCTCCCGGTCAACTTTGCGAAGAAGGCACGATGATGCGATTTCAAGATGGAAGATGGAAGCTAAACATCATTCGTGTATCTTAATCTCGTTCAGTTGGCCCTGTTTATTTGTCATTTGAATTTCCTACTATCTTTGCTTTGCTGCCTGTTTGTTCAAGGAACAGTCAAGTCACGAACCGTGACACACAAATATTGCGGAGGCATTCATGGCCAAGTCGTCAGATTGTTGGGGGTAGTGGCTGTCGCTATTGATTAGTTATGTGATCTTAAAGGATGCAGGGTAGTTTTGTTGATTATAATCGTGATATGGAGGCAGTACGCTCAAGTTCTCGCTCTAGAGATCAGCATGGTAGAAATATTGAAGTGCCACAAGTGTTGGCTTGGGGTTCAAGACTATATATCCGTCTCTATATTTCGGTTAAACTGTCGATGTGCGATGATCCGGAGTCCAATTGTGCACAAGATATGGCTTGCAAATTGGTTCCCTCGCTCCGTTAATGGGCTAGAAACTCTAGCCTAGAATACCGAAGCCGCCAATTGGGATATCTTTCAAATACATCCTGCACAAAAGCCATTTGTCTGATGGCAGTAACTTGTCTATTTACTCACGATACAAACGTACGTCTATGCTAGATGAAACTTTCCGCGAAATGCTGAATCTGATAAGTTGGCCGGCGACCTACCTCTGTATTTCCAGCAGATTTGCCGCAGATAACATAACGGATAAATGATGATTAGACAATATTGCATCCTCAGGTTTTGCTAATCGATTATCATTGGAAATCTAAAAGCAGAAGACCACTCACCTGGTAAAACCATCATCACTGGTGTCTCTGGGTCGCAATACGGTCGATATCAATATTTTATATAACCTAATCACCTCAAATTGTGACGGACGGCTAGCTGAATTGCTCGAGATTTCATACGGTTCTATGCGGCAGTATGCTATGGCCATAATCTCCTTAACATCATTTGTATTTATAAATGTGTCGACAGGTTCTAGCTTGCTCCATCTTTCTTACGACACAGCACCTCCTTCTTCTTCAACAAAATCATACACCATCCAAGTATATATCAAGTTCATTCGACAACAAGTTTTTTAAAAAAACAATTTTTACCTATATTGCTTTCGCATCATATCTGGACTCTTCGCGAAATCCCGCATTGTTCGACACAAACCCTTCTTCAACTTAATATGACGAATCGTTTTTTCAACTCCTTGTGCCTAACCAAGAAGCTCGTCGTACTCGTCGCGCTTCTCAGTCGGCAGCAGTTTCTCGCCAAACAGAAGCAATCTCCTGAGGTCCATTTCTCAAGTATAGCCCCAGCAATAATGCGTTAGACATCACAATCGACTTCGCCTTTAGCTATCCCCCTTTCAGCAATCCGAGCTCGCCAAGTCCCTGTGTGAAATTCTTCAAAAATACTCCGGTCATTCTATAAACATCTCCATGGGCATTTCGTTTAAGGCTCCGCACATGGATCTTGTTAACAGCAACACCAATGCTGCTCGCCATTGCGTTATTGCCAATATCATCCATCAACTCAATAAGTTCCTTCGGCTTGATTCAGTACGAGTTGTAGTGTCTGTACAGAAATTCTACTGGGAACAATTAGAGCTTGTCGGCGCAGTCTATCCAGGGTCAGATTACAGTCAGTGGACTTTCGAAGTTATCGAGCATGGTCAAGGAACAAGATCAATTGAGATTAGTCCTAGTCTCAACCGTAGTAAAAAGGCTCGCTTCTTCCATGAGATGTAAATGACTCGAAAGGGGGTAGTGGTGAGAGTGAAAGAGGATTCTAAAGGAGACTAGGGTCGCAGGAAGACGAAGTTTCGGGGTGTGGAATTTGTAGATTTGGCGATATACAATCAGAGACTGGTTTTTCTAGGAATTGTGAAGAACTGGCGAGGGATGTCATAAGGTGTTTGAGAAGGGTTCCTTAGTTCAGGGCATTCATCTGGGCATTAGTATATCTATCAAGTTTTGCCCATGAAAGCACTCGCTGAGGATTACAGAGCGCATATCTGCCACACAAATGGCTGCTAGTCTAACATCAGGGATATCAATTTTCCACAGTTTCTGTTCACTTTGCTTCTTATTATTGCCCGGTGTAATTAGTATTCAATTCTAATACATTCATCCCATAGTCAATTTACTAATTACCTGAACTCTAAAAATCCTTATACTCTCCTATAGATTTGTCCATTTCTCCTAACCCTCTAATCTTTGAAAAAAATACTGATTTATCCTTCTCGAAAAAGAAAAGGTATACCTACTAATTTCAAACATATCTTTTGAAATATTTAATTAATATTTGAATAATTTCAACCCTCCCCTCATCTCCTTATTTCTTTTGGGAATCTATACTCTTCTTCAATTTTTCCTTTCTCTCCTAACCTGCCTAATCCTCCTCATTGGAGCTATCCTTTAACTCCTTTAATCAGGGAGAGGAGAGGAGAGGAGAGGAGTTTGCATACGCTGGATGTAGGATTTGATAGTAGAATGAGAAGTGATGAAGTGAAAGTGTTTCGGATAAGGGAATACTAAGCGGCTGCAAGTTTCGTCCGAATATTATGTATTCATGGTTTCATAGGAACAAACGAGCAATTTTCACTTCATCAAGGAAGTTTCCATTTACCAAACTGAGAGGCCGCTCTCGACTCCAAGGTCCAAGGAAGTCATGGCCACGGGACGGCTTTTTGTCAGGAAAGAGCGTTTTGGATAAACATGGCAAAGTTACTTCTGGATGTAGGAGACACAAATCGATAAAACGAAGAGGACCACAGGATTTTGCATAGCAGAATTCAAGCATCCCTCCATTCAATGTCCATCTGTACTTCACTTTTCAATGATTATCTGACTAAATTTCACAATTCTCTCCAATCCCGGTCATACTATAAGATATATATGACCTGTATTGCAGCAGCTGTCTTCTCATCTGGCCTATGCTCTTACCTAAATGATCAAATACGGTGGGAAGGTGCGGTATGTGTCTATACCAATTCTCAGCGTCATATTCAGCCTTCCTTGTTGGGTCTATAAATATTCTCAGGAATCCAGCTCCTCCCTTCTTTCTACAACCAACCTTTTTGATCCCAAATCTAGACTTCATCATACAATTAATATTGGTATCACAAACATCTTCATACAAAATCCTTACCTTACAGCTTTAAAACACCTCCGCGTATCATTTCAACGACTTACTTGACCTCCTTCACGAATATAAACATGCCTAGGAGAAAACTGTCACCCTCAGATCGATTACGCAAGTTCAAGCTGCGTCAACATAATATTGCGGAAGTCCCAGGCCACCAGTTTATTGATTATGATGCTGGCAAAAGCGCTCTGCGCATAATGTTGGACTTTGCGAACGTTTACTCGCTTTCTGGAAAGGAAATCATCTACGACAATTTGATCAAGATTTTACCAAAACACGCCAACCATACGTCGACTGTCTATCTCGGACTTGTCTTTGAACCTAGGCATACGGATTACAGTGCATACAACGAATCTCGCCGTGGGATACTCGAGAGAGTTGTAGAGGAAATCAACAAGTTCCAACATTTGGTCGAAGTTCACTTCGTTCTCCACCTCCATTACCTCGTATTCGATCAGATCCGACCTGCCAGTGCGATCTACGGATTGAATTTTCAGTCATGGACTTTCGATATCTTGACTGATGATGTAGCACATATTGAGCATGACAGCGCCATTGATCGATTGTTGAAGCCACAATCCTATCAGTGTCCCTTGATTTTCTCGAAAAAGCCAGGGATTTTGCCTGGCGCAGGGGAGGAAGCATGACTTTGTCGCAGAATCATGGATAATTTTGTGGGCTTACTGACTTCCTGGTAATGAAGTAACTGACGGGAGGGAGGTAAATCATACATATGGGTACATGTGTTGATGAAAGGAAGTTTTGATTGTATCTTTTGTATCAGAGAAAAGCATGTTCAGCGGAATTTGATCGTGAGAGTGTCGATTAGTAACTTTCTATATCGTACTGTCAAAGACATAGCATAGCGGAGTATACAGCTCATTCTTTTTAGCAAATGGAACTTACACCACCGCAAAGTATTCTAATATGTATTTGTAAGATGTGTCATGCTTGTAGTCTTCTCTCTTGCCTAACCACTGATTCAATATCTTCATTTCATTCTCATATATAATTCACTGCAACTTGCAACTATATACTGAATATGGCTACACATGTATGAATTCGGTTATTGCTCAAGGAGTACGGCGGAGACCACGACCAATTGTGCATACTACAATTTCGCGCTGATCATGGTACAACAGAGTCTAATACAGTCAGTACGGTAGAACTGGGGGTTGCAATACTGCAATACTGTTTTTGGCATTATATAAGTCTCTCGAGATCCAGGCTGCTCCATCTTCCTTTTACTCAAACACTTCCTCAATACTTCCTTGAATCAACATCTTTCGTTACCAAGATCGTCGATCAGAAACAAGTTCCTTCATTAATCGTAGTCGCACTACATTCTCACCATTTTCGAAGACCACCGAACAAACCTTCTTCACATAACAATTATCAAACTATTCTTGGTATCATGGTGTCTACCACTCAGACTACCAAGACTCACCGACCAGATCGCGCAGCTCGAGCTGCAGCTCGTCGTGCCAGAAACACATCTACCATTCCAATGCATGAGTTCCTTCACTACACACCAGACAGTGGTAAACTCAGCATCACCCTAGATTTTGCAACATCTCGCTCACCCTTCCATCAAACCACCCTCGAGAAATCCCTGATCAATACCCTTCCCATGTATGCGATCGATGCGTCAAACATTAACCTCGAAATGACATTCAAAATCCCCCATATGGATGTCTCAACCAAAAACAATGTTCGCCACCAAGTCCTCACGAACGTTGTCAAAGAACTGAATAAGTTCAAGCACTTTGACTCCTTACATTTCGTTTTAGCCATCGAAAGATACAGTTTTGATCAGCTCAAGCCCGCTAGTGCTATTTATGGGCTGGATTATACAGACTGGACTTTTGAGGTTCGGGAGTGGGGAACAGTTACTCAGGTTAAGATTGGGTCGGGTCTTGATCGTCAGTTGAAGGCTCGGTTTCGTAAGGGCATTACCTTTTAAGTTATTATGAAGATAATTAAGGGGTAGCAGAGCTGGGAAACGGAATCATGAGAGGTTCGGAGGTTGAGAATGGAGAACAATGGGATTGGACGGGATGGATGGCAAATCACATTTGGGCATGGAGTCTATTTGTCTCCCTGTTGTGGAGTTTTAGTGAAATCAGATCCTTCTGACCGCAGGCTATGAAGCTGAGCTACGGGATGGGTCTCAGGGATGGAGTTCTTGATTTCTTAGGCATTTACGGGATATTTTGAATTCGATGTGCATACCTATCTATGATAAATGATACTACCAATAAAGTTTAGTATTTATTGTATCGTTCAGTTACATGTGGTATGTTGACCATCTCCGCACTACCGCGTTACACTAAAATTAGGTGATTGAAACTGGTTTTCGGTTAGCGATCAGGGGCTACGCAGCTATTTAAAGTCTCAATAATGTGTCAGAGTAGAAAACGGAGCACTGATGGTAATATGAAATATTGAGCCAAAGTTATCGAAGAATGAATTGACATCATAACTATCATTGGAATAGAGTCATAATTTCATTATATGGAGGTAATATGGAGGTAGTATTCTAGGCAGGAGGAATTCTAGTATGGTTATGATCTTGCACTCAAATTATGGTGAGAATTACTACAAGTCAAGCAGTGACTTTTCATGGATTAACATATGCGTCTGATAAAGTGATCTTTTTAATGAGCATGGGAATCTCCACGAGAAAAAAGAAAACACACAATATAAATCTTACCAAGATCTTCATCCCAAGGGATATGAAAACTCCTCTATTCTTTGCAACATGCCCCGTAAGACTATAATCTTGGTCGCTAATTATCATTCAATTCGTCATGTACTGTTTCTATGGCTTTCTTTGCTACACTGTTATCCATCTAATCATCCATTTTATTGAAACTGCCTCTGCCAGATTCTTCCAGCGTGACATTGTTGCAATGTTGGTGCATATACAGGAATAAATCAAATTTCACCTATCAGGACGTCACTATTCTATTTTACCATGATTTAAAATAGGTGTTAGCGCACAACTCAGACTATCCCACTTAAAAGAGTGCTGTGGTTATCCAACCATTATGAGAATATTCATAAAATTATGTTGCACAAGGCTGAATAGAGCTAGATATCTTGACGCTACATAGTGATTGAGTAAGAAACCATGTTTTTTGTATTAATCACAGTAAGTTGACACTATATTTTCATTTCCCATCTTGTTATATTGACAACTTTTTAAGACCAAATTCCAAGAATCAAATGCCCAACGTGCCCTCTTCATATCCCCTCCTGATTCTTCAACCCAACCTCGTCCCAGTCCCACTCCCACAACGTCTGCCCTCCAACCAGTATCTAGGAGTCCAGCCTCAAAGATCAATACCATGAACAACCGCAGCGTTACATATCTGCGAATACTCGTATCTCTAAAAGTAAAAATCCACATCCACCGACGACAAGATATGAAGGTGGCTGAGTATATAAAAAACACCTTGCAAAGGTCGATATCTATCCACCCAGGCAGGAGGACGCTCTTCAACTTCTGAATATGTCTTACATAAGATAGATCGTAATCTATTGGTAACACATAAAAATTGGGAAACAGCCAGCAGGAATTTCTGCTCGAAATCCCGGCTGGAGTGCTCTGGAGGTTCCCAGTAATTAAAATATATTACCATTTCTCCATCCAAATATGGACCTTCACCGGGATAGGGAATTCTTGACATGAGAGTAGCAAGCCGAATTTCATTGGTTCGATTTCGTGCTCGGGTTTGGACTCGGTTTCTGAGTTGGCGATTCATATTTGGTGATTTGATATTTCTATGTAGCTGTGTGTTGGTAGTGGGAGAATGCGTCGTGGCGTGACTTGAGTGAAGGGGATCAGATAGGTGAGGGATGTAGTGATGAAGGAGATTGGTATTCTTTATATGTTTGCTAAATCAAAATGATGATGCTGCGTGTACCAGCCAGTAGGTTCCATAGATTCTGTTTCGATGGAAATGAAAAGATATGTAAGGTTCTTCGTGTCTCGTCTCGTGGAATTCATTGCAAGGAATACTCTCATGGCCCTAATCAATAGCTTTCTTGCACGACTTGTTATGATACCTTGTTGGAGAATCGTCTAGCCACAGCCTGGAGTTCATGGGAGATTTTAGAAACTAAATTTATCAGAGAACTTGCGTGTCATAGAAAGGAAAAGAATTCACAACCACTGTAGACACCAGTATAACTGTATAAGGGAGAAGACACATCACAACATATCAAAAGATCGCACTGTATTATTCAAGTCCTCTCTCATTTTCTCCTATATCTTCTAGTATAAGACCGAGCACAATAATCTAATACCAGTGATAGTGATCATTATCATCATCGTCATCCCAGTCACCGCCATAGAAGCTGTTGTCATCAGAATCGTAACCATCACTCTGGTCTGCCTCGGAATCCTCATTGAGTAAAAGCTCTGCGTACCACTCTGAACTTATATCCACCCTGTCTTGACATGCATTTCCTACGTAGTACTCAAACATACAATCTTCTACGCCAAGATTGCGAAATGGGAGAGCACACGAAATTTGCGGGAGGTCATGTTCGTGCAAATAGAATTTAACTTCGCATCCATCATACAAGTTGAATTCCTCGTTGAAGATTTCGACTCTTTCTAGGTCGAACCTGTCATTGTCTGGCTCTGGGAAGGAGATGTTGAACGCGATTTGTCGAGTAATAGGGGCATAATCTGAAAGATAGTTTTGGACATCAGAACTCTCGTAGTCGAAATTGATTGTTAGCGTGCCATCGTTATCGTATGAAAGTTCAGGGTGCCAGAGAATGTCTGCAGCAACTTGAGAGTTTTGGTATTCATTATTCCAAGATAGCTCAGGCTTGACGGATATGCTTATAGGAATGAAGAATAGTAGAAAAACAGGACCGTATTAAATAACGGAACAAGCCCGGAAGAGCTTCAGTGAACTTAAAGAAAGGTTCTCGAAGGCACCTATATTAATTCACTCTGATCCTCGAAAACCTATTCGGGTAAAAACTGATACTTCGGGACTAGCCCTAGGAGGAGTCCTATCACAACACCTAAGCCAAAGGCAAGCCAGACAAGCGATGTATTTGTCAGGATATGATTTCAATATAAGATATCGGAAGGGAGTCGCTAATCCTGCGGATAGACCCAGTAGAAGACCAGATTATATAGTATATAATAAATATAAAGACATTACCTGGTTACCTACTTTTCAAAGGAAAATGGAAGGGACTCTAGCAGTGAATTTATTGAAAGTTATGGAAGAGAATCTAAATACCCAATTGGACCAAAGAACGATAAGGGCAGTGGGAATCCGGAACAAGTCCAAACTAGATCAAGTCCCAAAAAGAGAACCCGTTTGGAACCATTGTGAGTGTTTAGTTACACCTGTTAAAAGGGACGATTCTTTCTCCCTGAAAAGCACCGGGATTCACTCAACGCTGTTAACAAATCCGGTGATACCAGTGTTAAAGGGGGTGATGGTTTCCTTCCTGAAAATGGCGGGGATTTATTCGATGCTGTTAATAAATCCAATAACATCAAAGAACTTGGTAGTATTCATAGAATATAAGATGGTGAGCATCTAGTGCTAAGGCGATAAATACAAGCAGCAGCTGCAGCAGTTACTGCTTATCTACCTATCACTGATAGTTTAATAAAAGTTTTATTGAAACTTCAACTTCAAGATCCGGAATTTATCCGGATTTCAAGAGAGTTAGAACTGTTAAATACCACAATTAATAATCCGTTCAAAATCGACCAGAACAGGTTGTTTCGTAAGAATGGTACAATAGTTGTACCTGAAGACTTTGTGCTACGAGTGAAGTTATTCCGATTGTATCATGATGATCCTTTCGCTGGCCATTTTGGTAGAAACAAAACCTTAGAACTTATATAGTATACGTATACCCGGAAAAGAATACAAACGGATATTGAAAGATATATGGCCAAATGCGATTCCTACCAAAGATATAAAACAAAACAATATAGCCCTTATAGTCTGTTGGAAAGTTTATCAAGATCTACCCAACTATGATCCGAAATATCAATGGATTTTATAACAGGATTACCTTCAGTACTATATTATATTAAAGGATAACAAGCTTATAATAATATATTAATTATAATGGATAGAATAACTAAAATAACCTAGTATATTCTTTGTTATAAAACAATAGCAGTTAAACAATTAGTTGTTATATTATAGAAAAAGGTTTTTTCTCATTTTAGAATTCCTAATAGTATTATATTAAATAAAGGCATAGTGTTTATTAGTACTTTCTGATCAACCTTTTGCTTTTATATGAAAATATTATACCAGCTTAATACTACATTTCATTCACAAACGGATGGTTAGACAAAACATCAAAATCAAACTTTAGAGTATTATCTACAAGCATATTATGATGACCAGAAAAAAGATTGGGCAGAGCACCTTCCGTTAACGGAATTCATATATAACAACTTATATCATTCATTAGTTAAAGCCTAACTATTCTATTATTATTATAAATATAATCCAGATCTACCCTGGAATCCTGAAGATATAGATTCTGGAAAGGAGATACTAGTAGCAAAAAATCGGGTTATAGTTTTATAAGAAATCTATACAAGACTATAGAAAACCTTATCCAAAGTTTATAAGACCCAAAAACAATATTATAATAAAAAACATAAAGATATATCATATATTATGTGACCAAAAGGGTATAAACAGGACTCCGATTGTGTACTTAGAATCTACAAGTGAAGAGCTATGTAGGATGCTAAAAGGAGGACTATATATACAGGTATTGGGAGCCATAAGGGCTAGGCCCAAAAGGGTGAAAGGGTCCTAGGCGTAAGATGCCTAGGTCTAGAGCTATAGAGCTAGGGCTCTAAGCTGTGAAAGGAAGGTCCAAAAGAGCCGTCATATCATACTACATATGTAGTATGAGCCAGTGGGCGGAAAAGAGCCGTCTGTTCCGTCACAGTAGTACAAGCTAAAACTATAAGAATATAATTATTGAGAAAGGTATTATGTTACTGTGTAGAGATTAATCCTCTTTTGGGGATTAACCAGAAAAGTGTAAATATAAAAGGATATAGAATATTCTTTTATATCCTTTATTCTTTATTAGTTAGTTTGTATTGAAATTTATAAAAAACTATTTTTATATTACCCTGGCAGTGGTATAAGTTCAGTTCTGTACAAACTATACCCCAATTATAGTATTGATACTATCCGGCCTATTCCCTGCTTGTGACCCTTCACAAGCTGAACTCACTCATCGTTGTGAATCTTTCGAGTGGTATGATGTTGTGATTGTTCGTGTTGAGATGTAGTTTGACAATGTAAAAATATGATAAGAAGCTTGTTATATATCTTTTGACTTGGAGCATGAATCAGCATGTCGAATTATTGGCAGCATTGAGAACATTCCAGATACTGGTGCCTTTGTTGGTAAGACTAGTTTTGTGTGTTGGTAAATTACGAAATTCTTCCAGAAAGTCGTTGTGTCTTGTCAAAAGCAATGACTCTACTTCTATCATGACACTGCCATCAATGAATGAACGTAATTTCTCGAAGATACTCGAGACTGTTCTTGTCCTGGAAATAGTTCAAATATCAAGCTATGTGGAAAGTACTCGTAAGACCTCAAGTCGGAAAGTCTGGCACTAGCAGACACGATTCACTTGACTGGGATAATCTACAAAATTCCACTCCCCTCAACAAGACAAGGCATGATGCTCCTTTCTTTGTCGAGATGCTTCATGGAGAATTTCAGTATATTGGGGTTGAAGGCGTCATGAAACACCATCATCTCCCCTCATTTTGTGGTAATTCAAAAGCTGCTCCGGCAGCCAACGCGAAAACCCTTGACATAAGAAAAGTCCACATCAAAATCTTTTGTCGAGTTGCTTGGTATTCAGGAGCTGGCGGTGAGCCTTTTTGCTGGGAAATATAGGGAAATTATAGAGTCAAAAAGAAAAGAAAGAAATAAATTAATAATAATAATTTAGGGTGCGCATAATCAAAAGTTTTAATTGCACGCCATAAAGATCTCGCTTAAGCTATCGTATAACTAAAACCACACCGGTGTACAAATAGCTCAAAGCTTTATAGCTTGAGCTTCACATGTCAGATTTCTCTCTCCTTTGGAAGACGAGAAGTTATTATCTAAACACATAAACGCCGATTGCTAACCACATGTTTGAGTAAGATAGATTGATTATTCTTCTATTGAGAGCGTGACCTTAAACCTTTACAATATCACAAATCATATATTCTGCTTTCGGCTGAGACCCAACCTCGAAAAAGCATGTGAGCGTGAAACGGCCGTTAGTGTCCATGATTGGTTGAACTTCCTGCCGAGGTATCCTGGATATATGTATTACTCTTGACGACTTCGACATGCCTTTTCCTTTCTTTCTTCCCATACACCTTTCTTTTTGCTCCCGTACATCTCATTGCATTAAATAGGTCTCTTTACAGATAACACATAAGTTATATTGTCAAAATGACAGCTGGTGAGCTACTATTGCAAGCAAAGAAATGCAAACAAGGCTGACAACGAACATAGCACAGAAACGTCTTGGTCAAGTTTCCGGCCACTTGGCTGGCTCACAGAGCGCTATTGCACCCACAGAGGGTGACAGTGGTCGCGCGAAGCTTTTGGAGAAGCATCCGGATGATGTATGACCAGCCATTCGCTTCAAAAACCGTTTCTTTACTCTTTGCTAATATTCTTCATTCCAGGTTGTCGTAACAGCCTGTCTCCGTACCGCATTCACAAAGGGAGGTAAAGGAGGATTCAAAGATACACCAGCGGCAGATCTGCTCGTTGGCGCACTCAAATCCCTCATCGAGCGATCGAAAATCGACCCTGGACTGGTAGAGGATATAGCTGTTGGATCAGTGCTTCCTCCTGGGGGTGGAGCTACTGAATTCCGTGCGGCTGCTTTGGCTGCAGGATTCCCTGTTTCTGCAGCGGTTAGAAGTTTGAACAGACAATGTTCATCGGGATTACAAGCATGTGTAGATATCGCAAATGCGATCAAGTCTGGCATGATTGATGTCGGTGTTGGTGCAGGTGTTGAGAGTATGAGTTTACAATATGGGTATGTTTAAATTTTTTCGCATATTATTGTGTGTGGATTCAATGCTAACAGTAAACTTGGCAGACCTGGCGCTGTAACAGAATTCTCCGAACTCCTTGAATCCCACCCTGAATCTGTAAATTGCAAGGTGTCTATGGGAGTCCTCTCCGAGAAGATGGCGAAAGACAAGGGCGTTCCCCGTTCTCTACAAGATGCATTCGCAGCTTCTTCATACCAAAAGGCACTCAAGGCTCAACAAGATGGACTTTTCGACGAGGAAATTGCTCCTTTAACCGTCAAATGGGAGGACCCGAAAACTGGTGAAACAAAGGAGATTACTGTTGCCAAGGATGATGGTATTCGACCAGGTATTACCGCTGAAAGCTTAGGCAAGATTAAGCCTGCTTTCGCAAAGGATGGTAGTATCCATGCCGGAAATGCTTCTCAAATCTCGGACGGAGCTGCCGCAGTTCTTTTGATGAGGCGCTCTACAGCTGAGAAACTCGGCCAAACTATCCTTGGTAAATACATTGCCGCATCAGTCGTAGGTGTAGCTCCTCTACTTATGGGTATTGGCCCTTGGGCTGCTATTCCTAAAGTCTTTGAGAAGACCGGTATCAATAAAGACGACGTCGATATCTTTGAGATTAATGAGGCATTCGCAAGTCAATGTGTTTGGTGCGCGAATGAGCTTGGCCTTGATCAGAAGAAGATCAATCCAAAGGGTGGTGCGATTGCTTTTGGACATCCTCTTGGTTGCACAGGAGCAAGACAAGTTAGTACATTGTTGTTTGAATTGAGAAGGACGAAACAGAAGGTTGGTGTGACTAGTATGTGTGTGGGTACTGGTATGGGTATGGCTGCTGTATGGGTCGCTGAGTAGAGGTTAGGAAAGTACTCTTTGGATAATGGGGCTTGGTATATGATTAGGACAGGCAATAATCTTGAGAAAAGGTCTACGGCGAACGGTTGTACGAGTACAGTATTAAGGCAATGGAATACATAATGCATAGAATGAAATTTCCAAACACATCTACCGCTACCCTTTGTCTGTGTTAGCCAAATTGTTTTGTAGTGATTGGTCACAAATCTTGTGTTCTTATATACCCCAAACGACTGGACAACCGAGTCTCTTAGTTAAAAGGTCTAGTCAGCTATCATTGCGCATCTCAGAAATTCATCAAACGTCACATTTGTTTCCCTTGATTGCTTCCATCACTACTTACTATGTTTTCAAACCATGTTATCAATACACCCCAAACTTCAAAAGTCACTCATCAAGTAAAATTCAACGCTTCTCTGTAGAGTATTTAGGTTAGCTCATCTTAGAGAAATTTAGTCAGACATTCTGATTTGTCATGAGATATGCCGTTTTTATGAAATTGTACTCAAGTAGGAGAACTATCTTATTTTCGTTTCTGGGTGGGGTTGTGGTGTTGGTATAAATGCGGAGTTGTATTTGTTCTTGGTTGTTGGTTGTATTTGGTTTGCCTGGAGTTGAGGGGTTAAGATGATGGTTCAGAAATTACATGTGTGATTCATTAATCGCTAGGTTATATACAACAATCGTGGATATAAGGTATCTACTACATGGGATAACATGATCCCAAAGAGCCTGCGAGAATTCTGCTATTGAGATATGTGGTTGTCGACCGAGTAGATAGATGAAAGTACCTAATTGGTACTTTGTCCATGTCTGTTAAATGAAAAGGGGATCAGTCAACCCACGGCAACGAAACATCTTGAAAACGCCTTTACTGTAACTACAAGAAGAAGAAGAAGCTATAATTAGTAAGTCTGGGGAATAGCTGTATCTAGCACATGCGAGCAACAACTACAGCTAACGACTAGTGTAAATAATCAATTCACGCCATCTTCTAAGCGAGCACTTCTCCTTTCACTGGAGAAAGAAGTCCGAATGAACGAACTACTTCTTACGAGTAGCCGCACAGAATAAATTGCGATTGCGCAACCTGCCGCTTTCTCGGCGACGATTCCGGGTACAGAAATATGCATGCTCATTTATACCGGTATCTCAAAGAATACTCGCTATCTTCTAGGCAGATACCCTGGTCAATCGTATCAAGGTGGGTTAGAAGTTTATCCTGTCTGTATAAAGTGAATTTTTGAGAAACTTTCTATTGCAAAATCTTGCAATTATTGGGTTTGTGTTCAGTATATTTATAGGGTTGGACTGTACTTGAGTACGGTTGAGGGAGAAGTAAACACGGCTATATTTCCATACTGTTTTCAAGATATTGTTAAGACTGAGAGTAATAGGTAGCTGAGTTACTGGTTCTGTGGCGTGAAAAAGCATCGAGGATGTGAAGACTCGGGATCGAAGGACGTTTTAGAGGGATGTGTCACGGGTACTAGATTGTTGCGAGGTAAAGTTTAGCTTCGTATAATAGGGCGATCGCAAGCGAGGATGCGGAGTTATTACATCGGTTGATAGGTTATTCTGATTCTGATGTTGGCATACATTCGGACGTCGTAGTTAGTGAGGAGAAAATGGGTTTCTTCGTTCGTTTATGCTGCCTTTAGGGTATCTTATATCCAGTTCATTTTCTAACCAAGAATCTCTTAATACGGTTTTTTAAATTAAAAATTCTATAATTGCTAAAGTGATATATAAACACAATTCCCATGGGTGACTTCATGTTATTGAATAGGTTCAATTTAGGCTTTAGCTCGGTTACGCATCTTTGTATCTCCGAACTTGTGTAGTTCTAGAATACCAGGCCGTTTCCAAACCCTCATTTTGAATATGATTGTCTAATACTGATACAGATCTATTGTATGTAGAGTGAGAGAAAACATGTCTGTTTATCATTACTTCAATCCGATAAATGTACTCGACCAGTTAAATACTGTGACTAGAGTCTTAAACTTACACTGACATCATAGAAAGCCCCTCATCTTCCACTGCTATAGTAATGATTTCGTAGAGCGTAGTCATTTCAAACCCAGTTTACTGTAACTCTGGCATGTAATCCTTTTGCATATAGGGATATCTCCCTCTCATTTAGAACTTTTCTGTCTACATCTAATTCAATATTCATCGACATCTTCATAGCATGGTGATAATCATCGTATAGTTCTGCATTTCAAATACCCTCTCGGCAAGACATTGAAAAGACAAACGATATTATCATCCGCTGTCCATTTTAACCCAATATTCACGACATCGGTTATCCATTTGTACAACAAGAACTAATCATCGGTTTCTCTCAAAATAGACACCCAATACCCAAGAAATTGTGCAGCAGCTGGTCGAGGGATATCTTGGCCTGATCTTACTAATACTGGCTTTAGACCTAATGTTATCGCTGCTCTTGAACGGATGCAGCGACTTATTTGTCTGCATGTAGTTGCAGCGCGTCATGACTCATGAAGTTGGATATCGTAGAAATCAAGAGCTTGTAAGATTATTTTCTTAGCTCGATGCTGAAGCACATCTTCAAACTGTTCCCCGCAACAACGTCCCCAATACTTCCGCGTAGACTTTTGGCACTTTTGCCAGATTGTCAACCTACTGGCTTGAGAATGCAAACAATAAGTCGACATCTCGAGTATATTTCGAGGGACTCCCGACTCAGGTCTCGATTACTAAGTCATGTAAACATCAATTCTGTCCACCATATTTGGCACATCTCGAGGAAATGAACAAGCTAGTTAGATATGCGATCTGTCTTAGGAATATGGACAGATCTTGAAAGTAAATTGCAACGTACATCCTCAGCACCTTTCTTAGACTCAACTAGGTCTCACCCAACACGATATCTATCATTCTAGCTGAATAAGGGTTGCAGCTCTATCTGGAACATTTACGCGATTTATAGTGAGACGAATGAAAGAATTATAGTGATTCTGGCAATTTGAGATAGTATTGATGAGAAGATTAAGTTTTATTTTAGTCAAGGAGTAGGTGGTTGCGTGCGTAAAGATTAGGGTGAATGTGAAATGGATCGAGTATCATATTGAGATATGAATTAGCTCTAGCGTTTTATTGAGTTGCTAATTCATTCTCATCGGATTGCAAGTTGGGTTGGAGGTGCATATGAGTGAATAAATCTTATTGTTTCTTCTATTAGTTGTACATATTTGAGATGGGAGCTATATTGGGTAATTAGGTTGAGTTAGGCTAGCTTCAGGAGTGGTTTCTAAACCAATTTTCATCAAAATCATTTTATTTTCAATGTGAAAGTACAAGACAAGAGGAAGGAGATCCGAAGATTACGTCATACTAATCGAAGTATTGATTACAATATCACTGTGCTGTACAGCGGACTAGCAAAGTTAGATGTTGTGGATACCCCGCACATATTCACATTATAGAAAGAATCTCAGCCCCCCCAGTGGCCGTACAGCCAGCCAGCCATACAATTATACGACTGTACAACTTTACAATCATATTTAAGATCCTCACTCACCAAGATATCCGCAAGACACACAATATCTCTCACCCACTACTACTTGACCCAACGCAAACAACCATTAGCTTCCTACTCATAAATCTTTACGATTTCCAGAGTCTCCTTCTTACTACTACAATTCCGCATTTCTTTTTTACAACTCCTTCAGAACGTCATGCCTTTTCAAGGGTATAGTCAGGACTACCTCGATCAGATGGCTCACAACCACTATTCCACCAGATTTGACCCAGACAATTACAAACCTTACCCATCCGCATCTGACACCCCATGGCTTTATCGGAACCGATTCCATCAGATGGCGCCCGACTACTCTCCTACAGCATCCGGTCCAGGATACCTCAGTGAGGGAATTCCGCGCCCGTCATTTACATCCAATAACCCACAAATGGCCCCTAATAATCTTTCCGAAGCACCTGGTCCAAGATATCACCAGCAACCATACCAGCACTCAGCATTAACATCTAATAACCTACAAATGGCTTCCATCTACTCTTCCGCTGAAGCCGGTTTAGGAAATAGAAATATGCGGAATCCGTGTTCTTCATCTATGGCCAATCATATACCAATGACTCCCGATTGCTTTCGAGCAACATCTGGCCCGGGATACCTCCATGAGGGATATCTGCACCCATCAGTCACATCCAACAATCCACAAATGACTTCCAACTACTCTTCCGCCGCAATGGGTCCAGGAAATAGAAATGTACAAAATCCATATGCCTCATCTATGGCCAATCATATACCAATGACTCCCGATTGCTTTCGAGCAACATCTGGCCCGGGATACCTCCATGAGGGATATCTGCACCCATCAGTCACATCCAACAATCCACAAATGACTTCCAACTACTCTTCCGCCGCAATGGGTCCAGGAAATAGAAATGTACAAAATCCATATGCCTCATCCATGGCCAATCCTTTACCAACGACTCCCAACTACTTTCGCGCAGCATCCAGTCCAGGACACCTTCTCAACGAGACAAGCCCGTACCGATCATTCCCATCCAACAACTTACCAGTTGTTTTGGACTTCTTTTCCACAAGACCTTATCCAGGCCAAATGGGCGACCGGAACCTATATGAGTTAGCTATAACCAACTATCTAGCAACGGGTGGCAGTATCTTCCCCACTAGACCTATTCCCAGCAACAGCAATGAGCATTGCCAAAGTCCAACATCCACGACCAACAGCCAACAATCACAAATTTACACCCCCTCCAGCTCACCCATATACACCCCTTCCAGCTCACCCTCCCCATCATCCGAGTCTCGTCTACAAACCCCACAATCACAACCAGCAACCGCCATCCGCCCTCAAAATTTCACTCCATGCCCCATCTGTCTCTCCTCCATCTTTTCCCTTCCCAGAATCATACTCGCCCATCCATGCTACCACGAATTTTGCCTTCCATGTATCCAGCGCTGGAGCCGATTTGAACGCCCACGAGACGTTGTATCACAATCACAATGTCCGGTTTGCAGGGGGGAAATATGTCGAATTGTGCATAGGAATGGGAATACTGTGCTAGGTATGGGTGATGAGGTTGCGGTTGAGGGAGAGCGATTGATTGCGGCTTTTCGGCGAGATATTGATAGTTTGAGACGTAATATGTCTGGGGCTTCGGGTTGAGGGATCTAGGGGTTGTTGGTTGATTGGGGAGTTATGAAGGCTGGAGGGCGGTGGGGAGGCTGTTGGATATGGGGCTTGTTGGGAGGAGAGGAAATGCGTTGGATTTGGGATATGGAGGATGAGTTCTTTTGATAAGGATAGTTTGAGGATGAGAATGTTGCATTGGCGTTTTATTAAAGGAGTTGACAGAAATGCAACGCTATGATTAATCAATCAAAAATGAGAAACTCGTTACAGTATCTAAAAGCCCAATTACTTTTGCTACCATAAAAGACTTGAAATCCTTCGAACATTTACATCATAAAATAACGTGTAGCACGCCCATTATAGCGAGGAGGAGTACACTCGTAGCTTCTATTAGTATGTAGAGAAAATAAAGATTGTGTACAGAGGTAAGGCAAAGGGGCGGCATAAACGTGTATCGATGTTTTCTTAGCCATCGTGAATGGCACAGCCATAAATAAAGAATGGGTGACCTGACTAATCCATTTTCCGTTCCAATAGTCTGAGTGTGAAGACGTCAGGATACGTAGGTAGTACTTACCCTCCATATCTTCTGCGAACCTTAGCCTAATCATCGTCACTTCCGGATTTAGAGCGGGGAAGTGACTATTATGTACACCTGTAGAAACATAGAAGAGATACTCCCAGATTCAGCGACTGAAACAAACAAACAACTCTTTCTGTATTTTGCACACACATCTACTTTTAAGATCCGACATCACCTGGATGTTCGACCTATCTTTATAAACTGATCGAGTTCAAGATCCAACCCTCAAGGAAATATTCTCAACCTTTTTTTGTACGTAAATTCCCACAACTGAAATATTCACATCCGCACAACAGAGTTATAACTAGAAAAGAGATAACGAATTTGGCCTGCTTCAGTCAAACTACCCATCCTCAAAATGTGTGATAGTGGATCGTCAGAGAAACGGGCACGGAAAGGGAGTTTGGGGCTCCAGGGCACAGGCGAGATGCTCGAACATCTTACGATGTTCTCAGAGGAGGCGGAGTCGAAAAAAAAGAGAGCACTGAAAGAGGATAAAGATGATGTTCCTTTAAAGAGGAGAATTTTGGGGACTGGGAGTCGTAAAGAAAAGAGTAGAGATGAGGAATACCAAGAAAAAGACAAGAAGGAACACGATGAGAGAGCGGGCGAGGAAAAAAAGGGCGAGAAAGCAGAAGGGATGGAAAAAAGGGGCAAGTCAGAAAAGAGCATGGGAGCAGACGCCAACCGAAATGGGGGCCAAGATTGTAACGAAGTTTGTCAAGACGACAACAAAGAAGGTGGGAAAGAGGAAAATGTGCGGATTACTCGTCCTGAAGATCCCTGGTGCAACATTTGCGAAGAAAACATCGAGAACACAGCAATAGTTTGGCCATGTGGTCATCCCTTCGATCGGACTTGCATCCAGTGGTGGATCGAGCCTAAGCGTCCAAGACATACGTGTCCTATATGTAGAGGTACAATAAGGACCGTTGAATTCGAACTCAGCATCTAAAAGATTGCTAAAGTAGTTTGAGTTCCTTGGGGCACACATGAGTAGCAGAAAGCCCATGGATGAGGGAATGGTCCTAATTTCATAATCTGCGTTCAAAATACCTACGACCCCGACAACCCTCAGCCTTTGATCAATAACCATTCGAGTCAAGCGTTTGCCAGCTAAACCTCCACAGATAGACCACGGCCATAACAACCAATATTTCGAACGGGTACGCATTATAGACAGATGTCGAAGCTTTGAAGAATTCGACAGCCCTAGTACCAACACATCCAATCCCACTCAAGATTAGGACACCAACACTCAGAGTTTGATGACACAATAGATGACCGGATTCCTAGCAAAAAAACAAGCGACTTCATGAATTTTTGACGACGATGAGGAGATGCTAACAAACGATGGTGAATATGGATTGGAGGATTAAATGCGATAGACAAGCCTGTATCAGCGTAATGAACCAATCGATATACAATACCAAGATGAATTGAAATCCCCAGCATGCCCGCCAGCCACAGTATGAGAAAAATAGATGTGATCTCCAAGCTTTTACTGTTCGAAAGGTTTAACCCTTCAAGGATGGTTAATATGTCCAATGATTGTACTCTTTCAAACAACCCTGAGAATCAAAACCCCCCTCTCATTATTGGATTTCAGTCTGGCCTGTTGAACATTCTGCCTGATATACCAGTACTATGTGATATGGTTCTACACATATATACCAAAACGGCTAAATGCTACTTGATCACAACGTCAAGATCGACGTTGCAGGTCAACGTTTAAAAGAATCTGCGGCTTTGACTCAATTGGATATTCCAGCAATCAAAGTGTTAACTCTTGCGCCTCAATTGAAACGCGAAACAGCACGCAGGATGGACATCCGTTGTCTTGTTGTCTTGGAGTGATACTTGAAGTTGAAGAGATGTTGTGAAGTTTGTTGTGAGTGAAGGACAACCTCGGCAACCTTTCCGATTTCAGGTGGGGCCCGGCAACATCCGAAGTTTACCTACTAGGTCTGGACTCTGTAGTAACCACTTCTTCTCTTCGTTTACCTCCTTTAAGCACACGTGTTTTGTTTATCGGGTCAGGTGCTTGGTTTGGAATACTTTACAGTATGAACTCTTTTACTACCCATATCCCAAAAACTTGTACTGAATTTAACCTTACCTCCGTATCAAATTTCCTAAAACAGGTTGAGAGTTTACCAACAAATCACCATTGGCTAGGATCTATTTCAGAACGGAAAATTGCTTCTTTGCGACGAGATTCTATATTCCTCGGATCCTTTTCCTATCGGAGCTCTCTAATCTACTTTTCGACAGAACGAGACAGGGTACATGGAGTAGCTCATAAAGAGAATTGCGGTCAAGTCAAATATATGGGCCATGTCCACCTTTCTATATCTCGGGACTCGGGTATGTCTCCGAAGTTCCGGCCGTTTGTTCCTGAGCATCAATTTGCAATATGCACCTATAGCGACGACGAGCTTGCAATCCGAAATGCCTCGGGACTGGAGAGGTATCTCCTATGCACATATGTGGGTTTTGTGTCAAAATCTCTATCCTTGAGTGATGGCCCGATAACATACCTATCCACCTTGTGCGGACATCGCATCGATACCTGCCCCTCCCAAGTTCTGACTCAGCTGTGAGTACGTACTCATTGCGGCCAGAAAGTCTGCAACTCGGGAATAGGTTGTATTTTCCCATTTTGTGTTCATGAGCATAAACTCATATGAGTCGTATTCAGAGCGACGATGAGGATACAATCCAAGGGTATGAGATGTTCGAATTGTTCGAATTGTATCCCATATCCCATACCAAACTGTTATTTTTGAGCGGTGGACCGGCACAATGTCGGAGCTTTACTGTTCCAACAACGAACGCATGCAATTTATATTTATATGCGATTCTTCACATTTCCGTTGAGTTTCCAGATCATTATTGGACTACCAATTTCGGAGACCTATCGGTTCGGGCTGGTCATTGCTTGTTTTCTCATCTTAATCAATCTATCATCAGCTCATCAACCGCGTCCGTTACGCTACTGATAAACATAGTGGATATTTTTCCGTGAGGGGGGTTATCAGACTTCCATGCACCAATCAGCTTGCGAGATGCAGGGGTATTTTTCCGGGGCGAATCTAAACCCATCTTGGCGCATATTGCGATTCTTTCTATATAATATTGAATATAGATATATAAGAGCACCTTTTCATTCACACAGAATAATCACTTCAATCGCTTATTTCCAATCTTTAACGCAAGTATATTGAAGTCAGGTCTCCCTAGAAGAACTTCTCAATCATGCGTTCCTTCGCGATCCTTTCCTTGGTAGCTTCCATGCTAGGAAGCGTCTCTGCCAGTCCTACTTTGGTAAACCGAGCTGTTTCATTCAACCGAACCATTGCCCCAGCTGGTGCGATTGTCGTCGATGAGACTGGTGAAGTTGCCGGTTCCTACACTACATTCCAAGCAGGTGTAGACGCTTTATCTGCCAATACTATCGACGATCAATACCTTTTCGTTGCCCCTGGTACCTACTTTGAGCAAGTCTACCTCCCAGCTCTCGCATCAAACCTTACCATTCAAGGTTACACCCCCGATGCCCGTACCTACAGAGATAACCAGGCAACCCTCACCTACAATCTCGCTCTCATCAACACCACATCCGACGATTTAACCGCCACCTTCCGTGCCCACAACACTAATACCAAAGTGTACAATCTCATCATCAAGAACACCTTCGGCCACATAAACAGCAACGGTCAAAATCTCGCCCTCTCCTCCTACGCTACCAACGTCGGCTTTTACGCCACCCAATTCTGGGGATACCAAGACACCGTCCTTGCCGAGGCCGGTTACCAACTTTACGCCAAATGCCTCATCGTCGGTGCCATTGATTTCATCTTTGGCGAGAAGGCCCTCGCCTGGTTCGAAAAGAACGATATCCGAACCATTGCCAATGGAGCCATCACCGCCTCGGGTCGCACTAATGCTGAGGTCGATTCCTGGTATGTGATCAACAACTCCAACATCGCCAATCTCAACAGCAGTCTCAAGTCATACAACAACTATCTCGGAAGACCATGGAGAGACTACGCCCGCGTCGTTTTCCAGAACAGTTACTTGGGTGATAACATTGTCGCCGCCGGATGGCAAGAGTGGAGTACCTCGGCGCCCCAAACCGACGAGGTTTTCTTCGGAGAGTGAGTCTTCTATCCCCATCATCGTATCTCAAGATGTCACTAACAACTTCATAGATACAACAACTACGGCCCCGGAAGCGTATTGCAGGAAGGACCAAGAGCCAACTTCAGCAGCCAATTGACGGCCTCGATTGACATTACCACCGTCTTGGGTACTAGTCATACCAATGAGTTCTACTACGATGCCAGCTACATGTAAATAAGCATGTAAATGTGTAGCACGCAAGCGAGCCAGAGTCGAATGAATTTGCATCTCAAGTAATTCGCATTGAGATCGACTCCAGTCTCCAGGCCAAATCAAGTATCGGATCGGTACTATATTAATTTCTTGTAAATAATGTCTATGATAAAGGAAGGAGTGAAAACTCGAAAGAGTGGAACTTGGGTGTTTTGTATATATGAAATTAATACCATGTACATATGTAATGAGAATCTTACACAGTTCCGACTATTTTATCTACCCGTTTCCCGGTTGGTCTTTCCAATATTCCATAAAGGAAGTGATGATTTGACAACAAAGCGACGAGAGAAGCAGGATCAATGGCCAGAAAACGATCCTTACAATATTCGATATAGGATAGGACATGACTAAGTGATTTGGATCCTATGTAGCAAATTGATGTTATATACATATATCTGTGGATAAAACAAGAGGATCTGGAAAAGCTTATTCGACGGCAAGGGCGTGGATTTTGTCAACGAGTATATTGATAATGGATGATGGATGATTCGACGAATGTCTTTGTGATGATGATTAATCATGACTTTGATTATGAATATGAGAGAGTTTCAGCTTCTACTCTACTACTCTACTGCAACAGATAGACTGTGTGTGAGGTGATACGTGATGTCTCCTTCTTACTACTCGTATAGCCACCGACAAATTCATTTACAATACAGTATCCCCATCCAAACTCATAGATCAATATTTCACATACTGTACTCGAGTAGAAGGTTCACAGAGATCGGTTTCCCCCAGCTTAAGTAAGAGTTCTACAACCCAACCCCAAACCAACCTTAATATCCAAACCCAGCCTCCAGCCTCCAACCCCCTAACCACTCACCACTCACCACTCACCACTCACCACTCACCACACCCATTCACCCCAATCCAATCTAATCCAATCGCTCCACCTCCGCATTTTCATTCCAGTGAACTGCATATCCTACGATCCTTGTGCACTGCAATCCAAAACTCCGTTTTTACATCTCCATCTCCATCTCAATTTTCATCCTCTGATAATAATATTAGCAGCATCAACCAAGTAAGTAATACAACCAAATCCATAACAATAATATACAAATAACAAAAATTACACAAATAAACAGTAAACCCCATCCATCCATCAATTTTCTACCGAGAGAATCTACTTTCTACTTTCTACTTACTCTCTCGTTTAATTTTTATTCATTTGTGGAAGTGCTAGTGATAATTTTCATCTTGTACATATCATAACATATCATACATACCACGGGATATTTCGTATTCCAAACCCTCTAATCTCTAATTATCACATCACCCAATCCAAGCATTCTTTCCTCCCCTTCCCTCTTGCCCCGCCCTTTCGCTTGTTTTCCTTCACCATCCATCCCCTCTCCTTCTCTCTCCCTCCCTTCCAACCCCAAACCCAACCCCAATCTTACATCACACCACACCACACCACACCACCCCCCTCCTTCCCTCCCTCCCTTCCCTCTTGCTTCTGTTCCCTTTCCCTTTTTCTTCTCCTTTTTCTTCCCCCCCTCCTTCCTTCCCTCCTTTCCCTCTCTTCTTCCCTCCTTCCTTCCCCGTCTCCCCCTCTTCTCCCTCCCTCCTTCCTTTTCTCCACTATACCCATTACCCAACCCCATTTACACCCACACACATATCCAAACACAAATAAATCCCAGTCGACTGACTATCCTCATCACCTCACCTTAACATCTATCTATCTATCTACTGTACATAACATCTATCTACTGTGTACATAACAGTATATAAAATCCATCCCTTCCCTTTTCCCTCTTCCTTTCACATTCCTTCCTCATCAATAGCTATTTATTCATTCACTCACACTCATACGTCACCTCACATCACCTCACTCAACCTCCCCTCATTCTCCACCCCCATCCCCACAGTCCAACAAAAAAGAAACCCCCATAACAAATTATACATATTACATCATATCATATCATATCAAATCAAATCAAATCAAATCAAATCAAATCATATCAAATCATATCATATCATATCATATCATATCATATCATATCATATCATATCATATCATAACAATAATATTTGCCTATGCCTACTTAACTCATACCAACCCAAGTTCTGTATCCTTCTTCCTCATTCATGTTTCGAATTCGTTATCAAGAAAAAAATGCTAAACCAAAAAACTGTCAAAACGCAAACTTAAACGCAAAAAAGTACCATTGAATCATTGCTCATAAGTCATCATCAATCAAGTCTCGTGTTTCTTCTCCCATCTCCCATCTCCCATCTCCCATCTCCCATCTCCCATCTCCCTTCTCCCTCTAACCCCCTTCCCTTCATCCGCCTCCTCATCCCCCACCCCCCCCTCCCAAATCAAACAATAATCCTACCCACCCACAAGAAACTCTTCTCTTTTCTTCAAATCGTGCCATGACAATATAAAAGAAACAATCAATCAATCACACAAAGTATCCAGAAAAATCCAATCAATGATGACTCCAACACACCCCCGGTCCTCCATCCAACAGATTCCGATTCCTCCATCCCATTATACCAAGCCCATACAACCATATCAAAAAGACGAAACTAGACAGAAAACTTTGCTTTGCAATGTCTCTTGCCCTTTTCAACGTAGAAGATTCAACCACTTGGTCCCAGTTCTCCCCTTCCTCAAAGCTGTTGATCCAACGGCGATATGACATCGCACCTCAAATCCAAGCATCTCCCCCATTGTCAACCCTATTCTGTGCAAAACTCAATTTCATATCAATCTTGGGAGGAGAATTTTCCACCAGTGCACCGGCTACTTTCTTCGGACTACCAGTCTTTCGTACCGGACTTCTATTATCAGCACTGGGACCACATCTCACATCTTTGGTCTCCCAACCATCTTCCATTGCAGCCGCGACCCAACATCTCAGTCCTGCATGAACACCACCATAAAATTTCTCCTTGCATAAACGCAACGTAGAACCCATACATTTTTCCCAGCCGGAGACTTTCAACTCGTCGCGCACTTGATTGCGTTCTTCAAGAGTGGGTAGAGAAGCAATGCAGCCGTTGACAATATCGAGGTGAGAAGCGAGATAATTAGTTGCATCCCACTCAACTCCTCCAACATATGGTGCAGCTGGAACCGGAGGAAGTTCTTGTGGAAAATGTTTGATCATGTATGGGAGATCGGGAGGGAGATGATTGAGTGGTTCTGGAGCATGACGTGAATCTGGACGAGGGATAACGTTGAGATTGTGAAGGAAGATCCAGAAAACTTCTTTGGTGACATTAGTAACTTCTTTACACCAAACGCGATAAGGACGTTGACGGCGCATATCGAGGACGAAATCAACAGGACGTTGGGACTCGTTGGGTTCCGGATCGCGTAGATATGAGAGGAGGAATCGAGCTCGGGTTGCGCGCTCGCTAAGGGTAGCGGACTTGAGGTAAGTGAATAGAAGCGAAGTCACAATATTTCGGGTGGTAAATTCGGCTGGCCCCTTTTTCTCCTCGTCAAAAAGCATATGGAGAAGAGCAGGGAAGAGGGTTTTTTGGATGATGTTGAGATGTTGGAGAGCTAGAGCTGTAGTTGAAAGTGCCTTTAAGCAAAGCAAAACTTCATGAAGTAAAGCATCCTCATGCTCCTCTCTATTTATATGTCAGTTATCATGTTATCGATATGTAATATATGGCGCAACAAACCTCCATTCGACTTCCATAGTCCTATGTAGTAATCCTACGATCTCTTCCATGCCTCCTTGACGAACGAAATTATCCGTCCAGGCCACTGTCTCGTTTCGTAATAAAAGCCTGAGCTTATGCAATCTTCCAACCTCCACCAACTCTGGTTTCCGGACCTTTCTCATATATGCCACAAAATCATCTGATGTCAAGCCTTTAGCCTTGGCAATCAAATTCTGTGCTACTTGTGCGCCAGCAGAGGTGAGCGACCTGGTCCCATTCAAAGACTCTGTAGATTTCCTATTTCCAACAATACCTTCTGACTTTTTGTCCTTGTCGGCTGGCCGTTCCTTACTCGTCGATCTGGACAGAGTGAAAGTTCGACTTCTTGGTCTCTTTTTCTTCTTCAACTCCTGGGCTTCCTCCGTCTTTCTATTTTCTCCACTTGTATCACTACCATGGCTGGAAGGCCTCAAGACTTTCGCGGCAGCCGTTTCGGCCCAATCTTGTTTAATGAAGTCTTTCTTCATCGACTTGGCGAGATTCCTCATCTTCCCTCGTTGATGTTCCGGAATATTCCGCCTGTCCAACATAGCTTCGAATTCGGCGTCGATTTCTCTATCATTGAGGGGTCGGTCGGGCCCAAAAGTCGCAGAAGTCGGTGTTTGTATTGGAGCATATCCTCCACTATCCCCCCTTGCCTTTGCCGTGAAGTTGGAAACTGCCGCCATGACTCGAGAGCCTCGAGTACTGCTAGCCGTTTTGATGGAAGCAACCGATATCTCGGTGCTCGATCGCTGGAAGCTTGGTCTTGGTCTTATATCGACAGAAGTCCGAATATCACAACTCTGGTTCTTTTCGTTCGAGACTTGTCGCCTTGGAATGTCAATACTGGATCTGTTCTTGCTGTCCCCGCTAAACTTCCTATGAATGTCTTGGATACTGAAACTGCTGGGTAAATATGTGGAATGCGGCCGTATCGATCCACCTTCTCGGCTTGCAAGACTCGGTTGTGTATTTGGTCCATTGTAGAAGTTTCGTTGTTTACTTGGTGAATAGTTCTCGGGTGTATAACGGTCGATTTGATCCTCGAGAAACTTCCCTCCCAGAGGTTGCTTTGTGAACATTTCGCTTGAGAATTGTGAATATATTGTTGGTCGTGGAGGACGTGTATCGGATTCTGTAACAGGGGGTGATAGCTCCGGGGTGCAATTCTCTTTGTCCTTTAAATTGCGTTGTGCCAGCTCTACATCGAGCTTAAGGTTCTTGGATGACTTCGGGCGCGTAAGGAGGCCAACCAGACTTGTCGAGGATTTGGTCTTTTTGGGCTTCGTAGGAGACTTGTCTCGAATTGATGTTCCTTTACTGTAATCCTTCGCTGGGCTTGCCAATGACTTGAGAGACAACGCACTCAATGTCTTCTTGTGCAAACCCCTACCTCCTATACCAGTCTTCGGTCGAAGTCCTTCTTGGGAAGTGGTGTAAGGCGCCAGGATGGAAGAAGTTTGTTGATTTCGTTGAATATCTGCGAGAGCGCGATGGTGGGTATAATCTGTCGGAGAAGGCATATCTTCAAAAGCTGGAGAAGCTACAAAGAAGTCACCCGGTGAGTTCGCAGGTGAGAGAGTTGATCCTTCAGAAGGAGTGCGCTTATGGATGAATGCCTTCAATACAGATGCAGTCTTGGGTCGCTTGGAATGTACTGATTCTGGGTAGGGGAAACTGGTAGCCATGATGAAAGCTATGGTATACTCGAGTACAATTGTTTGTTTTTATTGCTACATGCGAAAAGGGAAAACAAAACTTTGGATATGTTATGGATACTGCAAATAAATGCTAACTCATGGTAATAGAAAAGGTATTGGGCGGGGTTGATTGAAATGAAATTGTTTTAATGATTTCTTATGATTCTTATGATTCTTATGATCAATCAATTGCAATCAATCAGTCATTCTATCTACTTAAGTAAATGATTTGTTTAGACCTGTTTTGGGTATTGAGTTGCTAGGGGCAACCATAAATCTAAGTCGCGAGTTCATGTGTTTGGACAAAATCAATAGTTTACCAGTTTACCACCTTTCTTATCCAATTACCACGTATGATTTTAATCTTACCTAGTTATTACCCTTGATCAAAAAAACTATAACTCTTCCGGATACAATCAATAATTTACCAAGGATTCGATATTTCAATTGGAAGAGAATATTAAATAATTTGATGAGTCTCTCGGACTACAACCTTAAAGGTCTACTCGAGTATTGCTTTAAGCATGGTATCAAGACAAAGACTTATTAGTATCATCTAACCAAAAGATGATTGGGTATACGCTCCATATATCATCTAAACTTCCTAATCAATCCTAACCAACCAACATCTATGATTCCCTAATAAAATGAATCCTCATCTCTACCTTCACTTCTACCTTTACTTCTACCAACTAAATAATCCCTTTTGCCTATCAAATCCACCTCTCAACTGACTCTCCGGCTTGATAAGTTTCCCTTGCAAAACTGTAAATTTCACAATACCTTCACAATCTTCCGGCTTTACTCTTGCAAGCCACATACATTGAGCTGCACCTCCATCCTCATCTTCTCCCGGAACAAGTCTCGACGGCATAATTTCTCCATCAGCCTTTGCTCTCTCAACCGCATCCAATCCGAACGCGTCAGATCTTCGATAGATCATGACGTTCGCACTATATTTGTGTCCTCCAACATGAGATATAAAGTATATGCCAACCCCGCCCGGCCTATCATCGTCGAGATCTCGGAAAAGTCCTAGGGGCCTCAAATGCCTCTCGAATTCCTTCTTTAGTAATGGCGCACTTTGCCCACATCTTGCATCTCGAGTTTTTTGTGAACAGAGGAGGATAAGCGCTCGGTGTGGTGATGGTCGAGATGTAAGTTGTTCTGCGGATGGAAGAGGGGAGGGAAGGGACTTGGGTATTGAAATAGGTTCAAGAGGTGTGATATTAGTTGGGGCTTTGTCGATGAACTCTGTTATCAGAGTTGGGACTGATTTTGGAGTAACATTCTCGATGACGACAAATGCAGGTAATAGGAGGACAGTCGTAGGCTGCGAGTAATCTGCGGAATGCGAAGGAGTGGGTATATTCGAGGCGGAGAGCATAAGCTTCTATGGTGGATCATCAGCATGTGTCTCAAAGCGCGATAGTATATGATATTTTGTAGAAAAAAAAACATCACTAACCCCATTGCTTGGTTTAACAGAACCATGATCGATGGCTTGCATCACACTCCCCTTCTCATCTGCAACATCCCTCACCCAATCCGACTTTCCTGTAGCCACCAAAATATGTGTACTCCACTTTTTGACATGGCCATATAACTCATCACCCTCATCTATCTTGAACCCTTTTGGATAATTTACATGACACGACTCGCAATCATGATCACAATCATCTCCATCAACCGCCGGATCAACCTTTGGGAATAATTGCTCGATGGGAGTAAATCCCGAGGGAGTTCCTGGGATTGGGGTAGATTGTCCCGAGATAGTTTGCTTCGCAGAAGTCAGAAAGGACTTGAAAGTCGAAGCCATATTTTTCTTCTTGCGCGGGATGAAATTGGTGGATGTAATTCTGGTGGCATCGCTGATGCTTTTATTCCCATGGCTCGACATTTTGTGGAGTTGAGTACTATGTATACTAGATGGTGATTGGTTGCCAACTGGTCGTCATAGTCCGGTGAATAGACGGAATTGTAACCGAGTAACGTGGAATTCCTTATCAGATCCGCTTTTAGTTTTTATCAGATGGCTTGTGATTGATGGATGAAGCTGCCGTTGAGAGTTTCCGAATGACAATGTTAGCTAAACGGTAAGAACGGCGTTTGATGAATGGAATGGATTTGAGGTTGTGAAAGACGGAAAGGGAAGGGAAGGGAAGACAAGTGTTTAATAAGATGTTCATCATCATTGCTTCCACTTTAACTTTAACGCTTGAAATCAATTCACCGTCGGCATTCTCTTATATCCGTGCTTTGCAAGCGTAAACCCTTCGGTTCCGACTACTGAGATCCCTTTAATCAATCAACAAATTCAATCCGCAATATCCACTTCATATGATTGGTTACATACGGTATAACACCATCTAACACCATACCCATACCATACAACACCTGGATATGCAGCATCTACCGGTGGTACCCCAACCATGCCACCCAAAACCATATTTCTCACCGGAGCACCCACAACCCACTCCCTCAACTGGGACGAAACCCAACTTCTTCACACCTTCACCGAACCCTTCATCCAATTCCTACATCTACCTCCACCTCCACCTCCACCCACTTCTCCACCGGCCCCTCATATAAATCCATACCCGAACTCCGCACCGCCACGGAACAATACAGAGAATTATACAAACAACAATACAAACACAGAATCCATAAATTTGTCCACTCCCGCAACCTCAACCTCAACCCCCAATCCCACTTGGCGCCAACTCCCCCTCTCACGTCAACATCTCGCTACGGGAGTTTCTCAAGATCACGCTTATCAACCCCTTTATAGCTGTAACTATAACTATAGCTATAACTATAAAAATGGAAATGGAAATGGAAATGGAAATTATGCCAATGATTTCTTCTCTACAACAACTTTTATAGCACTATCGCAGGGAAAATCTCAATCTCAATCGCTGTCGCTGAATCAGGATTCGGATTTCTCTGTTGAGTACTCACATGATCATAACCATGATGATGACCATGATCTCCAACCTATCGACGCAATCCTCTCCCAATTCTACGAACATTCCTACGCTATCCACGCCGATATCCCCTCTTCTCAAATCGGCCCCTCCACCTCTATCTCTAACACCGACCCCAGCACATCCATCTCCACATCCTTCTCCTCACCTTACAACTCCCCATCCCTAATTTCCCCCTCTCAACCCCAACCCGATCCCCTCATCCCACTCCCCCTCTCCATCCCCCTAACTCTAACCCCCCTCTCCCACATCCCCCCCGCGCAGCACCTCCTCTCCCTCCACCCCCAAACCATCACCCTCAACCTCATCACCGGCATAATTTCCATCTCCCCCTTACGAACCATCACCACCAAACGCGGCGACACCATCTCACTGATCGAGCTCCTCGTCGGCGACGAAACCAAAAGTGGATTTGGGATTACCTTTTGGTTATCCAACCCATCCCACAAACCAAACGAAAACAACAATAAAACAAACCCCCCCACCCTAGAAACAACAACCCCCCTCTCGCACCTCCGCACACAAGACACAATCCTCCTAAAAAACATCGCACTAGGTACTTTCCGAGGAAAAGTACACGGTCAGAGTTTAAGGCGCGATATGACGAAGTGTTGGTTGATGTATCGGGAGAAGATTGATAGGAGGGATGTAGGGGGTTTTTATGGGGAGAGGGATGTAGATGCGAATGTAGATGTACAGTTGGCAAAGGTAAAGAGGGTACGGGATTGGGTGAGGGGGTTTGTGGGGGTTGCGCATCATGTGGATGCGTCGAGATCTAGATATAGATGTGGAGGGGATGTGGGGGGAGGGAGAGAGAGGGAGAGGGAGAGGGAAGTGTTACCTCCGGATACGCAGTGAGAGAGGAGTTCTTGGTTCTTGGATTGCTATGATATATCGGTGTTCAAATCTTTTTCAATTGCCTCGTTTGGGGAATGTATATCTCATTTTCTGTAAAGATACCCCGGTGAGCTTTGAACTTTGATGTGTATACTCGAGTACATCACGAGACAAAATCAAATCAAATCAAATCAAATCACCAAATAAATAAAGACGTATCCTATTATATTATATATACGTCAATTCCTCCCACTCATTCCTCATCCCATCCATATTCCCCACCCTTTCCCACCAAACCAATAAAAAACCAACCAACCCACCTATCCATCCATCCATCCCTCATATTCCTCATATAAGTAATAGCTCATTATATACATACCCTACCATTCCATTCCATCCCTATCCCCATACCCATATCCATTCCCATTTCAATACGATCTGATCTGAATAAAGTCATCATCTTATTTGAAAGAAATACCCCTCTCCCAAAAAAACGCCTATAGAAATTCCACTGTGCCAAAAAGTAAACAGATTACTCCACCAAAATATCCGCCAACAATTCAATACCAACCATAAGATGTGAATCCACTGCCTTCAATAAACCCATCATATTCCATCTTCCCATCATTAATCACAAATTGTCTTCAAATGCTTTGCATGCATGCATCACGAAACTGTCTTTCCCCCACAACTTGGAATTTTCACTCCATCCTTTAACACTCTATTAACATCCATAATACCCCAGTGATCCTCCCAATTTTGATCTCCCGAGTTATATTGAATCTTCCACGGTTCATCAAAAGCTTCAAACCAGAAATAATTAGTTCCATTTGTAATCGCATCACAGACCCAATTGTCCATGAAAGTATTCATTTCGCTAATTCCTGCCACACTACCCTCAACACATGTAGTAGCAGCACCACAATCAGTACCGCCTGTCGATGGCCATCCGGTCTCCGAGATAATATTTTGGGATGCATTGGTTTTGAAGGCCACATCATGGTTTTGCCAAAAATCCCATGTCCAAGATGCACCTTGTTCGGCAGTGACGCCGGCGAAAAAGGGATGAATGTTAGCCATTACGAAGTCGACGGCATTAGCGAGTTCCGCGGTCCAATTATCTCCTAGATCCGAAGAGGCGACTGGAAGGTGAATACCGCGGGTGGTCATGTTAGATTTGACATCTCCAATGATAGATACGAGTTCGGTGGCGGTCATATCTTCTCTATAGAGGACCTCGTTGCCAACAATAACACCGATAAATGACGATGGACCATGTGTATCAAAGATACTGTAGAGCTGTTCGAGTTGTCGAGTATTAGTGGTAGCGTTACTATCCTGCCAAACGCCTAACCAAACCTTGACGGTACCATTCAAGCCCAGTTGATCAATGGCATGTAGAACAAGCTCCGTTTGGTTACAATCGGTACCATATAGACGAATGGTATTGCTGAGTTGCGAAAGAACCGCCATGTCTCTTGTAACGTTGTTTTGACTTGCTGGATACGTCAAGCAAGCGGGATATTGCGTATACATAGGTGTATAATCGATTCCAGGAAACACTTTGTGCAAGTTAGGGTTATTCAATAACTTTTTGATTTCCGCCGAATTCTTGTCGAGATCGCCATGCTGTGAAGTGTCCGACGACGCGGATTGTCCATTGGTCGAATCCTGACTTGTTCCTGAACCCGAACTCGATTTCGAATTGCCCGCCAGTGTACCTCCTACAGCTCCTCCAATGATCGCCCCTACGATCAAAAATCCAACCAGTAAAGCAATCCATAATCTCATCTTCTTATTACCGCCTGGTGGTTTCTTTAACCATTCGTTCTTTTCCACACTCAGATCGTAATTGCCCGGCCCACTATATCCGTTCTGTGCATTTGTAACATTATTGTATTGTATATTTTCCCCATTCTTCTTTCCAACAAGGCCTCCCAATGTTCCGATCACCCCACCAGCTGCCACAGCTTTCCCCACCGGGGGTGTTCGTGTTCCACCCTCTGACATTTTATTTAAACTTAGCACAGAAGATCTATTAGCCCTTCTATATCCCAAACCGTCGTCTCCGTCGTCTGCAATTATATTAGGATCGAATTCCACAAGTTCCGGGTCAATTGCCCTGGAATATCGATTATATGGGTAAGGAGAATCCGAGTATGGATCTAAAGGAGGATTTCGACCAGAAATAGTCGAATGTGAAGAGGGAGTCGACATTCCGGTTGGGAAAGCAGCAGCATTTAAAGGAGTGAGAGATGATGTTGATACATCTTGTCGTGGCAACGAACGTTGGAATGGAGGCTCCCGGTATGAAGGTTGTGCTGGATCATAACCCGGGGTACTCCTCATATCCACTCCACTTTGCCTGGCATTTGAATTTGCGACACTTCTCATAGCAACGCCGTTTATCCCTCCTGTCGGTTGATTTCCGAATTGATCGGATATGGTGTTGTTGTTATTGTTGTTGCTGTTTTGATTGCGTATTCTAGATTCCTGACTAGATTGTGACGACCGATGTGGTGGAGGAATTGGTGGACTATCTATTATCGGACTCACAGGTTCCATTTCCTCATAATTTTGTTGCGAATGTGAAAATGAAGGATTTGACATTCCAATCTGTTGATTATATATTTCTTGAGTTGGTAAATGAATTGAATTTGAGGCGGGATTTAGAGGATCGTACGGTGATAGTGGTGTTGGTGTTGGTGATGGTGAAGGTGAATGATATCTTGATGGTATTGTTTGTGGAGAGACAGATACAGATACAGGTGAAGAGGAATCGTGATAATCATGAATATCCTGGAAAGAGTATCGTGACATAATAAGAAAAGGAAGAAGATGGAGGAGGAGGAGGAGGTTTGAAACCGAATTGTATATTCTATTCTTCAATCGTTTCGGCCGATCTTTTGAACTTCTTCCAACTAAAAAGTAGGTTGATGAATCCCACTTGTTTTTGTTTTGGTGAATGGGTCAAATAGGATCTGAGTTGGATCTGAATTTGGATCTGGATTGGATTGGAGTGGATTGTGGATTGAATGGAGAAGTTTAGTTTTAAGTGGAAACTGGTTCTTGTCCTCTTGTCCTCGTTTTTGTGATCAAGTGGTCTGTAGTTCAGTGATCAACATAGAAAGCAAGGGTAAGAGCGAAAGCTTATTTATTGAATTGTAAGGCAATACGAGAAATTAGAAGTTAAGAACTCTTCTCTTCCTTCCTTTCAAGTTATCTCGAGCTCAATTCAATTATATAATTATGTAAATGAAGTCAAATTTAAGCCAAGAAAAGAGATAATAATTAGTAAAACCCCCTCCCCCCCCCAAAAGTTTATATAGCTATACCGGTATTTTATCTCCATTTTATCCGTAGCTAAAACCAAATCAAACACGAGGCCCGGACCTCTTACCTTCCCAGCCTTCCACCTGCTAGTTGACTAGATACGAGGCTGGTGAGAGTACGAGACATGACAGGGAACCAGAAACTCCTCTCCATCTTTTCAGCCCCCCGTTATATCGAATAAATTGGTTTGGTTGTATTATTAAAAGAGTCAATATGATATGATGTCATTCATATACAAGTATGTACTTCTGATGAGAGAGAAGTATTCAGTTGGGTATATATCTTCATCTTTCATCTCACCTCCAGAGATACAATACCAACACAACACACAACCTAACACAACCCAACACAATAGGAAACACAAGTACAAGAACTCATAAAAACAATCAAAGAAAAATAGTCCTTCCCTTCCCTTCCCTTTCATCTATATCTATTAAAAACATCAGTAGCATCAATATCAACATCCACATCCGCTTATCAAATTCAAACCCAGCACAATTCCAGTACAAGTAACCAATAACAAATCACACTTTAACTACTATACCTACCTACCTACTACCTACCTAAATACTATACCATACCATTCATTCATCCATTCATCCATCTAACTCGAGTACTTGACAGCTTAGCTTACCTATATACTCGTACTTACCCTTTCATATTAATACAAGTACGTACCAGTATCAGTAACCGACCGGTATCTTATTACTTTTGCAACAAGATCAAATCTGTGATTTTTTTGCTCCCAAATACCCCGCAAAACGCAAAACTCGGTATCTACTATAAAGCCATTCAAAGGATGGGGATGATGCAATTGAGGGGGAGGAATCCCAACCCTAACCAACCCCATTCTTATAATCAATCCATCACCATAATCCATCACCATAGACCCATCATCACTCATTACTCATCTCATACAACAAACACCCCTTATAAACCCCTCTCATACAACCCCCCTCCCTTACAAACCATAACCTTAACCACAACCATAACCACAACCAAAATCCAAACCCCATCTTCTCTATCATCAATCACCCATCATCAATACAGTACCCCCATACCCATACCCATACCCACACCAATCTCCAAATTCATCATGACAACCCAAACCCCATCATTCCGAGAATTAATTGGTGTCCAACCATCTACTGTTTCGGTGCAGGATAGCGTTTTGATTATTATCGATGCGCAGAATGAGTATGTATTTTATTTTTGAATAGCTTTATATATATCCATCTCCATATCCATATCCCTTTCCAACCCCATATCCCCATCCCCATACCCATCCCCTGTTTATAACAACCACAAACCCAATCCCTAACCCCACTCCACCACCCACAGATACGCCCAAGGCCACCTAACCATTTCCCAAATCACCTCCTCCCGCAACGCCATCTCGTCCCTCCTCACCAAATACCGCACCGCTCACGCCCCCCTCGCACACATCGTGCATCAAGTCCCCTCTGGCGCCCCCGTCTTCACACCCGGCACCGCATTGGCACAAGAATTCGAAGAGCTGACGCCAGAAAACGGTGAGAAAGTCATCGTTAAGCAATATCCGAGTGCATTTACTGGGACGGATTTAGAGGCGTTTATTAAGGGGACGGGCAAGTCTAAGGTCGTGTTGGTGGGGTATATGGCGCATGTGTGTGTGAGTACGACGGCGAGACAGGCGGCTGAGAAAGGCTATGATGTGTTGCTTGTGGGAGATGCTATTGGGGATCGGGATATTCCTGGGGTGAAGGCTGAGGAGTTGGTGAAGACGGTTTTGGCCGAGTTGGCCGATGCTTTTGGGACTGTGGTGCAATCGGGTGAGATCAATTGAGATGTCATTTCTTGATTTAGATTGAGAGTATGTATTGAATATCTTGGTACTCTTGAGGTGTATTGCTAGTGAGGTTTCGACTTCGGCTACACCCCTTATTCAAATAGTTGGTTTGTTTCGCCAGTATATTTTTGTATCCGAGAAATCGTGTCGAATTTGTGGGAAATTTATTACTTCGCAATCTTTGACCATTTCGTTCAGAGGTTTTGCTATTGTTTCTTTCGTTTCTGTTCTGCGAATTATTAACCTCTGTTATCACGTATGAGCCATGCAACTTACAGATTGAATCTCCCAAAGTTATCGACATCTGTTCCAATGAGAACTGCAGGTCGAGGTCCTTCACTCATAGTCTTATAAACTGGCCCATAACAATGTATCGCATATACCAGAGAATCCTCTTTAATATGATCAAATGCCACCGGATCATCAACCACTACACCCGCCAAAGATGTCAAGAATTCCTTGTCAGTTTCCGTATATTGAGGGTCTTGAAAAACGCATTGTATCTTATGAGCACCGGTGCCACCTGGGAATCTGTTAGCATCACCCATCTGCGACTTCCAACCAACTCACCCAACTCTTCCAGAATCATCATCAACGCCGCCAATTGCGTAAAACTACACCTTCTCCCCTCTCTCCTCGCACTCTGCAAACTGCCCAACCCCAAACAAACCACACTCTTCACCCCAGTCCTCCCCCCCAGAATCTCCCTCAACTGTATCGCCGCCTCACTATCCTCCCACTGCTTGGCATAAAACTCCCAATCCCCCCTCATCTCCCCCACCGTCCGTTCAATATAAGCAACCCCACCCCTCACAAAATCCCCCGCATGTGTCCAGCCCTCTCCACCCCCGGCCTTCTTGCCTCCTCCTACCACATGTGTCCATCCCTCCGTATCCTCGACTTGGATCCTCTTCATTGGCTGCACAATCTTCTTGGCATGTTGCTCTTCCCCGCCTGTTGTTCGCGTATCCGCATTCCCGTTTGTGCTGCTCTTCTTTTTACGATTCGTGTGCGGCATCTTTTTCTTCCTATCTTATCTTATTCGTCCAGTCCAGTCCCGTCCTCAAAACCCCAAAGTCCAAATCTAACGTAAGCAGCAAGCAATTCCCCGTATCATGTGCAGTAAAGTAAGAAGTAAGCTTCAGCCCTTCCCTTCGGGTATTGATGCGAAACCGTACCACGCTGTACTACTTGCGTAACTGTCTCCAAGAAATGCACCCGTATGTTTGAAGAAACGCAAATGCCGCACAGTTGCCTATGGTACAATCAAGACGGAGTACAGTAAGCCTCGGGAAGGAAACCCTCTCGATTTTTCGTTTCCAAAACTTTGGCTCGATTGAATGTCAAAAAGTCGGTAGTTCCGTCTGAGAAATTCGTCAGATCTCACTTACAATACTGCAGAATAAATCGAGTAAATGAGTTTATACGCGTAAGTCTTCAGCTCCAGTCTTTCGTTGCGAGTCACAAAACGTGGGAAATTTAATTTATTTCAAACTGTAAAATGTAAAATGTAAATCGTGAGAGGAATTGAAAAAAAGGGTGTGTGATGATACAATGCAGGGTTTATTTTTGGATATTCAAATGGATGGATGGATGGATGGAGGGAGGGGCAGATTTTATTCATTTCATGATGGCAGAATAATTTGCACCGCCTTTCTTGAATGTCCGAAGCTTGGCTGCTCTGCTCTGCCACCAACCCCATGATCTTTCAAATGTTGGGGTCCGGTTTTGGGTTCTTGGTTCTTGGGGACCGGAACAGTAATATCACGAATTCCAAATGAAAGGCCGTTAAACCAGACTTTTACTTGTATTCATTTCACATACCGGTATGCACATACTGTACTTCTTTCAACGCCTCCACCTACGGATGTGATACAGAAAAATAAAATTAGAAAGATACCGGGAAGGGAGTGTTTTATTATACTCAGTATTGTATCACCACACCTACCGGTATTAGTTTCCTCATTTCATGCAGGAGAGGACGTACAACATTAAATACGCAAGGTGTAGATTGGTGGAATTGGTGTGTGTAGCTCGAAATCTTGAAATCGAGAGAAGAAGAGTCAGCATTTCAAAAATGATATACTATGTATTATAGAGTAGTATTTCACATAAATAATGGCTGTGTTCAGATCAGTTCTTCCTGTTGTTTGCTGAGATAGATTGGATGTAATGGTGACAGTGAGAGGTACCGAGGGGTGTGGTATAGGGGTGAGTTCGGTAAAGATATTAGATTATTGAACAGGTTTATTATTACTATTCAAGTATATTTGATAGTTACTGTTACTGTTACATATACTGCTACTACAACTTCCATGTTAATGTCCCTTGTGCTTGTACCTGCTTCTTTTATATACAATTTTCCTTCCAGAGTCCAGAGTCCATATTCCAGATCCATTTCCCTTTAAAATAAAATCTATTTATCTATCCATATAAATCTACACAAAATCATCAAATACCTAAATCATCACCGGTAGTTCCACAAACCATCAACCAATCCCAATTCTCCAAACCCTTTCAATCATATCCGGGCGCTTACATCAAATGATCCATTAGCCGGAACCCCTGTTTATATATCAATCAATCACCCCACAACCAATCAAATGATCAAATGGCCAATGCACAAATGCACACACACCAGCGATCAACAACTCCATAAACAAAAATCAACCAATCACCTTAACACATCCCTCCCAATATTGAAAACACTAATCCTAACCAAGTATATATCTCATCTGTCTTCCCTATCCCATGCACATCTCCATCTTGTCACTCAACTCATCTCATATCCCATTGGCCATTGGCCATACACTTTTAGACGCCCAGCCCAAGGAAATTCAGCATAGCATATGCAGCAGCCATTATCGAACATCTCATCCAGCTGGGGCTTGTCATGTCAGCGGGAAAAGATAATCCAATTGCTGAGATGGATCGAGATCATTCAAATACTCTGCAAGTCCAAGATGATGGCCGAGCCGAAGAAATCTCATTTCTGCTTTGCACTCATTATAATATACAATATTCCTATACTCGAGTAACCTTATCTATCGTTCGCACCTATTTAATCTTATCATCCAAGAATCTCATTCATCTAGTAATGTACTGAGAATATTGTTTGTGTAAGACCAAGTTCATTCATCTATCTGTATGAAATTTTGATGTTTTACCCTTAATTTGGATACCTGCATACTCTACCACCTCACATCACCCATACAGCGAACTCCATCACTTATCACCCATCACCCCCGGAAACAAACATACACCTATACGATAGCGAACTCACCCACCTATCTACCCATCTAACCTGAACTTTCCAATCTTCTCATCCTCACAAGCCGGTGTTACACACACAAACACTTCCCAACAACATCCATCCATCCATCCATCCATCCATCAATCCATCCATCCATCACATCATATCCACAACAAAATGTTCACGACGAGAATATTATCGCTGATAGCGATTGCGACCAGTGCGTTGGTGCAGGCACATACAGTGATAACATATCCGGGATGGAGAGGTGATAATTTGGTTACGAATGATACTTTTCCTTATGGAATGCAGTGGATGTATCCTTGTGAGTAGTTTTTCTACTACATTTTGGGAATTTTTCTATCTTTTTGAGAAATAGGGGTGAGAGGGGTTGGAAGCGATTTGGGTAGATGGATAGCATATTTAAAAAGCTATTTTGCTACCCATATTCTTCTATCCACCATTCTCACCAATCTCCCCCCTTTCCCTCCTTATTCTTCCTTCTCCCCTCTCCTCTCTCTCCTCTCCTCCCATACCCCAACTCAAACCCACCCAACAACCCACTAACCCCTCTCCCCCCCCCCCTAGGCGGCGGCATGCGCACGACCACCAACCGCACCCTCTGGCCCATCACCGGCGGCGCCATCGCCATCCAACCCGGCTGGTTCCAAGGCCACGCTACCGCCTTCTTCTACATGAACCTTGGTTTCGGCACCGATGGTCCCGACGGTGGTCCCCCCAACATGTCTAATCCCATGACATCCGTTATGCAAATCGTTGGACCCAGCAAAAATCCTTACCCTGGAACTTTCTGTTTACCACAAGTTCCATTGCCTGTCAATACGACGGTGAATGTTGGAGATAATGCGACGATTCAGGTGGTGGAGACGGCTATTCATGGCGCGGCGTTATATTCTGTAAGCTTTTCTTTCTCTTTCTCATATCCCGTTCCCCATTTTATTTCCTTCCTTCCATCCTTCCACCCCTCCCCTCTTTCCCCCATCCCATCTCATCCCATCCCACCCCATCCATCCCATCCACCCCACCACAAAACCCCCGCCACAAACCCCCTACTAACCACATCCCCTCCCTCCCCACAAAGTGCGTCGACATAACCTTCGCCAACCCCCGCGACGTAGCCGAAGTAAACAGCTCCAACTGTTTCAACTCCTCCCAAATCTCCTTTGCAAACGTATACACCATCAACGACGCCCAAGCAGCCGGTACATCCGACGCCGTCACCTCGAGGACTTTTCACGCCGGCTTATTGGCTGGTGTGTTGGGGGTAGTCATGTGGGGATCATTGTGAGGAAAAAGAAGGGGTGGAGTAAGTAAGTGCTGGTTCTGGGAGTTGTGTATATGTTATGTTATGTTATGTGATAAGTTATGATTTGATAAGTTATGATAAATTATGAATGAAATGGGAAATAGCACCAGGGTTCTGGGGGAATTGATATAACAATAACAATAGTAAGATCCAAATACCAAGACCGGAACTCGAAATTCAAATCTTAAATCTTAAACTTCAAGTGAAGTAAAATAAGAGCAGGAAAAAAACAATACAATATATCTCATTCACAAATAAATAGCAAATAACGAAAAACCCATTGAATCACCAGTTCGGCTGTCCGATAAATCTGCGCATTGAAAAAATATGCATTTATAATATGATATCTAGGTGCCTAATTCGCCACGACAAAAGAGGTCAAGGAGAGAGAAAAAAATTACCCAGCAATGCTTTGGATATCTTTGCTTCGTTTCGTTTCGTTCATTGATTCATTATCTTCGTACCCACCTCCCCCATTTCATATCCACCCCACTCACTACTTACTAAAGCAAATCCTTAATCTCCTTCCCTACATTCTTCACCCTCGGGTCACTGGCCTTCTTCACACAACCATCCACTACCCCCGCAACTCCATAGACATCCTTTCCTGCCTCTCGAATGTCTTCTCCCACACTCAAAATTGTGCCTAGACCCACTAACCCCCTATAAACCACCTCACTATCCACTTGAGTTTTCAAGATCCCCGTAAGTGTGTCTAGCACCGCAAGAACCTGTTCGAAATCCGGGTCGTTTTCTTTAAATAGGACCGCATAATTGATATACACAGTCGTAGCAGCTACTAATAAATTTCTATTAGTCGAATCCTTGATAGCTGTCTTAATGAAGGTGTGGACTTTTTCAAAGTACGCTGTGGCCAATTGACGACCTTCGGTAGAATCAAAAAGATTGGCGAAACCGCGGACGGCCATCATGACGTGATTTTCGGATGGAGGTAATTGAGGTAAAGTTTCCATAGCTGCTTGTGAAAAGACGTCGATGATGGTCCAACCGCCAGAGCTACGGAACGTTGCGGTTTCTGGTGCGATGGCTAGGAGGCGAAGGAGATCGAGTCCAGCGAGTCGGTCTTTGTAGGGCCAATGAGTTGAGAGTTTGATAGCTAGATCCAGTCCTCCTTGGACAACCTGAGAGGTATTTGTGGCGCCAGCGGATTCGAGATGTTTTCGGAGCTTTTGGAGAACGTCGAGCTCATCGGGGTTGAGGGATACGGCCTTTTGGCCACTGGAAATCAAGACTTGATTGACTTGTTCGATCTTCTTTTGCATTTTAGGAATTGAAGCCACGATGATTGAGAGATACTCCTTTTGTGGAAGAACTTTTGGTGGCGGGGGGATATCTACAGGCTCTGAGCCCTCTCCTGGTCGATATCTTTGATCACTACCCCAGGCGTCCGGTCCAGAACTCTCTTCGGTTTGACCAATCGTCGCTCCTTGGGTATTGGTTGTGATGAAGTTGGCTACTTGTTCTAAGTAGGTTACTGGAAGCTCATTATCTGCGATGAATTTTGTGGCGGCTTCGTAGGGATTTTGCGATAAATTATAAGGAAGTTTGAGAGCAGGTTTTCCATCCTCAATATCAACATCGAAAACAAAATCATATTCCTTTCCGAGGTATTCGACTTTCTTTCCACTACTTCCAACAGCATCGACAACAGTTCCTACATTTATCCATTGGCCTTGTGCTAGATAATTATTAGTTTGCAAACACTATAACAAATATCAGACAACTTACCGCTAGACCAAGTATGTGCAGTGACAGCCCCATTCAGCTCACGAATCATCTGAACTTGTCCTTCCTTAGTACCACTCTTCTGAGTGAGGAATTCTGGCCCAGGAAGCTTTTCCTTGTTAACTTCTGGTAGTGCTTGTTGAGGTATAGATGATTCCTTGACGGAATCTTCAAATAATTTGATTGTCTCTGCATTTGCAAAACGCTCAGAAATTCTTGTGAAGACTCGTACCACTCTATCACTCGCTCCCGAAACAATATCCCCAGTCTCCCCACAAACAGCTACACCCCAGACCGAAATTGCCGGATGTGTGATTGTTTGGACACAGTGGTTATCCTTCCATACTCTGAGAGTTCGATCTTCACCAGAACTAACAATCTCACCTGACGGTGTAGATGCAATAGAATATATGAAGTTCTCATGTCCATGCAATTCTGCCACCTGTTTGCCAGAAAGAGTCCACAATCTGATTATTGCATCATTTCCTGCTGATGCGAAATCTGCTCCGGATGGATGGCCTTTGGGTAATCTGCACAGAGCTCGAACAACATCTGCACTTCCTCGAATGGTTCGCAGTAATTTGCCACTAGTATGAAAGACTCTAATGAGTTTATCGGCACAAGCAGTTATTACGGTTTTCGAATCTATGGCAAGAACAGCCCAAACACTACCCTCATGTCCTCTGAGAACTGCTTCACACTCCCATCTTCCTAGTGGCCATATTCTTGCTTCAGCATCCCAACTTCCACTGACTATAAATCGTCCATCTGGATCCACATCCAAAGCACATATGTTATGACTATGTCCTATGAGTAGAGCTTCCGCATTTTCTTCTGCTGTTTTCGAAGGTTGTCGAACTTCGATAACTGTATCCTTTCCGCCGGAGATAATCAAGCCATCTGGAAATTTAGAATTCGGGGGTAAAGATGCGACTGTATTTACAAACGCTGTTGCATGAGAGGAAATCGTGGCATCGAATATAGGTGGGTTATCTGAGTGTTGTTTCCATAAACGTACTGTTCCGTCTCTAGATGCTGAAAGTACAGCTTTTGGAGATGGAAAAGCTACAGCTCGAACCTATATATTGAAAAGCATCATATCAGTATATGTTGTTCTTCTTATGACCTTGTTGGAGAGTAAGTGGAAATATTGAACCATTTCATCAACTTACATCATCTTCATGACCTGCCAGAGATGCAGATAACTTATATTCTGCCATGTTTAGTGGTAGTTGATTCAAATTATGTATGTGGTTTTTCAGAATTAACACAAGCTCTCCTTATCAATGAAGATGAAAGGTTGTTGTTATGTTTGTAATAATGGAAGTTGTTTATAGTTCCATGTTTGACTATAAGCTTCCAGTTAGATTGCCCCTCTATAAACTAATATGTGCGGGTAATGGGTAATGGGTAATGGCAGTATGGCGTAGTACCGGTAGATTATGCTTGAAATAGCACAAATCTGCCCTATAGCAATAGCTTATTCACCATTCACCAGTTAGTTTATGATTACTAATCATTAAATCCCTTATCCGGACTCGGATTAATGAGATCTTCCGGTAAATATATGGGGCAAGGTATTAGTGTCATGGGTACTACCGTACCGGTACAGTAAGGTTGTAAGGTTACCTACCTCCTACCTAGCTTAATTCTTGAACCTCGAGATGAAACAATCTCAATATCTCTCCGAACGGATTTCTTTTGGCTTCTTCTCCATTTCTTTCTCATATTGAGGAAATTGTCAAGTATCTCAATTCCTCCCATTCGAGACAGCTTCATCAATCATTTCAGCTCTTAATCAACAAACAATCTCACGAATTTAACGACTTTAACGAATCTTCTTGAATATCCATTCTCTCTCTTAAATTACAAGTAGAGCAATTAAACCATCACAACAGTGCCGTCACTCCCACTCTTTCGCCGCACATTATAAAATTCCAAAACAGATCATACAACACAATACAATCTCCCATTGTCAATAAGATATCAACTTTTTATACTTCATTTCATACACACAAAGATGGCGGGGCCAGAGAACATTAAGCAGTATGTGCCTTTGACATGCCACGGTCACTCAAGACCTGTTACGCACATTAGCTTCTGTGGATTCGTGGACGGAAAGGATGACGAGTATTACATGATATCAGCATGTAAAGGTATGGCATATTGAGTTGTTCGGGTGTTTGCAATATGGAAAAATGTCTAATCTAGTACACCAGACAACAATCCTATGCTAAGAAGCGGTATCAACGGCGATTGGTATGTTACAACTGGAGATCTGTCTCTGGGAGATACTAATTGATAGTTTAGGATTGGTACATTTTTTGGACATAAGGGCGCAGTTTATCAAGCTAGACTTTCTCCGGATGCCAAATACGCTGCGACTGCTTCCGCGGATTTCACTGCGTACGTGATATGCGCCATTTTTGATTGACTGGCACTAATGACTTGTACAGAAAGGTCTGGGATACCTACACTGGAGAAACCCTCTATACTATTCAGCATCAACATGTCGTTCGAGCTGTCGCATTCCCTCCCGAATCCAGTACTACTCTTGCGACAGGAGGAACCGATAAGAAACTTTTCCTTTTCGACCTCGCAAAACTTAATCCTACCGGAGCAAACGGCGCAATTTCCAACGGGAACGTGACCGACACTACAAATATTTCACAAGATGATGGCTTTGAGATTGGACCGGGTGTTCACAAAGGAACAATCAAGGCCGTTGTTTGGACTCGGGACCCAAATATTATAGTTACAGCAGCAGATGATAAAGTCATTAGATGGTGGGATCTACGCACGCAATCGGTCGTTCAAGAACAAAAGGTTGATGGCGATATCGGTTCATGCGAGTTTAGCAATATCGGATCTGGGCCAGGAGATATTGGTGAAGGGTTGCCTATTTTGTCAATTGCTGCAGGGAAGACATTATACTTCTATGGCGGACCAGCTGCAAACACTCTTATCAAGAAAGTTGTCTTGAATTATGAGGTTGCTAGCGTAGCGATTCACCCCCTTCAACGAAAATACATCACTGGTGGAATTAAGGATACATGGGCGAAGGTCTATGATTTTGATTCTGATCAAGAACTTGGTATGTTTTGTTACATCGACCGAATAAATGGAATGTCACTAACAACATCAGATGTTCACAAAGGACATCATGGACCAATCTGGAGCATCAGCTTCTCTCCTGATGGAAAATTATATGCTACAGGTAGTGAAGACGGTACGATTAAGATGTGGAAGAATTGCCCTGGTTCTTTCGGATTATGGAGAGCTGAAACATAGGGAAGTTGTAGTGGATATGGCGCAAGGTCAAGGAGCATACTGTACAATGCGAGCCCCGGTGTTACTTGCACATAAAAATGCACTGCTATGTGTCAAGGTGGGTAGAATACGCGATTCACATCGAGTGATTTAGCGAAGGGACCAGATCCTAAAGCGCCTTTAGATGAATAATAAGATTCACCTAATTACATTCAGTGTGCCATGCATATGACATCAATTGACGTGAATAGAATAGGTATATCTCACCACTTATTTAATTTCTCAATTGACTACAAGCATTAAAAAATGAGAATATAGATTCAACTTCAAACCAATATCTGCACAGTTTAAGACCAAGTATTAATAGTCGGCTCTCTAGGAACAGCCAGCCGCCTGGTTCTCAATCATTCATTCCTCACAAGTAATTATCCCTTTCGAAGGATATATATTTTTTAAAAAGAATTATTGAGGTATAAAGTTTAAACCTACCTTACTTATACTTTCAGAAGTTTTTATCACTATTGGTTTACAAAGAACAATCGCTTTTCTCGACTAGGAACCAGAATTAGTCGACTATTAGTACAGTAATAAATTAGTCATCTATATTTTACCGGTGTAATTGGTGTGGTTGTTCGAATATTGATATTGAGTGCAGCGTGATGCGGAAACATCAGTGGGGTGAAGCATTCATGTTTGGCTCTGCGTACAAGTGTATCACTGACTTATTATATATACCGGTATGCTTCGATATAAATTTAGGTATGAATTGCTCATGGGAATATGTATTCGGGATCATTTGGATGAGACGACATATTTGTTTGTTCAATATCATTGTTATTATTATCATCATCTAATTTTTTCAATATTGAGTACCGTAGGCTATAAGTCCATTTGCAGTTGCATGGGAGTGATAGAGTATGATTTATAGTTAATGACTTTAGTAGATGAAATATTTAAAGACTAGAGCTAATTGGCGAGGGAATTGGAAATTTGAAAGGGGAAGAGTATTATAAATGATAATGAGTTAATTATTTGAAATGTTATAGGTAATAATATAAGAGCTTATTAAGAGAAAGAAAGCTACTTACTCGGACCTATTGTCGCAGTGAAAATCATGATGGCCTTGGTAAAATCGAATGGACATGTTACTGGAGAGTGCACACAGTTTTTGAGTCTGGAACTGTATCCATGATGGTTAGTTGTTTTGAAGGCATTGTGATATACTCGAGTAGTATGATGAGATTTAGTTCACTAATCTCAGAACCAGAAGTCAAGAGGACTATGGTCCAGTATTAGGAATTGGTGAAAGGTTTAGTAAGTTTTAGGTTCAAATTCTAATGGATAGAAGACTAGTTTTGATGAAATTCCCCCAAGGTTCCGGAAGAGAGATATCTGACTGAACTCTGTTACAGCTGTGAGATTGAACAGCAATAGGTGAGCTTTCAGAGGTATCTTAATCAACACAAATTTCTGATACAAAATCATGTTCAAATTCCACCACTCACTCTTTCTTTTCCCTACTCACCGTCGTCCAATCCTGTGGTGAAATCTACCTCAATAATCACATCTACTCATCCTCCATTCCCAATACAACATAATCCCCTTCAACCCACCCAAGCCCTAATGTACTCCCCAATCAATCACCTCACTCTCCCACTCCCTCTCAATACTTCAACATATCTCACAAAGTCACCATTACTATCCCAAACCCCTACATAAAAGAACATGCAACCACCGATACACTGGGAATTGTGTGAGGTAGTTCAATGCATATACGAGTAAATTGTTCAAACAATCAAACTCAGAGTGTTAAATTTGGAAAGAGAATAGCTTACACATCCAGGCGCAGGATGGATGATTCAAACGTTTGCCTGTTTCCCATTCCCCATTCCTCAGTCCCCTCCCTACCATCTATCTCACAGATTGCAAGAAGCCAAGCTTGCAATAATTTGAGGTACTGATTTAAAAAAAAATTCCCAAGGGCCAAAACATTAGAGATTCATTCGAAGCCATCAGTATTACCAGTAGTAGCCAGCTCTACACCGTTAATAAAAACACAAACCATCAATCTACATACGAAAGTAGATCAACCGCACGCGCGAGTCTTGAAAATAGAAAAAAGAGATGTTTGTGCTTGGTATTTTTCCTGTGTGAATTGAGAATAGGGTCTCATCTTATCTCATGGATTAGCTGATCATAAAGATGGGAGAACTATATGAGGAGATATACAAGGGTATATCAGAGATGAGAAACTATCGTCTTGAATGGTTGTGCGTGGTGTATTCTTGTGTCTTGTATCTTATCTCTGCATTGGAAATCTAGGCAGGGAGATAGATACTGTCTTCTGAGAACTATCGTCTGAAGATAGCAGCGGCAAATAACAGAAAGTAAAGTGAAAGAGAATGCGCCTCCAGTCGTCGGGTACTGCAAGTTAAGATCTCTTGAGGCCTTGTAGATGCTGAACATCGTGTTTAATACAAATCATCACACTAAATATAATACTCCACGCACGACAGCGAATCCTCGTCCAAATTGATAGGCAACCAACTCACTCGACCCTCAACAAAATTACAACACCGCTCAAAGCAACCACAAAGCAACACCAAAAGCACCGCAGACTGTAAATCCCATCCCAGACCAAAAGTTCCAATCCATTTGACTACTAGCAGCGCCACTAACAATAATTGATATCGGCGATGCTGTTGCTATTGTGCTTGATATCGTAGTCGGAGATTGGGTTATCAGAGAATTGGAAGTTTCTTCGGCTTTTAGACTTGTATCACTGCTATATACAGTACTTTCTGGAGTACTTAGCGGAGTCAGTGTCGGTAAATTTGCAGCAGCAGGCGTTGGCAATGAAATAGTGGCTGTGAGTTGCTTGAAGCTTGATCTAGCGGCTGCGGAACTAGTTTCGTAGATGGAGAGTTTTGTGGTTGTAGTGATGCGGGTTGATCTTGTTAAGGTGCTAAGTTCGAGTTGAGTGGTATAGTAGTAATAATAGTAGCTCCAATAATACCTGTATACTTGTGAGTGAGAATATGTACTGACACGAATTTGACTTACCATGTGATGGTGAAATAATAGTACTCATATTCGGGTATGGGTTTTGAAGTTATGGATGACGCCGCACTCCTTGTAATTGATGATGCGAATGCGGAAGACACAGTAGTGGCTCTATGTGTGCTTGACGTTACACTACCAGAGGCATGTCCGGAACATGTTAGATCTGTGCAGCATTTGATGCTACCCCTGACATTCACACAAACATTTCCAGCAGTGCAATAGCTTCCATCGGAACAGCATTTGCCTCCGTCTGGGTAGCAATAAGGATAAGAGCAGCAATTCCATCCAATATCGCATGTATACCCAGAACAGCACGTCTCTCCAGATCCGACACAAGAGCGACTCCCACAACATTTTTCGTTCGTGGGACAACAACCGAGTTTGCCTTGAAAAGAATTAGATATGTTGTTTGAGTGATGAAAAAAGCTTACTTGGACAGAGATCATAGCCAGAATCTTCGCAAGTGAAAACTCTCGGACTTAGCCATGATCTTAATAGAGAATGCCCATCAAGAGGTGCCAATGCTGTACCATTATTGGTAGAAGAATGGAATTTTGAGGCAAATGGGTCATCGAATGCCGGTGTTTCATTAGCTAGGATGGAGGTACAGAGGATAAGGGGGAGAATAAATTTCACGAGAAGCGAAAACATTGCGAAAGCTCAAATTCTTCTGCGAAAACTATTTCCAAACAGAGTGTCTCGTTCTGACCTGAATGGACTGGGACCATTGCATTATTTATGGTCTTCATGCCACGGCTTTCATTCCTCTTTACCCATAGCTGTTGACATAGTCATGTGAAGTTTGCAGGAAATGGCTTGCAAGGGTTGTTTTGAGGGCTGAAGTCTTATTTCGCATAACCCCGTATTTTGACAGCAAGCTTGCTATAGTACCTGAGCCTTCAATTTTATTTGACATTGAGAATATATTTCTCTGTAACACGGCAGTGAAAAGGGGCTTCCTCTGTATCCCACGGGCTCAATCAACCTCGTCAATGAGGCAAATCTAATGCCACCGCTGAATGCTGTTACTCCCGAATGTTTCATCTTGCAACCTTACAGGCTTACAGATCATTACTCCTCTCCAAATCTGCCACAAGAATATCCTACAACAACGAAGTTACTTACTTCGACTTGTATACATCAATCATAAAGCAACTCTGCTCCAATATAAATATTCACAAGTCAAGAAATCAATCACCGCCAAGACACAGGCGGTATCCCCCTCAAAATTTAGGCAGCCAAATTACTACCAACTCGGTGATAATTGTCATGGGGCTCAAATCATATAAAAGGTAGGGAAATTTTACCCATGAAAGGGTGGAAGGTGTACGATGGCAGTCTTGGAACGAAGCCTCAAATATTGGCATTAAGTAAGCGGTTTATGATTGCTCAAGTAACCTATCAAGTAACCCCTGACATGAACGTGAATGTAACGAACCAATCTTGGCGAGATGAAGAGGTATCTGGGTAAGGCTTCGACGACTTGTCATTATGAATCGCATGTGGATGAGTGCCGCAAATATCGATACGAATGTATGTCTGGTTAAAGAGGAAGCTTTCAGAGTAGGTTGTGCAAGTCGCTCTCACTTCATTGTTAATCTGTTGTGATGTTGTAAATGTTTTCATGCCACAATAACAAATTTGTGATGGATGGATGAGTTTTGACTTCTCTGATGTTCCCATCTGGTCGTCGTCGTCGCAACATCATGGTTACAAACAAAATATCCCGCTGAGTCAGCCGCCCCACAACTGTGCCTCCACCCAGCATCCCAACCACACCTACCTTAGTAGTACTTTCCTTTCCTCCATATTCCTATCTCTCAATATCAATATCAAAAGACAAAATGTCTCAACTCATCTCACACTTCACCGAACCCACCACCTCATACTGGCAAAAGATAAACACTCCCTCCAAGCCTAACCAAGCACCTTGGAAATACGGATACCCGGCCAAACTACCGGACTCACGTATCCTCATCTTACCAATCCGACCCTTGAAGGATAATCCCAACCATGCCGTTGCATCTCTTCTCGTAAACCAAGCCTCGATGGATGTCGTGGAGATTCTGGCGGATTTCCTGGCTGATCTTGTGCGTCCATTTGAGCCCGAAGTCATTATTGGTCTTCCCACTCTTGGCCTTAGCCTTGCTCCTCTCGTTGCGAGGAAACTTGGTTTGAGTATGTTGTATGATATGTTTGTTCAAACATAAAAAAAAGAATATGAAGCTGAATGGTAACTAGAGAGATACGTTCCATTAGGATACTCGAGAAAATTCTGGTACGATGATGGGCTCTCGGTAGAGGTATCATCGATCACATCTCCAGAACTGGGGGTGAAGAAGGTTTATCTGGATCCGCATCAGTTACCTCTAGTTCTAGGAAAGAGAGCGGTGATCATTGATGATGCGGTGAGTTCGGGGGTAACTCTCAAGATGACTTGGGATATGTTGGATAGAATAGGTTGTGATATTGTGGGTTGTGGTGTGGTGATGAAGCAAGGTTCAAAATGGCAAGAGAAGATTGGTCTGTCGAGAGTAGACAAATTAGTTTATGTTCTGGATAGCCCTCTTCTGGAAGCAGTTGAAGATGGATGGGCCTTGCGATCTTGAGCTTTAGTATTGGCAAAAGTTGTTCATCAACCCTAATTATGTTTGGTCGGGTGCTCGAGTTAGCTGGATAGATCTAAGTGCTGATTGTTGGAACGAAACACCAGGCTTCTAATGCCAGGTCTTGCAAAGACGGAGCTTATACATCTATTTGAAGCAGTAGAAGTGGCTCCGAGTCAAACATTACTTCATTATTTCTAATAATCTTGGCTCCTTTAACTTCACTCTTTCTGAATTTTCTCAAGTGTTCCCGTATTTCAAAGAAGTTGAAAAAGATTTCTTTTGAATGTTGATAGATATTACTTATGGTTATCATTTTTTCTATTAGTTAATCATGAATTACATGTATAAAAGATTGTACTCAGCATCATAATGAACGTGATAGCCTTCAAATTTCCCCAGTCTTTTTTCCTCCATGCCTAAACTTTAACACCGCTTCCAAATGCAATCATCCATTCCGTATATATATCGATCCTAAACCCTCCAATCCGAGCTGCAACTTAGAAAGAAACTGAATATCATAATGCATTTCATATCTCATCGCATAGGGGAGTACTTACTATATTACTCTAAAACATCTATCTTGCGGATTTTGAATATGTATATTCGAGTTGAGTATTGTTTTGTGTGTTAGATATTTATACAAGTACATGATATGAGTATAATTCTAATACTGTGTTATAAGATTATCTAGGTAAGAGTCTTACTTCTGAAAAATGTACAATAGGAACGATTATGAGGATATGGAGGATAAACTTAGATAGACAGCTCTAGAATATTTCAATATTCGAAATCACGTTGATACATTCCGAGTAAACTGAAAGGTGAGATGGGAATCTAAAAGGGTCATGTTGTATATACTCAAGTACTGAGCTATATGCTGATTTGATTATATAAAGCTAAAGTTAATATGCATCCTTACTTGGAGTTTATATTATAGATGGGATGATATTGAAGTTGAGTGTGGAATTCTTTGGGCTGGTCGCAAAAGGTTGAGGGGTGTTATGGGGGGTTATGGGGGTTATCTAGGTAGTTATATGATGATTTTTGGGCTTCATAGCCTGAAGCAGATGTGCAACAAAAAGTTTGAGGAGGTGAATGAGGGGTGTGGGGATGGGGAAGAGAGGTGGGTGAATTGTATAGTGAAGGGAGAAGGAGAGAGTGGATATAATAAATGTGGTGGATGGGAGAGACGAGAGTATAGTGTATAGTGTATAGTGAAGTTGAGGGGTGAATGTGGTAGATGGGAGAGGTGAACTGGAGACGTGAACGGGAGACGTGAATGGGAGACATGAATAATACACATGAGCCTCGTTCATGGCAGTATTATAGACTGATTCTAGGGCTTTACAATCTCTCCCTCTGCCTCTACATGTCCATGTCCATCTTCATCTCCATACCCTCTAACTCTCTCAAACGTTATCCCAAATATCAACAAACCACAAAACTGGCTTGTATACTTCACTTGCATAAATAATATTACAAAAAGTGCAAGTTCAACGTTTTATTTCGGATCCAAACCTAGGTCTATAATGACCAGATCAACTTGTCAAGTAGGTTGATTCTATCTACAAGTAGTACGAGTACAATACTCGAGTATATGATTTCCTTCAACACCATATCAATCCCAATGATACAGCATTCCTAGAACACCCCATCGCATTCCCCACGCCAAAAACAAAACCAAAAATAAATCCCAAAAAGAAGCCAAAAAAAATATTGGAAACAGACGGGGACGCCAGCTACGATGTCTGGGACCTTTTGCGGCGGTACGGTCCCACTGATGGATGCATTACCATCGGCATTACCGTTGTGCCACCCATTTTTATTTGTTTCTGAATGTACTTGTGCTTTTTGGATATTTATTTGGATTTGTGTGTGATGGGGTGGTAGTGAATATCAGAATAGGTGGGTAGGTATTTGGTATGTACTGATGATGTTCACCGACTGTCGTCAGGCACGGATGCGGATAGAAATGGAAATAGAAGATAAAAGCTAGGATGTTTTCATTTATATAGCTGGATTGAAGTGAAGAGCTGGTGAATTCCATATATGCGATCGTTTTGGGATGGGAGAATGTTTTGGATATAGATATGGAGAACTAGTAAAGAAAGCTAGCGATACATCATAAAAAATATGCTCCGAAATAAGAAACACCATACCCGTACATCAGACCATATCATGTACAAAATAATAAAGCGTTTCCTTACTCAAGAGTCGGTTTTACCTTGTAGGTAAAGGTTGTACCTATATACATATATCTACACGTTATATTACTCCCAAACCTTTGTATCCATCCCGCAAAGAAAGATACATTCCACGAACCTCGCAGTAACATTTCCAACCTAGCCTCATTATCCAAGTCTAAGTCTAAATCTAAGCCTAAGTATTCAAAGGACAAACCGTCGCCACAGTGTGGCCATATGGGATTCTATTATAAATCTCGAACTTTGATTGGAAAGACACTTCAAATCGAGATTAATCGGTCGGTATACGTACTGTGATCGAGACTTGAGAATGGAGAATCGAGATACTGCTGTTACTGCAAGTGAGTTAAGATTACCAATATAGTATCTGTGTGAAGCTGAGAAGAATGAATATGTTTACTTGGTTGATGAGTATATATTATATACTCGAGTGATATGTTTTAGATGGTGACTTTACTAAAATAAATAAATGAATTAATGAATGAATAGAGAAAGATTGAAATCAAAGAGCATGATACTAACTGACCTCATAATTCGAGGCGAGGATGAAGTAGACTGGACATCATTTTTGAAGAGAAGGATTCCGAGATTGCTAGCAGTGTGAAATTATCTCCTCTCCGTCAAGCCATTCCACATCTCACCCAAGCAATGCCCTCCCTACCCGTAGAAATATGAAGGAGTCATGACTTGGGGCTTTGAAGTTTGAACTGGGTGGTATTCATGAGTGGGTTGCGGTGGTTGACGGAATCGGTGGACGAAAAATATTGTACGAGCACTCTTATTGATTAGGACATTTGACAATTCAAGAACCAAAAGCCATAGAAATATATGTACAACCACTCTATTTCTTTTCTATCAACATGAATTCTCGCTTGTAATTGAGGCCGCTAGCAAATGGTATGTAAAATACACGAACACGGTCGAAAACCCAACTGTGTAAAAGCTAAACTGATCCTTGACTTGCAAAAGGTATGTGAAGAAGTTGTTTCCATCTATGATACACCAGAGATAACTAGGTCAGCTGGAGACGTTGCGCCAGAGTTGGTCTGGGAGGAGAAAATTGGAGATGAAGAGAAAGATGCCGATTGACGAATCGAGCCTGGCCCCATAACCATGACTCTCTCCGCTATTGGGGGCATTTGCAGTCGTATTGTCGAGCGCGGTTGAAAGTTTAGGCGCAAGACACACAACATGTTGACGAAGACAATAAGTCAGGCTAAGAATTCCAAGCTAGAGAATCATGATTGCCCAGATTCGCCATTTCCGTTCCGCCCTTTTTTCTTGTGGAAATCCTGCAATTTGGCACTCATTCGCATGCCCACCAATCGTACCGTCTCCATCTCGGTCTTTTTGGGCATTCTATGCTTGTGCTTCGTCCGCACCACCTCCGCTTTTCTTCTCGTCTACAACCAACTCACTAGCTTTCTTGACATCATCATTTCCACTTCTCTTAATATGGCTAGACGGATTGCCCTCATTTTCTCTCAGCCCATTGTTACGGGAAGCTTCTGACGTTTCCCAATGGCTCGAAGCCACTGTAGGATGTCTGCTTTTATAGTATGTACTAGCTGGGTCAAACAATGGAGCTTCGACCTTTGTCCCAAGGGACAACCTTTTAAAAGCTGGTCCGATAATATCCCTGGTATCTAGATATTCGAGTCTCTTCTCTATAGCCTCATGTCTACTTGCGGCTTTCTCTTGTGCTGCTTTAAATCGCGCGTTCGCTTTCGCTGTCTCTTCTCTCTCAGCTGCAATAGCCATTGCCGATTTACTTGCCATGTCCTTGACAATTTTGGCGTACTTGACATGCGTGGGAGTCTCGCCCTTTCCATACTTTATAATCCAACCGTTGTCCACGTCAATGTTCGTGTCCCAACCTAGCTGGACACACTTCCACATAATAGGATGTGTGTTTGGTGATCTGACTATTTGCCATAATAAGTTTTCCACCAGAATCTGATGGTTTAATGTTTGGTCGATTCTTTTCACAACTGAACAAGCTTCCTCAAATAAGAGTCTGGCGTCTGCAACTCGTTCTTCGGTTGAGATTATTTCACCCATCATACAATTGAACGCAACCGTGAGAGGATATATGACAGATCGGGCAACCAGTTTCTTGAGTTTATATCTTTCTAATATATCCCTGGAAATCTCCACCGCGTTAAGTGTAGATGCGTCCACCACCCTTTTAACAAGATACTTAATTTCTTTCTCTCTCTTCGCCACCTGACCTGGAGTTTGACCATCATCATCAGTTCGTGTAAGTGGCCCCACCGAGAGTTGTGCTCTGAGTAATCCAACGGAGCGGGGCGAATCCCAAAATCCATCCAAAGACGTTTCGCCCATAAACATTCCATTGGTACATTCGAAGAAATTTGGTCGGGTGGAAACATTGGTGAATACTTGGTCGTAAAGATCTTCCACCATGCCAGGATTGTTTCCAATTATCATCACTGAAGAAGCGGGGTGGAGTCTGTGTCTGATATTTCTAAAAAAGTCAATCAGATTCCTAGATCGTTCGACGTAGATCAAATGATCAATAGGTTCGGTGTTGATTTTGTCCAAGTAGTCCACGGGCACAGCCTTTATATCTGACTCTCTAGGCGCTTCTCGGATATCTTCTCGGACTTCTGTAACCACATCCATGTTTGCCACTACTGGGCCACATAATGCTGTGTTCAACTCGACAAAATATGATAGATCATAAACTTTGATATCTGAGATTGGCAGTCGTACCATTTTGATCGGCTCCTTCTTCGCGCCAAGGATGAGTCCATTTCCAGGTAGCGAGGGGAGATCATCGACTGAAGAATCGTCTCCATCCGGACCAGTATTCAGCAATAGCCGTTGGAACTTCAAGATTTTGGTAGGATGATATGTTGAATCAGGAACAGAGCTTTCCATTGGAAAAGGGAGAACTTCTATGTCGACAGCTCCTATCATAGTGATAGCAACGCCATCTGAGATGATTTTAAGCTCGCCCTTGTGGTCCACATAATGCTGAAGATGACTATTATCGGACATCATCAAAGTTATTGGATTTTTTTTGGTATTTGCAGATTGAGCGAGAGCATTGGCAATGAGCGTCTGTAAATTAATTGCACCAACAATATGTATGCGTTTTCCACGTTGAATTGTAGACTTGCCTCGTGACTGTTGTTGAAGTTGTTGAAACTGTTGGTACAATAGTGTTCTAGGTTGTCGAACGTGTACGACTGACAGCGGTCCAGCCCTCCAAAGGGATTTAGATGGGAGGAACATGACTACTGCACCCAATTGGAGATAGGGACGTTGTTCAGTTGTTCATGGAAGCGTTGGAGCGGAAGCGTTGGAGCGTGAACCTCTTGAAGTTATTGCTGACTAAAAGCAAACGAGACGACCCCCCTGCCACATGTTGTCTTACTAGTATTAGGTACGGGTACGGTAACCTTTACCCCTCATTGTATCCATAAAACGTGATAGAGTTTTTTTGATGATGCACGTGATTTATGTATTTCTTCGAAGTGAATTAATCGGATTCCATATAATTATAAGAAAGATTATTATTATTATTACAGTATTATTATTCTTGTCGCTAGGCTAAATGAAGACTAGTGAGCTTGTACCTCCTACGGTCTACCTCTGACCTGATTTCAGCATTTTAAATATACCTTACAACCAATTTTAACTCTGCACTCTGGCAACTAATACCTCAGGCTTAATTCATATCTTCATCACTGTGGTAGAGCTTTCTATTCGCCTCGCCACTCTTTCCCCTCATTTCTCAGTCACGACCTCAAGTACGCGCAATCTTTACACTTTGCTGCAATGCTTTCTAGTGACGGAAGTATGGCATCAACAAATTCGATCGACAGCGACGATCTCAACTCCCAAAGAAGTACAAACGAAAACAATCCCCTGCTACCTACGACCGAGAAAGTTCAAGAAATATTTGCAAGAAGCAGACACATCTGGCAAGGCTATCTCGAAAGAGCAAAGTCAATGCATCGGATATCTCCCGAGAGCTTGAAACTTTCAAGCCTGCTACATCGACTCCCAGCACTACCAGATGATTTAGATGGAGTGACAATCTTACAAGGACAATACGAAGCGAGTGAATAACCTCAGGGGTATATCAATGATCCAGTGTTATAAAGGGTGAATTTTGAACTAACCTGCACACTTCTAGGTGCTACGGTGAGAATCCTACCAGCTCCAGATGTTGAGCGAGAGCAGGAGCTTGTTCAGCGACATATGCCTGAACCTTGTGGTGAATTCAGCATCATTTTGCCCTTGGCACCGCAGGTTCAGACGCTCTTCGGCCTTTATTCATTAGACACATCGAATGGGTTTCAGGATTCTGTATCCGTCTTCTGTCGCCTGCTAAAGCATGGAAAAGTGCTTCACCAAGTTCTTTCAAAGTGGATAGTAAAGATCACTGCCTCCATAGTGGTCAAATTTGCACCAGGCCTGAACATCAGTGAGTATCAGACTATATGCCATGTTTGGTCTCATAGGGGAACTATTCCAATACCGGAGCCACTGGGGGCAGTTTCCATTGGAAGTTGCAACTACATATTTATGTCATACATCGAGGGAGATCCTCTTGCAAATCACTGGCCACATCTTTCACCTGAGCTAAAGAGTTCTGTACGGTCTCAATTGGGGGAGATCTTACGATGTCTACGGAGGATGCCGTTGCAATCCAAATACCTCGGCAGCGGCGACCCGCCTTTGTGTAGAGATTTACGACGGCATGTTCGGACCAGTGTAGGAAGAATTTCAACTGAGATGGAATTTAAAACGTTCTTGATTTCCACTCGTCGAGAGCTGAATCCAGTCTACTGCGATTTGATTACCTCTACGCTAAGCACAAATCACCAAATCGTCATGACCCATAGCGATATACGCCCTGAGAATATATTAGTGTTGTATACAGCTCCAAATGCTATCAGGATTACTGGACTTGTTGACTGGGAGTTGAGTGGGGCGTATCCAGAGTACTGGGAATATGTCAAAGCCCTCGCCGGAGTGACTTGGAGTTTAAGTAATTGGTGTTCATACTTGCCTACAGATATCATAGGAAGCCACATTGATGCATGGCGCCAAGAATGCCTAATAGACCGGTTGGTACTTTGAGATGGAGGACTTCTCATAGGACTTTACATCTACTCGAGTAGAATAATCACAATATTTCTATCTAATATAATTCTTTGAATGAAACTTCTTTTATATACACTTCACAAATTTGCGTTAAATAAATTACACAAGATAGAAATATATGAAAAATATATTGAACCTTTAATTATTGTTGGCCTTGGTAAGGTTATGTGGGGAAGTTCCGCTAGTGTACTCGATTAGTTTTAATCATGTACCTTTTCTCCGTTTGAACCACTTGTTTTGTTATTACAGTATCGAGGGAAGGGGAAATCGAGACTCAAAAACAGGTGTAGTCACCTAGAAGGAAATATATACGATATATACTCATGCTACCCCGTCTACTCTTTCCTGTATCTGATATTACGGCGCTTAATAAAGCTTGGCTGAGAATGATTGAATACAATTCTTTCACCCCACACCACCAACTTCGAGTAGACATGTACAGTGTATATTATGTGATGTACTTCTAAGTAGGTAGTACCGCATACGAATGTACGAGGCGGACGGATGCCCACCTAAGCATGGATAAATGGATGGATGATAGTAGGCTATAATTCACCAACAGTTGTTTCCTGCATGTCCCGAAATTCATCACTAACAATCGAGTTTATACCCATCTCTCATTCATTATCAATGATTTTGCCTATATACGTTCAGAGGTGTTTTTACCACAATCAGCAATGATGAGTCCAACAACGGCCCCGGATACAGAGCATAATAACTTATGCTCTTGATTCTTGAGAGAAGATACACCATGAATACCCCTATCTACGGTTGGTTGGAGTGTGGAAAGGTTCATCCGTCTATCCTTGTCAAAAGCCTCCTGCAGGACATAAACAAATTACGTTATTGGTTCGCCACAAATCTAGGTGTGCCCTCTCATCCTCCATAGAGAAGAAAGTTGAGACATATGTTGAGAACCGACGGCATGGTACCTTATTACTTTCTCTCTGATAAATGGTAGGATGTATGAATGAGAGGTATGACACAGAAAGCTTGATACTCGATTCATTCCTGAGAGGAATAACGGAATTCCCTACCAAGCGGCTATTCTGGCACTTAACAGACCTTCAGGGCTTCTTTGTATTATATTGATCATATCTTCATCTCCCTAGATATTTGTAGCCTTTACATATACTTGTTCCCTACATATTTGATCAACGGAGCCTTTTATGACAGACCTCAGACTTTCACGCTACCGAGTCTGGTTGACTTGTACGACAAACACGACAGACACGTAAGCTCTACAATACCAGAGAATTCTGAACACAAGGCTCGAGGCTGAATATCAGTATTGAATACTGATGATTTCAAAGCCTTACTCAACCGCTTCATAAATATTCTTCCCACGACCAGAAGCTCTCTAAACATGGCCCGGTTTCGGGTTTTGTTTGGACTTTTCAGTCTTGTCACCCATATGGCGCTTGCGTTAATGGTTACACCGGATTCACCATGCATGTCCTTGTGTAGTGATGGTCAGAACTCGGACAATATCGATGGAAGTGAAATCGTTTGCCAAAACAGTGACTTCATTACCACTACAGCCGGTCAAAAGCTCAAGTCGTGCCTTTCTTGTTTGCAATTGAGCACTGCGGCTGGTAATGGTCAAAACGATCAGCACTGTTTTATGTGTAAGTCTGATTCTTAAATGTCTGCCTTGGTAGATGACTTCGTTATTAACACTTGACAGACAACATCCGTTATACCTTGGCATCATGTTTGTATGGATTTTCCAATGCGACAGATACGATAGCCACACCATGTTCTACCTCCAAAGCTTGCGGCCCATTGCAATTAGCAATAGAAGATGGAAACTTCATTACCAGCAATGAAACAGATTATGGTTATTGCTCAGCAAATTACAATTCAATATTGAGTAGCGGCACCACCGCATGTAAAAGTTGTCTTCGAAGCGGCGATACCGAGTCCTATCTTTCTAATTGTGAGTTCTGCCCTTTCAGATTTTATATACATCAGATACTAACTACATCAGTCCTCACAGCCCTCCAAGGAGGATGCCATCAACAGCCTCCCGACGGAACAATCATCGGACTCAACGCCTCCGTCTTCTCCCAACACTCCATAACCGAAACCTCCCCAGGCCAAAGTTACAACACCACCGTCCCCAGTACCACCCACTCCAAAGGTCTTTCCAAAGACTCCATCATCGGTATCTCCGTCGGTCTCGGCATTCTCCTCCTCATAACCCTCTTCATAATCTACACCCTTTGGCGCAAATCCATCTCCCTAAATCGTCGACGCGTCCGTCATTCTTCTCTCGATGAAAGGTATGGTGCTCTCAATATTACTGCGCCAAATGAAGGTGCATTCGGAAATCCACAGACACGATTCAAAACTATTTCTCTAGCTGCTCCTCAGCCAGCTAAAATCCATAATAATACAAATACCACACAACCCTTCAACCTCTCAAAGTATCCTAGCGATGACGAGAGTTTGCACAAACGCGATACTATTATCTTTCCAGCTCATCAAGCATATTACCCCGCTTCGCATCCTCGTCCACATCTATATCCACATTCAAAAGCGGAAGATACGGTGCCGATAATGCTGAATGATGAATCCCCCTCGCCATATACACATCATTCTTCATCTAATGAACAAACACCTACTTCTAATCCTACAAGAACCTTTTCACCGCCGACGCATAATCTGGCGCGGATGCCGTCGAGGTCTGAAAATGCGAGCTTTTATAATCCTGTTGTGAGAGATAGGGACAGGGACAGAGATATAGATAGGAACGTGGATATGAGCAGAGAGAGAGATATAACGACGAGTTATGCTCGGGCAGCTATCGATGGAACGCAGCATAGTGGGATTAGTGCTACTTCTTCTTCTTCCTCTCCCAACGCACGAAATATACAAACGCAGGCGGATAATGGAGAGATAGTAAACAGGACGAAAAGTCCTCGAGTAGATATCGGAGATGAAAGAGGGATGAGGGAGAGGGAGAGGGGTCGAGAAAAGGAGAGGGGGAAGAAGAAGAAAAAGGGGAATAAGAGAATGACGGTTATTAATGATCAAGATCAGGATGAAGATCAATGGCCGGGTGAATTTTGATGATGGGGGCGGGGTGAGGGACGTGATGATGGTTTGATGGTTCAATAATACCCTATGTTTCTTTTACTTATTACTCGTAGGTACGAGTATATGTTTTCTCAATGCATGCATAGGGTTGTTTTGTTGCATATGTATGTATGTATGATTTTATATCTAGCCTAGCCTAGCCAAGCCAAGCCTAGCTACTGGTAGCTAGGAACTTGAAGAGCGGGAGTCGGGACTCACCAGCTGGATTGGAGATTTCTTTGCTCAGGACTTGTACTTGTACTTGGGCTTGGCTTGGACTTGGACTGGGACTTGTACTGGGATTGGTTTGGATATATATAGGCATAGGCGTTCTTAATGGGATGAAATAGGAAGATTCTGGATGGGATGGGGATGGGGATGATGATGAGGATTAGTATAGTATAGTATAGTATAGATATGGTATACTTGTACCTTATACAATACTCGTAATCTAACAAGACGATACAAAAGTATCCCACATACATCACGAAGATATCTATAATATGATGTATCAGATTAGAAGCAGGTATGATTATGATAGAAAACCTCATTTCTACAGTATAAGTATAATCTATATCCACAATACCGTTTAAATTTCAAAATTTCGCGTCCTTTTCCTTACAGCTCAGCTTAGCTTAGCTTCATACTGCATCTCACATCTTGCTTTCTCTACTGTTGTTGGTTGATTTACTACTTCTTACTACTTACTATCTTTTCATTTTATCCCCAAGTTTTTATTCTGATTTCGGATTTTTGATTTTTGAGTCAAGATTGTATTCATCATATCATACACATCATACCATGCACAACAAGACAAGAAAAAACAAGACAAGGCTGGACTCCGCCTTTTATTTTAACACCTACTGTATCTGTATCTGTATCTGTATCTTTGTGGTACAATGAAAGTTATGAAATTGAGGGCGTGTAATAGTGTCTTAGTGTAATTAATATATATGTTGGGGGCATATTGAGGGTGTATTGAGGGTGTATTGGGGGCGCTTGATAATCATAAATTCATAGTACCTTTTTTTGTCATCTTTCCTATTAATATTTCAGAGCCTTGACGAAAGACGAGAGGAGAAGAGGAGAGGAGATACGATACTATATGTACCACACACTATCAAATATAATACATGTACATGTATGTAATCATCAGCCTAATATAATTCATCAGGGGATTCATTAGGGGATTCATTGGGATAAATAAATAGTAGCTATAATGTAACTCAGTACTATATGTATATGTATTATTCCGAAATGTATGAATGATGCATAGAAGTACTCGAGGAGTATATCCATCACCACAAGTACATACTTCATCAAAACGCCCATCCATCCATCCATACTTCTTTTAGGTAGAGTCGTCTTTCCTTTCGAGTATTTTAAAATTATTTGTCCATCCATGCCCTTCTCATCCAATGTTTTCAGGCTTTCCTCGCAAAATGGTATCATATCAAACGATCAAACGATCAAAACAAACAAAACAATCATGTACAAAAGAATCCACACTCAAAATCCACACACACACAAACCGACCCCAGCACGCACTCTGCCCCCAAAAATCTCCCCCCACTAAACCGCATCGCCTCTCCTTAAATCCTCACTATTCAACCCCCTCCCTTCATCCCTCACCCGCTCCCTTCCATACCCCGGATGACCCAACACAGGCGCCACATTCCTCTCCTGAAAATCCTGCATATTTTGCAACTCGATTTGATTCCTCTCGTGCAGCACCTCCTCCTCTTTCTTCCTCCGTGCCCTCTCCCTCTCCCTCGCCTTAAGTTTCTCCGCCATACTTCCTCCTCCTTGTCCAAAACTCCCTTTCTTATCCATTGGCCACGGATCCCCGTTCGGACTCCTGCTATTTGCATCCGTGGATGCTGTTGCTGGACTATTGTATTGCGATGAATAGGGACTGAGATAGACTTTTTCGCCCATGGGAGTAATGGGACTATCTTCAATAGGCGTCATGATAGCGGGTCCATTGAATTTACCCCCATGTGGTTGTTGCTGACCCCAATAACTTGGTTGCAGCGCTTGTTGCGAGTTGGGGCTATCGAAGAAGCCCCCTGAGCCGGATGTCATGTTGGAGTCTGCACTGTGGGTTTCGAGGACGGGGATATGGCCGCCGAGGCCATCGACATCATGGGCGTTTTTCCAGGCGGCGTAGCCGGTGTCGAGTTGATGTTGGTGGAGGATGCGACGGCGACGACGGCGGCCGTTGAAGACGATGCAGAAGCCGGTTATGAAGAGGGCGAGGAGGATCACGCCTACTGCGATGCCGATTCGTCCATTGAGGGAGAGACCTGGATAGGCTGTACCGGGGACAGCGGTTGGGGTTGGAGATGTCATGTTGAGTTGGGTGGTGGAGAAAGGGGAGCCTTGAAAGGATAATGTTGAGCCCGGTGCGGGTTGTTGATCACAGGCTCCATAGAGGAGAGTATAGAAGTTGTTCAGATAGTATGTTGCCGCGGAAATTCGGAGACAGTTTTGACATTCCAAAATCTGATTCGTAGCGATATCTGAGCAGTATCCATACTCCATTTGAGCATCCGTCGACAGATTTCCATACTCGATGGCTTCTTGCATGGGAGCGCAGGATGTGGACGTTATGCATGGCGTATCCTCCACCGCGGTATTATTTGGAAAGCCGAAGAGACACCAACTCATGGCATATCTCAAATTATCTATGCACCAACCATGTTAGTCACATCTTCACACATACGTTTGGAGAAAGAAGAACGAACATAAACCCCATTCCAAATCCGTCTGGTTGGTTGAAGGATCAACAAAAGTACTCGATAATTGACATCCCACACAACCTGAATATGTTGTTCCAATTAAACTTGTATAGCCAGTATCCTGACACACGATATCATCATCCCCCTTCGTTCCTCCTAAAACATTGCCGCACTTCGAAGCACATGGTGAATTTGGGAGAGCTTTTAATGCGCTTGTGGATTGTGTGAAGGATGTGAGTAGGAAGAGGCTCGGAGCCAATATTGTTGTAGGCCGCATGTTGCAGATATGTTTTATTATATGTTGAGGGGTAATGGGAGTGAGGGTTTGTGATAGGTGGTAGATAAATTATTGAACTTTCGTCATTCGCAACAATTCCTTATCGTTTTATCTCGTCAAGGATCTTTCTTGTGTATCGTATTAATTTGCTGTTTGATCTTGACCAGCAAGATCTACTCTCATCCGAATATTATCAGTATGGATTGAAGAGTGTTTGATCCTCTGTTGAATAGTCATAAAAATATTAAAAAATAGGTATTCGTCTTACAACATTCAACGAATTCATTAACTTCATGAATATGTTCGTATTGCAGGAAAATGACATTCTTGTATGACTTGAAAAAAGTGAGGTGACGGTGACTTATGTGTGTGATAAGAATTGCAGTTGTGCTTCCGCTAGTTGACTTCCTTCCCGGTGCATCGATCACAGAGGAGTCTGGCGGTTGAATGAAAGGTCAAGAAAAGGTCAAGGTAAGGTACAAGGCCCCAATGCAGACATGGTTACTTACCATGTATGCACAAGGGTATATCTTCAGTTGATTGTCATGATTGGAGAGCTTAGACTTTTTCCATCACTTCAATCACTCAATCAAATACATCACAATCGTTGATTGGTTGTCTGTGAAAAAGCAAGAAGCCGGGGCCAAATGTATGTGATCAAATCAGTATATTTGCCGTTATTCCTGTTCCCCCAATTGTGGCGGAATATGCAAATCGCCGTTGATCTATCGAAACATCTATCGAATCAAATTGAGTCTCCTCCCTTGCTTGTCTCCTTTACTTGAGGAAGAGGCCATAGTCAACGACAAAAGAATGGTTAAATACCGATTAAAGCATCAAAACCTGGCTGTGTACAGTACCGGTACTATAACTTGTTGATATGCTATTTCTTGTGCTTGTTCTTGTTCCTATTTCAGAATTTAGTCTTTCAATCTTCAATCTTATCACAATTTCAATACTTCAGCTCGGTGCGTATAGACCAATTTACAATATCGACCTTTCCTTAATATATACCCCCACATGATCTTTTCTATCCAATCAATCTTGCCCTTTTAATCGATTTCCGGTGCGGGCCGGTTGAAGTTATTGAAGTTATTATGTGGATGGATGTGGATAAGATAGGGATGAATGGATGAATCAGCATAAGGAAGTCAGTCACTACCAGTCCGGTAAGCAGTTGAGTTGGCCAGCAGGAGGCTTTATTATTACCCGCATAGTTGAAACGTATTGCGCCCCCTTCTCCCCCGTTGATCGATCCATCAATTCGACTTCTGCTGCAAAACAACTCCAACAACTATCTATTTGGACCCCATCACATACCTAACTATTCAAAGTTCAATACATGTGTTTTTGTTTGAATACATCCAAACATACACTCGAGTATACAAGCCACCCAACTGTTATCCATGGATCTTACACTCATCCCATACGATTCGGAATCATCCGTGAAATCATCCAAGCCTTCATTCATCCATCAATCATACCCTCTTTGTGATTGATTGTACTCCCAATGGCGCTTATTCTTTGATGTGAGGATGGTAAGGTGAGGTGACTACCAACCCAAAGCTATCAGGAACTTTTCTAGTCAACCAAAAGTTATCTCTCATTATTCGCATTCGCATTCACAAATCACTTCCATGCCACGGCGCTACAACCAGTCTCCTGGGTTTTCACCTCACATTGCACTACAGCAAGTACAGTCTGTACAGTGCATGCATTTTGACCCCACACCCCGAACTCCATTCATCCAGTTGCATCAATCACATCCATCGAATGCAACCTCACTCTTCCACTTTGTAAAGATCCGACTTCAGATCGACGACTACTTACTCATTGTGGAGAAGGAGTACTCGTATAAGGCTACATAATCTTTGGCCATAAAGCACAAAGATCTACAAGCAAGCTACCGATTATCATTGTGTTTCGGTAATGATTCACTGGCTTGCTTGATTTACGCGCCGTTTGTTCTGCACTTATAATCACAGACCGGAGATTTCTGTTTTCTTCCTATTTTCATGATTCAGTAAGTATTGCGAGCCGAAGAAATCTCTCTCGATGGCGCCTGTAAATTTAGCCGCTTGGAAATGAAGCTTTTGATCTTGATCGGCGGATCATATCGTATTGCATGCTAAACGGCCGCACGACTAATCTGCTAAACGATGCAAAATACATGCCAAGACTGTAAGAGACAGTCATTTCGCATTTCATTACTTATTACATGGTACTCCACTACTTACTTTCTGTTTCTGCTTTACGGTATCATACCCGACTCCCCGTATAGTGTAGTTGGTCATGTTTTGGTAGATATGGATCAACATCCCCGGATCTGTTGCCGAATACACCCCTGGAAAATATACCCCAGTGGGTATATCTGTTGCGGAACCCGTTATATTGAGTTGGAGACAGAATACAGTTGGGCGCCTCTCAAAGGCCCTGCAGCATGCAAAGTGATGATCTCTGCGCGTAGCAGATAGATAGTTATCTAGAGCTAGTGTTGATGAGATGATGAAAGATCGTTTTCCGCAATTAGCATTTAGTTTATGCTACCCGTATATGTGCCTTATACTCTCATCGTATACTTTCCAAGCTGGGCTAAGTCGACAAATTGTCTCAAGGTAGAGAGAGACAGGGGAAAACTTACCGTTCCCCACCACCCCTCCTGGTCGACTTTGAATTATGAACCGCGAACCGGAACCAGTATCGATCCTAGCCTTTGAGACCTTGGACGGGTATAAAACGACTGGTCCGTAGTGAGTGAAGAAGGGGGTTGGAGCTTAGGGGATTGTGGGGTGTGGTGTGTACGGGGTGAATAGGATTCAGCGTAGGAGAAAAGTCTTGTTGCATATCTGATTGAGTGAGTTGAACCAATTGACCAAGTGGACCGAGTGGACCAAGCTGAACCAGCTAAACTGTTTTATACATATAATCTTCAAATCACCTGCCGTAACATCCAAACATCTATTCCATATTACATTTCAGTCTGTTTCCTTCATCGACCAATCCAATCCAACCCAAGGCCCCTGCTCGTGCCCACTGTCTCCCCATCCATCCCCAAAAGTCATTTAACACGGGTACCAAGCACACATAAATGTATTTCCCAAGCAAATTGATCACGTATTTAAAAACAAGGATAACAAGTCTTCCTTCCATCCATCAGAAGAAAGGGGTTGTTGTTGGTTGATTGGGTGAAACCCAAAAGGAAAGATGCCTCAAAACCGCAAAAATTGCAAAAAAAAATACATACAACAGTGGGGATTCGCTGGTGGTCACCCACCCAACTACTAATCCACCGATCTGAAGCTTGTGTATGGCAGAGCGGACGGGATGCCCAATTCTCTTCAGTCTATGGTCGTATGTGACGGATACTGCTTTAGTATGAATCATGATTGGCGATGAGACGGACAGGAGGAGATGCGAGGAGATGAGATGGTGTGATTGTGTTTTGGATGATGAATGAATGAATGAATGCGGGCTGAAGAGGAGATGTGGATTGATAGAGATATGTAGGATAGGTATTGATGAGAAGAGGAGGTGGTTTAAATATGAAGAGGGGAGGAAAATAAGAAAATAATGTTGATTGCGAGTACTATTAGTACGAGTAATATGGTTCTCATTCTCTTAATGTTAAGGAGTGATACTTAAGGAACAGAAAGTGGGATATATGCTTGCCTGTATAGAAACTGGACACTGGCAACATTAAGTTTCTCCTCTTGCATTCTACTCTCATACATTCCAACACAAACCAATGCATTCGATTGCTGGCAGTTCATTGGAGATGTACACTCACACAATGACATCATCAGAGACATAAAGATTTGACAATAAGGGTATTCCATTATTCCTCTCCCAACCATCCACTCGTAAACCCCAAAGAACCTCGAACCCAACCATCCTACTCGACCACTCTCCTCGCCCTCGGCATATTCTTCTTTTCCTTCCCCTCTACCTTCTTTCTTCTCCTCTCGATAACATGATCCAGCTGTCTCCCCTTCAACTCTCCATACGTATCCAACAGCACCCTCTTCTTCTGTTCGGCCTCCTTCAGATAATATGGTGTCTTTCCCTCCTTCACTAACTCCTTCTCCTCCTTCCTGTGCTTATCTAATATATCCCTCGCCTTCCTCTTTCTCGCATCCGTCTTTTTCCTACTCTCCATACTCAACAATTTTCTCTTTAACGTCTCCTTAATGTGGTCATCCTTAGTCTTCTTAATCGCCTCCCTCAATTCCTTCATTTCATCCTCTCGATAATCATCCAAGAAACTATATGCTCTCTCTATCTTTTCTTGATCAACCGGACCGTTTGTGGGTTCGAATCGTGGATCTCGAGTGTCTCTTTTCTTGACGAGTACTGCTTCTCTGCGGCGCGAAACCGCTTTCTTGCTTGAAATCTCGGCGGGTGCATTTTTGCTGCTGCGGGTAAAATCTCGTTGGTCCTTCTTTCCGGCTTTACGTTCTGTAGCTTCATTGTCTTCCCATCCATCTCCGCTACTCTTCTTTGACTTTTTTGAATCTTTTTGACTGGGTTTGGTCATGGTAGCCTGTGCTTTTGCCAATGCGCCAAAGGAAATTGAGGCTGCATCGTTAGACATCTCTTCTCCGGAATCAGATGCTTCCTGTTGGAATATCAGTAAGAAATTAGGGATTTGTTTGGGCAAATCCAACCTCATCTTCCTCATCAACTTTCGAATCGCTGGAACCTCCCTCTTCCTCATCGTCATCTTTGCCAATTTCTGATGGAGCAGAATCTGAAGACGATTCCTCGATTTCTTCAGAGGGCTCCCTTCTTGCTCTCACACGCCTTTGTAGACCATTGTCTAGCGCTTTCCTCTTCGTTGATAACATCTTGAAAATTTGTGGTGTTACTCAAGTTTCAATTCTGGAAGTCCAGAATTGACGTGACATGGGAATTTTTGCCAATCTGAGGGCGGTGACCACCGGAAGAACAAAATACCGATCTGCCCCCCACAAAACTTTTCCGTTATCAATTTTTCGAAGTTTGTCTTCAGCCTTGCGGGATAAAAACAGCTTCCAGTCGATGTACCTTACACATTCTTCCACGTTCACCACTGCAAGACGGTTGGGGTACATTATTGCACGGAATTTCTCTTCGACAGACAATGCATTGAAAATTCCCAAAAAGCCAGGAAGACGGTCACCAAACAAACATCGAGGGAGGTGGACTCCATCCTTGGATCACTTGGCGATTGATGGCATCGGGGCAAACATATCAAAACCGTTACACCCACTACTAATAACACCAAACCTCGCACCCATCTCAGATCCATCGCACAAGTCGAAATACTCCTATTTATCACTTGCTAGTCACGAAGGACAAGCACCAGCAAGAAAGACAATGGTTCCCCTCTCCCGTTTTGAGAGAGTGCAACCCTCCGAAGCCTCGGGCGGTATCCCCAACCCTACCAAGGAATACCTAGACAAAGCCTACACCATGCCAGGCCGAACACCCGTTCCCTCTCCTCACGCTCGCCATCTGCTTGTCGTAATCGACCTGAACGGCACCCTCCTCTATCGCCCCAACCGCAAACACCCCACCAAATTCACCGCCCGCCCCCACGCCGAAAAGTTCTTGCAATACTGCATCGATACCTTTTCCGTCATAATTTGGTCATCCGCCAAAGCCCAAAACGTGATTCCCATGTGCCAAACGATCCTCACCCCCGATCTCCGCCAAAAAATCGTCGCCATCTGGGGACGCGAGACCTTCGGTCTTTCCCTCCCCGACTACAAAGCGCGCGTGCAATGCTACAAGCGACTCACTAGACTTTGGGACGATCCCGATATCGCAGCTACGCACCCTAATGCCCATAATGGTGGCCAATGGGACCAGACAAACACCGTGTTGATTGATGATTCCAGCGAGAAAGCCCGAAGCGAACCCTTCAACCTAATCGAAATTCCGGAATTCTTTGGTGATCACAAGGAAGTCGGAGATGTATTGCCACAGGTACACGATTACTTGAATTTCCTCAGTATGCATGAGAACGTCAGTGCTGCGGTTCGTCATTCGCCATTTGTCCCGCAGCCAAAGGCCAGTCCTCGTGTGGCTACGGATGTGAGCTTGCCCATTCACCCACCTAGAGCTCCAACTCCTGTCAAAGCTCCAGCTCCAGTAGTTGAGCCGCGAAAACCTGCACACTCAAGTGATAATGTGCCTTAAAGTATTCACCGATGCTCCAAAATCTGGAAAAGTGGTGATTCGGTCCAACAATGGCTTGGTGCTGCTGGTAAGTTTCTCATCGCTCACAATGTAACGTCATACAAATAGTGATCGTTAACACTGAGATAGAGAATTTCATGATATCAAGATCACTTGGTGTTTTCTTCTCTTTTTAATTATACCCCTTCTCAGACACACCTCTGATGTGTATGTAGTGATAGATCGGCAGGGAAATGGAATAGCATAAGACATCACGGCATTGGCTGGTATTCACAATGATTGATGATTGTACAGTGGCATGGTAATAAATTTGGATTGCATTTTTGCAGAAACCCTAAGCTAGAAATACCGACGACGATCCTCATTTCATTCGTAACCATTTATCCTCCCACATGTCATGAATGTTCATTACACGTTAACCCTATTCAGCGCTAAAATCATTGTGAAAATTAATACATCTTCAAGTAATAATTTACTTGAAAACCTTTCCATCAGCCCATGGGTACTCCTTGCCGTTGACGACAATAGGCTTCTCCCAGCTCCATTGGGCGTCGACGAACTCCTTGTCCTCGGGCTTGCTGGCATCAAGCTTGGTGAACTCGTAGCTCTCAAAGTCAGGGGCGACATCGAAAGCTGGGAGAGCTTCTTGGCCACGGATAACGAAAGCACCCTTGATGATGCTGTCGTTGGCGGTACCGTAGACGGAAGCACAGCCGAAGATGTACTTGCGGGAACCCTCAAGACGAGCGAAGAAACCGCCAACCAAGTTGGAGGTCATGAAGACTTGAGTAAGCTCCTCGTTGTACTTGTAGTCAACTGCCCACAAAGAGTACTCCTCAGAGTTGAAGTTCTCCCAGAACCACTTGAGGGCATCAGGGGTCTCTGAGTTAGAGTATTGACGCTTCCACTCATCGAGAGGAATGGTAGACTTTGGCAAAGACTCGAGAGGGTGCTTTGCCTTTGGTGCAACTGCTACCTCCTCTTCCTCTTCCTCTTCGACCTCCTTAGCCTTTGGCTTAGCGGCCTCCTTCTTTGGCTTCTCGGCCTTTGGTTGCTCAGCCTTTTTTGGTGCTTGGTTCTTGAGGGTTGGCTCATCGATCAAAGCGAGAGGGTCAACAACAGCAGAGTAGATTGGCTGGTTGTAGACGGTAGCGTACCAACGGGCAGTGTTGGGGTTCTCGGCTCTCCACTTCTTGTCGAAGAAGAATTGGAAACCACGAGAGATGATACCAGCAGCGAACAAATCGGCAAGAGTGATACGCTCACCAGCGAGGTATGTATTGTTCAATAGGTGCTCCTCAATGACGGAGACGCACTTGGCAGTGGCCTTGATAGAGTCATCGACGTTCCTCTTGTTGTATGGGTCTCGGCCTGTGAGAGGGCGGAACCAACCACCGAGGGATGGGAGGACCTCACTGTTGAAGAAAGACATCCACTTCAAGATAGAGGCATAGTCTTGCTTGGTCTTACCGAGGAGGGTTGTCTTCTCATTTTGAGATGTGACTATAAAATCTTGTAAGCTATTGACTCATAAAACCAAATCAAATGCAAATTAAATTTCAAAAGAGAGTGTTCAGAGTCTAATTAATATAAAGATCAACATAGAATGATTAAGACAGGGATAACTGTATGACTTTTTTTTCATCATTACACAAATGGTATATAGTAGGTTTGTTGCAAGTTTGTGCGAAACAAAGTGGGGCGAGGTGGGATGTAAACATACTGTAAATGGCGATGGCAATAGCCTCGTGGAGGGTGTAGCCGTCAGCACCGACAAAGGTTGGAACTTTGCCGAGCTTGTTGATCTTGAGGTAATCATCAGAGACGCCCTTAGCTGGCTCGGTCTCGACGATGTCGAGCTCGATGTTGTTGGCCTTTGCAACTGCACGAATGGCAGTTGAACGGGGATTACCCTACGACAGAAAGTACGATTAGCAGACGTTTCGCAAAGATACATTCGAGGAGAACGTTGCAGAGGATAAGTAATTGTGAATACATACCGGGTAAGTGTAGAGAGTTCCGAAAGCCATCTTTGCGTTTATTCAAAGTTGATTAATTGATTTGGATGGAAGAAAGAAAACTTTCGTGGGATGTTGGGCTCTGACTCGAAATTTTGTGGTGGACGGCGGGGCATTATAAGCTTAGCCATATTAAGATTAGACCCGAAATCAGCTGATACGGGAAAATCGAGATACGGATTCCAAAGTTAGCCAAAGTTGATTTAGAAGTTATACGTCCTTAACAGTCTACGACTACGTCCCATCTTCAATATGAAGACATCATGGCTTCCCGCAGGCCTAAGGGAAGGCTTTAGAGGTGTCTGCTCCAATCAACCGGCTATCCCCAGATCCCTACTCCGAAATCGAATTTCCCTATCCTCACCCTCGAAACCCTTCACAACCACCTCACAACTCCGAGACACTTTTGCGGCCCCTGAAATAAATATCAAGAGAGGAGGGAGAGAGAGAGAGAGAGATGAGGAAGACCCCCCCAAATTCCTCGCGCGTCTGGTTCCATATTCGCCATCATATTTCACGGCTCAACCTTTATATACCGATAACCTTCTGCAATTGCAAAATCTCGTACTTAAATACGTGAAACTTCCCACTGTCGAGGCTGCAGAAGCGCCGCGTGTGTCATTTCGGTCTCTTATGGAATATAGGGATCAAACTGGAGAGACAGTACGGTCATCAAAATACCAAAAGATTGTAGAGACACTACATCGACTTAATCACATCCATCCATCAGTGATGCCTTTAGATGTAAAGGAAGCCATCAACTTATACAAACGCGATATAGACCCTCACGAGAATCTCGCAAAACCTATACCCATTGATCAATTCGGGCGGGCACTTGGAGTCGGAAGGAGGAAATCGTCTACGGCAAAAGCGTATTTGGTAGAGGGCACCGGGGAGGTACTCGTTAATGGGAAAACACTCGCGGAGGCTTTTGGTAGACATCATGATAGGGAAAGTGTTATTTGGGCATTGAAATCTACGGACAGAATCGATAAGTATAATCTTTGGGCCCTGGTTAATGGAGGTGGAACTACAGGGCAAGCGGAAGCTTTGACGTTGGCAGTGGGGAAGGCATTACTTTCACACGAACCGGCTTTGAAGCCTGCGTTACGACGAGGTGAGTTTCTCATGGTGTTCTCATTATTACATTATCCTCTCCCTATCCATCAAAATGAGTCAGTACTTGAAGCATACCATACTAACATTTCTCCAGCCGGATGTGTGACTCGTGATCCAAGAAAGGTGGAGAGAAAGAAGCCCGGTCATGTCAAGGCCAGAAAGATGCCTGCCTGGGTCAAGAGATAGTTTTGTATATGTTTTATTGTATCAATACATATGGTGTATGGACTTCCTAGGGGCTGGGATACTCAACACATGAGAGATATGAACATTGAATGAATACTCATATATCTGTGTTCGAACAACCATACCCAGCATTTAATATCATACCGTTTGGTATCCCACCGAGCTATACTTCCTAATTTGAGGCAAGCCAGTTTGATAGGTAGGTGTGTGGAACCAAGGACAAAATCAATACAACCTTCCAGATGAAATCTAATAGTCAATATTAGCAAGCGCAGCTATCTTCATTCAAAAGTCCAATATACAAAAGCAAATATCAAAAGTCTTCTACACTACCCTTTCTATCCATCCGTATCAACACGCCAATTTCAAAACACACGTCAAATTTCTAACAAGTTGTTCTGCAAAGAACTTGCATTTATGTATCCATATATCTTTCCTGCCAATCAACAACCACCTTCCTAATGCAAACAATCTATTATTATCACCTACCCCGGATCAACCCCATTAATCTTCGAGTATTTGCCTATTTTCCCCTCCCACACTTCCTGCAGCCTAAGGTCCTAGGCGTGGCAATCAACTATTGGTAATAAAGACAAGGCTAGCCAGCTCCACAAAACCCGTCCATACGACAGCGTCGCATCGGCATCTAATATATGCCCCTTCTTGATCCTCCCGTCAAACCCTCCTTTTTCCGGTTCAACACATATTCCTTCCTTGAATCCTGATCCTGATCGGCGTTCGTAACACCCTATGCCATGGACCTGGGATTGATACACATAATACAGCTAGATAGATAGATAGATAGATGTGCAGTATTGATGCAGATCGCTAGCCTCACTCGCCTAACCTCATCCTAATCTATCCCAAACCCAATCCATCTCAACATCAATATTATCAGCAATACATCCATCCATCCTATCAACCTCAAGACTGAAACATCGATACTTTTCAATTCAAAGCCTGAAACCAAAATAAGTGCAATACTGATTATACTGTACTCGTAGTAGCTAAAGTGTCCATCTCCAATATAGACAATGACAATGTAATAATAATGCCATTGAATCACTCTCTCCTTCAATCTCACATCAATGCAGGTGCATCCCTCTCACAATCATATTCTACCCTACATACATACATAGATACATCCCATCCCATCCCATCCCAATGATCCCATCACCTACCCCTTGTCCAACACCCGACACGCAGCCTCAAACTCATCTTCACATCCGCATGCATACCTGCACTCGTCCGTCCGCCCGTCATTCCCGTCTCGCATGCACGCACGCGCATGCATACATACATACATGCATTATACATGCAGCTGAGCCTTCGCTTCCGTTTCCGCTTCCGCCTCATATCACATATATGTATAACATTTTCCTATCCGATACAATTCTTCACTTCTAGAGTCCAGATTCAGATCCAGATGTTTCTATCTCCAAAGGCCTTCAAATCAATCAATGGCTTCCAACCAAAACAAGGCTAGCAAAGATTATTTTATTTGCCACATGATATATATACACAGCTGAACATACATATCACGAACACATCGCCCTGCTTTGCTTGATAATTTCCCACAACAAATTTTATTGATTTACAGTACTTGTATACACTTATCTTTCCACAATCCTTGATGCCCTGCTCTCCCCAACCCCCCCTCTAAAACCACTCGGCACACTCAAATTTTCCGGCGTATCCATACGCATGCTAACTCATTGCAATCGTTTGCCCTCATACCCTAATAGATATGAATTAGGATACCCTAAAAGGTACATTATTTATTCGCCCCAAAACCCCAGTCATCCTGTAGTCCATTCAGTTCTGTGGACTTAGAATCCTATCTGCCATTCCATTCCTATCCTTGTGAGCCTAGTAGCCCCCCTAATCAATCAGACTCCCGAGCCTAGAAGCTCTCCCATTGAACGGCGGCTCTAGTAAACCGCTCTATACAATATTATAATGAAAAAAACAAGACGCTAAAAACATCCATTCATTCATATACCCCCATGCTTTCCCAAATCAGAACCAGACCACCCTTTCTTGTCATCATACAAACATCGTAATAAAAGAAGCATTGCGCATAGAAACATTGAAACATAGCTTCATCGAAAAATCAGAATGCCGCCCACCCGCAAAGAGTCCGCCAGTGACAATCCCTTCACCTCATGCATGCAGAGAACCGCCAACACCCAAATTGTCAAATCAAGAAGACAAAATCAAAATCCCTACCCAAGCAATAGTACCACGGGAAGTGATCCTGATTAGTAGGAAAAAGAGAAAGCCAAATCTCGATATTGACGAAACAAAGCAAAGAATTGGAAAGAAACAAAACGCCACGGAGGAAAAGATGCAAGTTTATGCTCTACAGGTAGTATATCAAGACTCAACTTTTCAAAGCAGGGGAGAACAGGAGCGAAAAGTGGTAAAACGAGATATACTGTTATCAAGGTGGCGCTCGACCGGCGTTGGGGTTGGTGTTCGATGAGGATGCGCCCGCACCAGAAGTTCCGGATGCTTCAAATTTTTCTTGAATTTTTTGGCAGCTCAAGAGGACTATAACATTTGTTAGACAAATAAATAATTGTTGCGGGCTCTGCTGTTGTTCTAAACTTACTATTCATGATTTCCGCCTCGCCAACTCCATATTGATAATCCACCAAACCGTATACCTCAACCGAATCGCACAATCGTGTTAAGTTGGTCCCCATTTTGCCAATGAACTCTAAGGACATGAGTGTTTGCGGTGGCTGTGTGCGCTGGCCTGATTCGAGAAAATCTTGCTGTCTGGTGAATATGCTTAACCACGCCGCATTGAATTCGTTCCACAGTCGAAGTCGATCGCCATGAAGGGCAGCTTCGTCTACAGTGAGTCCTTCATCAGAAACTATTAGTGGACGAGATTGAACAGAGGAAATATTAGCGTACCTAGCTCTGCTACGTGTCCAAGCAACCACTCAGAAACTTCGAGTAAAGACGAACTTGCTTCTGCAAGGCGAAGATCAATGATGTTTTTGAAGATCTGCTTAAGAGCAGTCTGGTAAACTGAGTAAGCTTCTTCCATCCCCCCCGCTCCTTGCGCCTGGTTCTCGGCGTCCACAGCATCGGCCGTTTCCGGTGCTTGAGGCATCCCACCTAGTCCTACGTCTGCAGGATATATTTGTTGGATTAACGTAGTGCGATTCCCTGGGCTTTGCTGATGATGTTGATAAGGCGTAGATGAGTTTGACGAAGCGTATTGTTGAGTTCCTGGAGTATTGGGGTCATTTGGGAGGTAGGGCGTAGCCACGTCCGACAACATCTGCATTGCTGCAGGTTGCCGCGCCTGAAATTGCTGAGACTCATAGACGTTATTTTGTGGAGCTTGTTGTGTGACACCGTACAATGTGTCGGTATTATAATTTGGAAAAGGTGGCTGTTGCCTTTGGTCCGGTGGATAAGCGGATTGGTATTGCAAGGGAGTTGGTGGGATTCCTGCCGGGAAAGATGCAGTTGGTTCTTGGTAGTATCCAGTAGTATATGGTGGGGCGGGTCCAACTCCACGATTGATTGATGGTGACCCTGCTGTCGCTGCAGACCGATATCTATCCGACATGACGTTTGAGATTGCACGTCCTTGACTCTGGTCTGCTGCTGCATATCTGGGATCCTGAGCAGGGTATGGCGGCTCATTCTGCCTTCGTCGACGGTTATTGTCGTCCATTCTCTTCTCTGATTCGGAATTATACAAAATACTTCCCGCTAACTAACCAGAATTGACAAGCTACCAGCAACGATTGCGACCTCGGGTCCAAGAAGGCCAACTTGCTATTTCGATCCTGGGGGTAGTCTTAATAGGCTCTTCGCGCTGCGATTTGGCGCGTTGTGTGTTATTTTTCCTCGATACTAAAGTTTACTCTCTTTATATTCCTGTCAACGTCATTCCTAAAGTCAAAGGAGAAAACAAGGGTTTAGCTACCTGATGTCTTCAAAGATGGCCGGCTCTGAGAAGAAAATTTGAAACTTAATTTTGCGTTGAAATGGAACAAGCCTGAGCAAGCCTGAGCAAGCCTTATGTCGTTGTGTGAATCTTTTTGTTGGGACAAGATATAGGAAGAGATGAGAATCTCGATTTGACTGACTCTAGCACTTGGTCGACAATGAGATAAATTGCCCCTGAATGACCTAGTGCTAGATTGACCAATGGTAGGTAGTACGGTCAGTTTCCTCAAGAGAACAGAAGAGCTGCAATGTGGAAATAAGGTGTCGATTGAGTTTCTTCTATTTGTCAAGAACTTCGTCACTAGCTCCTGGGACTATCCTTGACTTTCGATACAAGCAAGTCCCCTGTGAGATCTTGATTGTAGGGCAAAAATCACTAGGGTATCAGATTACGTGCCGCTCTGTGACAACGTTAACCGTTTCCTTTGGATTTTTGGTTTTCGGTTCTTGGTTTTCGATGCAATTTGGCTGGTGTAACTGTGGAGGGACCTCGAGGTCTATTCTGACGTTGTGTTGTAGGGGACCAGGTTCATGGATAACCAAGATGTGCAACGACCTCAAGAACTAATTCACTTCCGAGTTTTTCTAGAAGCTCTAGAAGGTGAATGAATGAATGTACAGTATTTGTTGGTTGATTGATGTTATTGATGTCATCAAATCTTTAAATCCTTAAATCCTTAAATCCTCACTCTCTTCTACCCGTTTCAAATTTGATAAAGATTGGAAGGTAGTATGGAGATTTGAAAATGTGAAGATGTTGTCAAGCTGAATCCAATAATAGGAATTGAAATTGAACCAGCTGGCCTCTTGCCTCCTTTGGGGGAAGTTTGAAGATGGTAAAAAAGGTAGCTTTGGTCTGTGAACAGTTTCGTCCACCACAAGATAGGGAAGAGGTGATACTTTCAATATATTTGCATGAATTAATAGCTCAGTATGGGAGATATGATCATGTACCCGACTCAAACAAAGTCTTTCCGGTTTTTTTTGAGAGCCTTCGATAGCGAAGTCGAAATGAAGTTATGGTGATGGAAGTATTATCATTGTGGTTTGGTGAATGACCCAAGATGAGAAGGTGCCTCCGAGTTCCTTCCTCTCTCAAATCAAATTTTGATGAAAACCCTGAAGTTATTTTGATCACAACTTCCTTGACTTTGACGACTTTTAGAAGTTGTATCTAGGACGTTTCTTTTATTTAAAATGTAAGGACGTGCAGAATTGGCTGCAAGAGGGGTGGTGAAATGGCGAGATAGGGTTGGGTAGTCAAAGATCTAATGTGGTGAAGGGGTTACTTGTCGTGCCGGATCTACCTCTGAATGGTATGATAGCGGAGAGTGTGCAAAATTAGAGAATATTGCGCTACACTACCCTCAAGTCAACACTTTCTTTGAAGATCCTCGCCAAGGCACGGAACTTTCGAGTAAACTGTTGGAAATTTGCTGCCAAAGTAAAGTACTACTGTAATAGTAATAAATAGTACCGAGCGAGGTGGACGAGGACACTACAGTATCAAAACAGTAAGCTTTGAATCACCCAACTGTTTCCATACCTATTTATATACAGAGTAGGTGTTCATTTATTCGTTTCCATCCGAGCGGATGACTTAGACGGATGGACGGATGCTGGATTAGATAGATAGATAGATGAATAGATAGAAAAAAGAAGGTTATACTGACAATGACAAGTTTGATCCTTTGGTATGACTCGGCGACTCAAAATGTAGTCCCAAATTTTGGATCTGTGTGCTAAAAACCTGAGTACTTTGACTATACTTTAACTGATTTAAGTATATCGAATTATTGGAAGTGCCGGTGACCAATCAGTCGAGCTGGTATGTTCCGAGATATTGACTCGCACCAGCCACTTTTCGAAGTCAGACTGTCAGGTATAGTGCGTTAGGCGTTTCGAGATAGGAACAGCTGCAGAGCTGACTGCTGTCTTGGTAAAATGAACTAATATTCGAGTTCAAGAAAAAGTTGTTCTGTCTGTCTGTTGCTTCGAATTTAACTTAAATGTACTCGGTGGCTGGCTGGAAAGCGGAGACTCAAAACTAGAACAAGCGCATTTACTCGTTAAGGCCAATGAGATGGTGGATCTGATCTCGTCACTCTTTTTTCAATGCGTGGAACATGCAAAGATAGAGAAAGACTTCACGGTCCAAGTAATCTATGTAATATGTAGTGTCGATTCAACCAGGTGGATGAGGGTCAAGAAACAAGATGTTGATGTAAAAGAAAGTGTGGGGAGATAAATGTATTTTCCGGTATGGACTTCGCTGCTAATATGTAAGGTGCAGTTGTGCAATCTGGTTCAGTTGATCAAAAAAGTTGCCTCTCAAATCTGGGATCAACTTCAAATCATAATACATATCAATAATATCAATTTCCTTTTCTTCCTCAAGGCAACAGATACGGTAGGCAATGATCTGGATGGAACATTGTATATGGGTAACCTTTTAGATATCGATCAGGCGCAGTGCTAGGATATGCGATTGCCGGATGAGGCGACGAAGCAATGCTTAGGATGCCAGTTATGATAGATGCTCATGGATTAGATAAGATTGAAGCATGACAGAAAGATTTATTAGATGGATTTAGAACAGCCCCAGATATCGAACCGAATATTGAAAAGTTTGGGAAAAGTGAAGGGGTTGACAGGGTTTCAAGACATGAATTGAGATTATTGGGGGGGGGGGTGGATGATAGTGAGATGAGTTGAAGCTTGAAAAAGGTGATGGTGTTTCTACCTAGAAGAATATGTCAAGGACAGCTATAGCATTAGTGAATAGAAACATTGACAAAAAGGAAAAGTATAGCCCACTGCCCAGATGGTGGTTTGAGTCTGAGTAGTCCTGGTCCATAGGGTGAGAAGAGAAAGAAGTAGATGGGGTAACAGATAGCGATTGTATCGAAAGAAGAGTCCGAGACAAGTAAATACAGGGGAGACCGGATGATTGGGAAGATGTATTCCAGCGTCCTGGTTCACTAGGGTTCAAATCGGAAGGAAGGAATGGAAGGCTGAAAAAAGAAAGTATTTTCCGAGATCCCCGAATACTTTTTCTTGGTCATTCGCCGAACATTAAAAAATATCAAAATATAGAAGTAGTAGAATGAGAATTTTGAAAGCGCAGTCCGCGGCAATCGACAAGAGAACCTAGGAGGTCAACCAAATTGGAGAATACCGGTACTGGTAGGTCTTCGTCAAGAACTTGAACATGTGCCAACGCAAGATACAAAATATATACCGGTACCTAAGCTTCGTAAAACCATACATGGAACAGCTTTGCGATTGATCCCTGATGCCACGAGTTTTGCTAAAGTGGAAAATTCCACATTATTCTGCAGGTGTACGACATTTTTATCGGCGCTGACAGGTGCTTCCTATAATACAACAATAATAATATGAAGCTGGATTTGGAGCGATATGCTAAGTATTAAAGGAAAGTACTAGGTACTTTCAAGACCAGTCATCTTCAGTGGCCATTCGCATCAATTCAGTCGCTCAGCTTCCGAATCATTTCCAATTAAGGAGTTTCCGGGTACATTTAGACACCCACTAGAGCAGCGTTTTAGGGTATAGAAGTTGGCGATGTATGTACAGGCGTCTTTCGGGCTCTTTCAGAAACTATTCTGATAACAGCCATTTTCCCTGAAACATTGGCACAAGGGGTCTCGGGCATAAAACTAATTCTACCCAAACACATCTGGTGCTGCTTCGTTTCTAAGGAGAAAAAGCATTATATCCATGTTCCCAGTCTGTTGTCAATGAGCCAAGGAAAGGGTGCTACGGTATTACCTTCGCTAAAGAAAATAAATAAAATCATCCATGTGGCTCAAAATATTGATTACCCTGTTACAAAACTTTTTAACCATCAATACACATCCTCATTGGGCAAACATTCTATATCCTATGGATCATCATTCTATGATGTTACATCCACTAAAAAGATACAAAAGATGCTAAGTCCTCTACCTGCAAAACATATCCCAGGCTCCCAGCCCAGTTTCGAGATCTACACAGGCCTTTCCATCGAATCAATCCAAAAGGAAGGCTTGGTAGATGATTTTAGTATTCTCTCCTTCTCTTTCTCTTTCTTTCGGTTCTCGGCTTCTTTGCTCAATTCCCTAATAAAGGGTTTTATTGGTTTAACTATTAATAGGGTATCATATAAATTAGTCAACCACCAATCTCGTTTGTTCCCAAGGAAGGTTGCCAGCACGCATGCCAATCTCTGTATTACATCAATAGATGCACACGTTCCTTGACCTGCTCAGAGCTTCATCTAAGACTTCATGAGATTCCAAATTTCAATGCTTTTGATCGAACATTCAGCTAGTAAGCCACAATAAGCTGCTCCTACAACTCCATCAATACTTGAAGATATTTCACACATGAGTCAAGAGATTTGCAAATATGTCATCAGAGGCAGGGATCAACGCGATCATATACTATTTTTGAGCGTTACATCCGCCTGTCTGCACACTGCACAGGGATATTGCGCAGAGTTGCGAGCAAACCCAAAGTACTGTGTTTTTGCATGAATATACAAGGAAATAGAATTATGCCATGAAGCAAGTCAGAACAGACAGTACAGTGCATTTTTTCAAACCACGGTCGAGGGATTTGCAAGTTCTCATTCTCTTTGATATTTGACCTGGATCTACAATTGAAACACACATGCAAAGAGCTCTTCCTCGCAAGGCTGGACCGGTTGATCGCCCACGA